CGGAGGACGTCGAAGGGGGAGAGGGCGACGGAGGCGCCAGCGGCGTCGAGCGCGGAGCACTCGACGTGGTGGTAGAGGACGGACACCCGGTTGACGTACCTCGAGGCGCGCAGGGGCGTCGCGAGGAGTCGGCCGAGGGCGTCGGCGAGGGCAGTGGCCTGGGCGTCCCAGGACACGGGGGCGTCACGGGGAGCGGCCGCGGGAACGACCGTCCAGCGCGTGCGCGCGGGGTTGGAGGAGAGGCGGTCGATTTTGAAGTCGACGGCCCGGCGAAGCACCTCGAGGCACTTTGCGTCGCTCGAATCCACCGGGGCTATGGTGGGGGGATGCGGGGCGGCGTGAAGGTATACCAGGCGGGCGGACCCGGCTGGGCGGCGGCGGCGAAGCGCGGCCAGCGTGTTTTGAAGCGCCGTCGGCGCGGCCTTGGCCGGGGCGACGGGAGCAGTGGCGGGGGGCGGGGCAGGGGCCGTGGGTGCGGCGGCTGCCGCGGGGCGCGCGACGAAACCCTTGCGGGCCGCGCCGGTCGCCCCCTTCCCCTTCCTCTTGGCACCGGCGCGTGCAACCGTCGCCCATGTGGGCTCGGGGACGCTGGCCGGGGCCGCAGGGCCGGGGGCAGGCTGGGTCGGGGCCCCAAAGGGCCTGGCTGGGAGGGCCGCGACGCCAGTAGGCGCCGCAGGCGTGGGAGGTGGGGGCACAAAGCCAACCACGGGGTCGGCCTCGAGGACGGGGGCAGGCGGGGGGGAGGCCGGTGGCGTCGCCTGGAGGAGGGGGGCGGGGAGGGGTGCGGTCGGGGGAGGTCGGCCGGGGTGGTGTCCATGGCGTCAGCCACGTCGGCGGTAGGTGTGGGGGTGGGAGCGGTCGCCGCAGGGGTGAGCTCGCGGTGGTGGACGTTGGCCTCACGGATGGCCTCACCGACCACGTCGCACAGCGTGCCGTACATCGTGGTGATGGCGTTGAAGGCCCCGTTCGAGTACTTGGACCCGAGTGAGGCGAGGCGGGAGTCGTAGTCGGCCGCGGCCGCGTCGACGTAGGGCCCGGTGAACCCACCAACCCGGAGGATGGTGCGAGCCAGGTAGCGGAGGAGGTTGGGGAGCTGCCGCTCTTCGACGAGCGCGGCAGCGATGTCGGTGGAGGCGGCGCCACAGAGCTCGCCGTCTTCGTCCTCCCAGGTCGTGTAGTCGTCGACCGGGGTGGTGGCTTTCTTTTTGCCCTTACCTTTCTTGGGGTAGGGCGACATCGTACGGGGGGGTAGGGTAGGGTGGGGATTGGTGGTAGACGCTGGAGGAGATGGTGGTGGTACGAGGTCAAGGAGGGATTCCGCGATCACGACGCGAGCCCCCCCCGCGGACGGCCAACTTCCAAGGCACGTGCGCACGGCGGGTCGGAGGCCCACGGACAGACGTACGGCACGCGGATTTGCGGGCCGCCGTCCAAAGTCCGTGTAACGCGAGGGCGGACGGTTCTGAGCTTCTCCTGGCAGCCTTCGCGATGCACGCGGCCGTCGACGCGTCTCGGGATTTTGACGAACGCTGCGTCGGATCCGCGGCGGAACCCGTCGGTCATTGCAGCCGCGGATGCGGTGGGGGAGGTTGATAGATGGACGCGATGGTCGAAGACTGAAAGTTGGCGGAGCACTGGCGCGGCGGGCGGGCACGTGCGGGCAGCCAGTGGGAGACGGGATCTTGGAAGTTGGAAGGGCCCTGCTGCCGCGGGACTTGTGCGGCGGGCTGGGGCCCTGGGCGTGATGGGCCTGCGAGTGTGCGCTTTGTCAGGGGGAACTCTGTTTCCGGAGGAGCGCTGGGGGTCGACGAGAACCTTGAGCTAAGTAGCGACTTTTGAAGGTTGAGAATTAGTTGAGTGGCCGACCCCCGGCTCGACGGCATGGGACGCGAGGTGGGCCGATCGCAGCGTGCCCGAGCCCGCCCGACCAAACCGCGATCATGGCGGCGGCGGCGGCGAGTCTAGTGTGTTCGTGCGGACTTCGGGACCCGCGAGCTATAGTACACTGCACCTTAATCTTACTGGTCGCGCGGTCCGCCACTGCCGCCGCCAACTCTCTCTCGAGTCTGGTTTCTCGCTGACATGGGGATCTAAGCTGGAGCTTTATAGCCAGCCACATAGCTCGGGGGCGAGGGCGAGCCCAGTGCGACTCGCGCGCAGTGCTTCCGCACCTCTGGATCCATCCAGCGCTGGAGCCTGCGTAGCGCGCGCCCGAGGGAGAGAGCTGTCCCGGGAGAAGGCCCCGGGACGAGAGGGCACTAAGCCGCTCCCGGCCCCGCCAGGCTGTGCGTGTACAGGCCGCGAGGGGGGCCGAAGAGCTTGAGCTTGTGTCGCGGCCGCGAACGACCGCCCGGGATCGCAGAGGCGGGCGCGGATCAGCAGCGTCGCTGGCCGCACTGTCTGCACGGGGGGTGGGAGGGGATGGGCTGGCGCCCGTGCGAAGCAATGTCACCGCGGAGACGGAGGCGGGTGCGGGAGAACTTGGGTGCGCGCAGGCGCGGGGGGAGGAGGAAGGCGCGGACGGGAGCGGGAAGGTTCGCGGTCTGCGCACGGCGCGCGTCTGCGCGTGTGTGCAATGTGTGATGTGCAATGTGCCCTGGTCCGCGCACGTGTAGCCGTGGATGTTCTTCCCCCGAGAACACAGGAAGGGGAGAAGGTGGGAGGGATGCGTACGGGAGCCGTGCTCTGAGCGGCGCTGGTGGCCAGGAGGCCTCGCCGCAGCCGCACGGCGCGGGCGGCTGCGGGGACGCCCGTTCGGGAGGATCGCCGGCGCGTGTGGGCTCCTCGTACGTGCGGCCGACGAGCACCCCGTGCGGGACGCGAGCACAAAGCGCAAAGCACACAACACACAGGACGGCCCACGGGAGAGGACACAACGCCGCGGGCCACGCTCGCCGCGAAGGAACACCCTGTGCCACCGGTCGTGGGACCACAGGGTGCGAATCGCGCACCGGCGTTGCGGCGTGCTGCTCGGAGGGCGTGCGAGGCCCCGGTGCGCGCGCGTCACGGGCACGGGCGCGGGCACGGGCTCGTCAGGAATAAACCGTCGATGGGGCATTGGGTGATGGATGGATTGGTAGGTCTGCCAGGCATGGGCAGCCTCCGAGCCCGGCGGGGGAGCGGGCACGTCGTGTCCGATACCGAGGGCCAGGAGCTTCGAGGCGTGGGGTAGCAGAAGCTGGAAGAAGGCAAGCCTGCGTGGCACCGTGCGAGAGAGCAAATGCACACCCCCGTGCGGGCTCCGGACGAGCGACATTTGGCAACGAGCGAAAAAGGGGAGAAGAGAGCTATGCAGCAGGAGCGCAGCGCGCAGATCGCGTGGAGCTGGACCGTCGAGCTGGCAGGAGTTTGGGTTGAGGGCCCGGCGGTCGGTTGGAAATGTGGGCCAAGAAGGTTCGCGCGGGGCTGTCCGCGGCCCTGGCGGCGGTGCGGGGCGCTCGCGGGCGGCGCCGTGCAGGCGACCTCGACCGACGGCGGGGCGGCCGGGCAGGTCGACGTGGGTGGTGCGGGCTCACGTGCGCGGGGAGGAGCACTCGATAAATTGCACGGCCGTGCTGCCGTCGCGCGTGCGTGCGCGGGGTACGTATTGCTTATGCTTGGAGGCATCACCATAGCCACGCGAGCACGCGAGGGTGCAGTTGGCCATGTGGGCCAGGCAGGCTGCAGTGGAGGTGGTGGCCGTGCTCAAGACCACGGTTGAAGGTGGCGGACAACCGAGCGTGGACTCGTCGTCATCGACAATTGAGCGTACATGAAGGCGTCCGGACGCGCCACTGGCGCCGAGGGTCGAGGACGACGAGGGCGGGGAGCCATTCCTGGAACGGATGGCGCAGCCCAGGCGAGTGGAGGTGATCGGGTGGAGAGATGCGCAGATGGCGGCGGGAAGGGGCTGTTCGTCCGCGCTGATGCAGTCGCCATGATGATGGCCAGCCACGGCGCACACGGACTCTCGGTCGTGCGCGCGCTGGGCAGCTCGCGTCTTGAGGCGTGAGGCGTGAGGGATCGGGAACCTCGCGCGAGAAGAACGCGGGCGCGGAGAGCCGGGGGCGCGCAGGAAGCGCGATGGTCGAAGGCGAGGGCGAGTGATGCGAGCAGATGCGCCGTAAGCCGTGTGGGGAATCTGGCGGATCTGCGCAGGGCGATCTGCCAGCGGCAGGGCGCAGGAGGAGGACTGAGGCAAGCGCGGCTTCATTTCGCGCGTTCGCGACAACGTTGGAAGAAGCGACGCGACGGGCGGAAACGTGCGATCGAACACGGATTTTGCGGACCCAGCGCGCGCGTGCATCGTCGACGTCGGCCTGCCACCTGGGGCTGCGCGCGTCCGCCGCCGGTGCGTGCGGCCGTGGTGCGCTGCCCGCCCGCGGAGGGTGAGCGGCGGGGCAGCGATGGCGCGCACGACGGATGGCGGTGCGGTGATGGCGAGGCGGGAGGAGGAATGGAGTCTGCTCAGGGCGCCCTGGCGGCATCGGCGCTCCGGCAACCGGCGCTCCCCCGGCTGTGCGCCGGGCCACTGCCGGGCAGGCGCGAGGGCCGGGATGGGCGCCTTGGGTGGAGGCCATATTGGGGACGAGGCCGGGGCCGGGACGTTGCTTTTAATCGAGGGCGGCCTCTTTCGTACTCCCGTCTCCGTCTCCCCCGCCCTCGTCGCCGCTCGACTCGGCGTCCTTCCCCTCCCAACTCTAGAGCCGCGCTCGCCAGAGTGTGCGCCGTAATCTGTTCGCCTCTCTAATCTCCCCATAATCCTTGTTTGCCACGCCTGCCCACCCACATATATTCGAGCCAACCCAGGTCAGCGGCCCCGCCCTCCTAATCGATCTCTCTGCCCCCCCGCTCACGCTTTGCCCTCCCTCCTTCGCCACAGTAATGTCCGTATCACCCTATCCGCACGCCCGGCCACACCACTGACCACAGCTGCCGTCCCCAGTTATAGGCTAACGACTTGCAGGCGCACACGCTCTCTTGTATCATCCCTCTCACCTACGCACCATACTCCCCGTATAATGGAAGGCCTCGTCTCCCAGCACCCAACAGCACACCAGTTCGCCCTTCCTCTCGACGCACATTACTCCTCACGACCATCCAACGCCTACTCCCCCAAGCTCCTCTACCCATCCCACAACAGCTCCCCCGCCCACCTTTACGACCAGTCTTTCGCCCAACGCTACCCCTCCACCTCGCAACACTCTCTCCAGGTCCAGACAGCCCACCCCGCACCCCACGAACACGAGCTTGAAGAGCACACCGCCCACCCCGTACGCACACACGGAGGCTCCCAGGAACCCGACGACAGCATGGACATGGACCCCGAACACCAGCAATCCATCGCCGATGCCCTCACCGACAACCCTGGCCCGAATGGCGGCCTCAGCCGGCCACTGACCATGCAGGAGCGCGACATCCTCTCCCACCTCGACCGCCTCAAGTTCTTCCTCGCCACGGCGCCTTCGCGCTGGAGAGACGACGGCTTCTCCGGCCCCGATCCCTCCACAGTACCAGCCGGCCACCCGCACAGCGCGCATCCGGCCCTCAACCGCTTCCTGCTCCCCAACTCCGAGTACGTCTCCTGCGTCCTCTGGGGCGGCCTCTACCACATCACCGGCACGGACATCGTGCGCGCGCTCGTGTTCCGCTTCGAGGCCTTCGGTCGCCCGGTTCGGAACATGAAGAAGTTCGAGGAGGGGGTGTTCTCCGACCTCCGCAACCTCAAGCCGGGCGTGGATGCCTGCCTCGAGGAGCCCAAGGTGAGCACCGTCCCCTCCGCCTCCCGCGCCCAGCTCGGGGTCCGTTCGATGTCGGCCCACGATTGGTCGGAGGGAGCCTGATCGCAGATCGCGATGGGCGGCTCGGACCTCCGATTGAGCGGATTTGCGGCCCCCGGGGGACTGATGGGGCTCGATGCTGACCGCCCGCCCTGCAGTCGCCCTTCCTCGATCTGCTCTTCAAGTACCAGTGCATCCGCACGCAGAAGAAGCAGAAGGTGTTCTACTGGTGAGCTTCGCATCTTTCGCACCCGCCTGCGGGATGCCCAACCTTATCTCCGTGTCCGTCCCAGGTTCTCGGTGCCCCATGATCGACTGTTCCTCGATGCCCTCGAGCGTGACCTCAAGCGCGAGACCCGTGGAGAGGAGCCGACGACTGCCGTGGTCGGTGAGCCCGCCCTGTCGTTCACGTACGACCGTAAGCGGTCCCTGTACGAGCAGTTCTCCAAGGCGTCTGGAAACCGGGAGGGCGAAGGCGAGCTCGAGGCCGCGTCCGCCGCGCGGACGAGGCTCAGGCGAACGCCGATGACAGCGACAAGCCGTGTCCGTGTCCGAGTCAGACCAGTCCACGTCCGACGCGGACGACAGCAACAGCGACCCCGGCTCGTCCTCGCGCAAGAAGAAGTCGATGAACACGCACTCGCCCTTCTTCTCCATGTTCTCGCTCTTCGAGGGCTCCCCACTTACAAGCAGCGCCGCAAGAAGGTCCCCAAGGGCTCCCGCAAGTCCCCCACCGCGCCCGAGATGCACCACGCGCACGGCCTCCACCGCGGCGACGAGTTTGGCGTGCCTGCGAACGGGTACCACTACCGCGAGCCGCACCTGGACCGCTTCGGGCGCGAGACCATGCGCCTGAGCGCCGGGGACATGTTCGTCGGCCAGGCCCGCGGCGACTACAACGGCCAGTCCAACCCGGACATCGTCGCGAACCAGAAGGAGCGCCAGCGCCGCGCCCTCGAGGCGAACCCCGTCGCCGGCAGCAGCAAGCAGCAGCCCTACGGGCTCTCCGGGCCTGGCGTCACCGCCGAGAAGCTGGTCTTCCAAGGGCAGAACGACATGGCGGCTGCGTACGGCATGGCCGCCGCCGCAACGTCCTCGACCGCGGCCGCCATGGGCTTCGCCAACCAGCAGGCCGCGTTCGCGCAGCAGCGCCTCGACCACAGGTCGCAGCTCGGCCCGCGCCACACGTACCCGGTCGTTGACTACACACAGCATCACCCTACCCACGCGGAGCCGACCCGTACGTCTCCGCGGTCTGGGGGGCCGGCGGCGAGCAGCAGCTCGCGGGCGCGCCACGGTCCAAGGCGTTCGTCTGCCCGCTGTTCTCGTGCGGGCGGATGTTCAAGCGGATGGAGCACCTCAAGCGGCACCTCCGGACGCACACCCTCGAGCGGCCGTTCCAGTGCGACCGGTGCAAGAAGCGGTTCTCGCGCTCGGACAACCTCACGCAGCACGTCCGCACCCACGACCGTCGCGACGCGGCGTCGGCGTCGGGCCTCCCTGCGGCGGAGCCTTACGAGATCGAGGAGCCCGAGGAGGGCCTGCTCGACGCCGAGCTCGGGGACGCGGACGACATCGACCAGCAGCTCAAGTACATCCCCGGCGTGAACGGCATCACGAGCGTCCAGATGTGCGAGGTCGAGGTCCAGGGCCTCGTCCACGACGTGCAGGGCGATGAGGAGGGTCTCGTCACCACCACCGGCGCCGTCGCGCCCCTGATGGCGCCTCCGACGGAGATGACAGGCCAGGTCCAGCAGCCGCAGGGCATGTACGCGACGTACGGCGCGCCTTCGGGGACGGGGCGACCACGGGCTCGCCCGAGTCGCAGTGGGCGAGCGTCGGCCAGCACCAGCAGGCGCGCTCGCAGCAGCCGTCGCCGGCGTCGTTCGCGCGGCTCGACGCCTCCTTCCACACGCACCCGTCGACGGACTACATCACCTCGATCTCCGCGCCGTCCCACAAGCTGACCTTCGACCACGGCGCGCTCTACCCCCCGGAGATGCAGCAGCAGCACGGCGCGGGCCCGATCCGGCGGCACCGCAGCGCGACGCCAAGCATCGCGCGCTTCGGCGAGAGCATCCGGCGGCCGTACTCGGCCGCGCTGAGCGACGCCGGGGCGCGCGCGTACCACCCGTACGCGCACGCGGCGACCGCGACGGCGTCGACGCACAGCAGCCCGATGGCGTACACGGTGCCGCTCGGGTACGACGGCGCGCCGCGCGCCGCGCACTCGCGCCAGGGCTCGGGCAGCGGGGTCGAGATGGCGCACATGCTCGCGATGGACGGCGTGGACGGGTACCCGCAGGCGCAGCAGCAACAGCAGCAGCAGCAGCAGCCGATGCAGGGCATGTACCGGACGGACTCGCCGATGCAGTACTCGGCGTACGACTTGCAGCAGACGGCGCACCAGCAGCAACAGGAGATGTACGCGGTCGGCCTCGTGGACGCAGCGGCGCAAGCGGCGGCGCAGTACGCGCCGCAGGTGCCGGTCACGACGGGCTACTACCCACACCCGCACCACTCGCTCTAGGGCCGCCCCCGTCCTGCGTTCCTGCTCTGCGCCTACCGCCCCGTTGCTATCGCCGCCCAGGCACATACCCCGAGCACGTTCTGCATACCTCGCTTCGCCCCCGGTACCCCGCTTCCGTCTCACGTCTGTCCCCTCGCTTTCCTGCACGGCTCCGGCTCCGGCTCCGACTGGTCTCCCCTATCCTCATCCTTCCCCTCCGCACAGCACCAAGCACCAGCACCAGCACAACACATCGCAAGGAACATTATATCAATCTAATACGCAACCACGCGCGGATTTGTTCGCCCCGCTGTATCAAAACGACGTCCCCGCGCCCCTCGTCCCAGTCAACAGTCACTATAGTGCTTGCTATCGTTAACACCCTCATCCTCGCGCTGCAACATCTAGTTTTCCCGTCCCCCGTCTCGCCTCGCCTTCTTCTCTCCCCTCTTCGTTTGTCTTTTTCCGGTGCCCCGGCGCCGTACTTATTCCTTGCCGCTAATTATCAGCGCCAGGCGCACCCCCTACTTCTACTGCTACCACCACTACCGTACGGCTCGCATTTGTATATTCCACTAGTGTACGTCGATATCGATGCGGCGCTCCGGCCTCCCGCTCCCGCCCGCCCTGACCCACCCGACCTTGGTATACTGTACGGCGCTCCGCCGGCCGCGTGCCCCCGGAGTGCGCCCGCCGCTAGTTCAACCCACCACCATCCCCCTCACGCTCGCTCGCGTCACGATTCGTCGTCTCGTCTCTCCGATCCTGTTGTCCACTGCTGCTGCTGATGTGCTGGGCCGCGTCGTGCTGGGCCGGCGCCGGCCTTCCCGCCCCCACCGCCCCCTCTTCCCACTAGTCTTATTTTGAATTCGTGCCACCCACTACTACTATATTCTCGCCTCGAGACCTGCGCTCACGACACGCCTCCTACACTACACCGACGCGCCCACGAGCCCTAATCGCCGACACGTACCGTAACTGCGGGCTGCGCTGCGCGCCCGCCTTCCTAATCTTGTGGTTTCGGAGACCTGTGATGAATGTTATGAATCTATGCCTTACTTTCCCTTGCCTTGCCTTGACTTGCCTTTGGGTGTGTGCTTGCTTCTTTTCTTGCGTCGTTGGGGATTGAGTGTTGAGCGTTGAAGACGGCGTTGGACTTGAGCGCGGACTTGTAGGCCGGGCTTGAGCTTGAGCTTGAAGCCGCGCCCGCACCATCGATCGATGGGTGTGGGGAGGTGCGGTCGCGCGCGCGGCCCCCGCGCCTTATATACCGACCACCCGCCGCCCGCGCAAGTTTAGGTCGTATATGGCGTATTCAAGGATCCAAGGATGACGGATCACGGCCCTGACTAGGCTGCGCCCACCCCCGATCTCCCGGCCGCCTGCCCGCGCGGGCAGGCGGTGTGCGCGCGGTCGCTCCGACGGCTCGGAGGGCTCGGAGGCTAACGCGAAAACTTGGCACCTCGGAGCAGCGGCCGGCTGGAGTGCCGCGGTGGACTCCGTCTGCGTTGGGCCGCCTCTCGCGCGGTGGTGCTGTTCGTTTGCGTTTAGCTCTGGCGTTGGCTTCGGCTTTGGTTTTACCTTTGGGCCTTGGCGATGCGCGCTTTCAGGTTGGGTACAGACGTACGTACCTAGTGCTTCCAGTGACGGACCTCGTGCTAGGCCTCATCATGCTCATCATACTCATCATTCCGCCATCTCGCCATCAGATCAGCGCGCGATCGGTTCGCCCGTGAGGGGGTCGTGTTCGCCGCTCGGACGCCGTGAGGGCACGGGGCGCGGGCTTGGGGTGCTGCTGCGCGGCCGCCTCGGACCTCATCTCATTAGACTGCGCCAGGTGATTTGCACCTCGAATCGTGCGGGGTGGTCGCTGACTAGCGCTGACTCCTCCTCCTCCCCAAGGCCGTGTCGGGCAGCTTGGACACCGGATGCCCAGGCTCCGCGCGTTTCGTTGAGACGAGTATGTCGTCATCAGCGCACCCCCAGCACCTCGACTTATGATATGTATGTGGTATCCTTCTCTGCTCTTGTTCACGGCACCCTCGACCACGCGCCATCAAGAAGGCGTGTATCCGGCAGCAACAGCAACAGGACCTTCCTCACAACGTGCGCCGGCGTATGTAAGAACGTACGTACGGCAAGCGGGCCTGGAGACCCTGAGAGCGGTGCTCGCAGGACGCCTACGTTCGCCCGCGCCGAAAGGACATCAACGACGCGCCGGCGCCGTAATAAGTGATTGAAAAGTCTTCAGGCGGTCGCTGGGCAGGGGGGCGTCCTGTGGCCGTCTCTAGGCTCCGTTCCGGGCGTAATGTCAGTTCGTCGGTGACCTACGCCGCCTCCGGTCGAACCGGTATCTACATATTTGATCAGTGGGCACAGTGGCCTCCAGAGATCTATGAAATGACCACCCGGGCGACGCGGAGGGCACTTGGCAGTGGCGGCGCACGGTGCGAATGTGTGCAAAAGCATTCGTAGCTCGTTGAAGCGCGAGGCACTGGCTCAGCGGCGCATGCGTGCAATTGCAATCCCATGTGTTAACGTACCCACTGGCCATGGTCCACCGGACTCTCCCCGACGCGCGCCCGGAAGCCCGAAGGCCTGAAGGTGGTGATGATGGTCAAAGTTGGTGGTTCCGCAGTGGGGAAGCGCGCGGAGAGAAGCTCGAGCCTCGCAGCTCGCAGCTCGGGGAGGCCGCCGCCCGATCACCATACGCATGATCACAGGCACGGCCGCGGCCGCGTTCGTGACCTAATTGCCGCCTGTGAGCGCGGCTGGTGAACGCCCAGCTCTGTCGGCGAAGTCACCGAGCAAGGAACGCGAGAGGCCCAGAGGTGGCATGGCGGCCGCACAAATCCAATGCAGCGCGCCGGGCGGACCGTACGTACATTGCGCGCGCGTGCGTCATTAGCACCGGCTGAGTCGACACCGGACTCACCTCCGCGCCGGGGACCTGCAGATACAGCGCGATGCTATGTGGTCGGCGTAGCGCGAGGGGAAGGCGACCGCGCTGAAGTCGGACGGTACTAGACTCGCAGTGTGGATGCGATGTCTGTGGACTTTCGCCTATGGTGAACCGCCCCGGAGATTGATCTTGTCGAGGCGCGTTGCCCCCGGGTGAATTACACAGGGCGGAACAGTGGAGTCCTGGCACTAAGGTCCTGAGCGTACACAAATGTCATTCTTCCTCGAAGCTCCGCGCGTGGTGTAGAGAGCTAAGTACCTGGGAGGATCCTGGGCAGAGGGGGTGTGACCGCCGCGATCAAACAACTCACATCCGAACCGAACGTAATACACCCACAGCCGCCGTCTATTCCACACGTCCCACGTCCGCCCGCTCTCCGCCTCCGCCCCGTCAGCGGTCACGCGTCCAGCACCAGCTGCCCGTCCCACACATACTCCCGGAAGACGTTCGGCCACCACCGGACCTCCGCCCCGCCCGCGCCCCCGGAGAAGAGGGCGACGCCGGCGCCGCCCTCGTCGCGGCAGACGTCGCCCGCGCGCTCCGCCTCGTCGACCATCTCCTGCGTGAGCCCGATCGGGAGGTCCTCCGCCGTCGCGATCTCCACCGTCGTCCGCGGGCCGGCTGCGGGCGCGCGGGCGCGGTTCCGGTGGGCGTGCGGCGATCGAGAGGGCGAGGGGCGAGCGAGGGCGGATTGGGTTAGCCGCGAGTGCGGAGGAGGTCCGAGAGGGGGCGGAGCGCCGGGCGGAGCGGGGGAGGCGCCGAGGGCGGGCGGGAGAGGTGGACGGAAGGCGTTAGCGGCCGGTGCAGGGACGCGCGGACCGACGGAGAGGGAGGGAGATGGGTGGCGGCGCGGGGGAAGAGAAGGACGGCCGTAGTCAGCAATGTGGAACGCTAGCCGAGAAGACGGGCGGAGGGGACTCACTGTGGGTTAGGATGCCGACGAGCCGGGCGGTGAAGGCCGCGGCTCCGTACGGCGGCGTGTGGAGGACGGAGAGGCCGGAGGCGGCGAAGGTGCGCATCTGGATCGGTGGGTTCGTGAACGAGGGGAGGAGGGGGAGCACTTGCAGAAATGTGTTGGGCGGGATGAGAGCTGCACATCCCGATATGCGAGTCAGTTCGCAGGATACCGACGAAGACTGGCGAAAAGGCGATGGATGAAGAGAGACGCGACGCACCGACCCCCCGCGCGCGGTTCCACCCGCCCCAGACCCCGTCTAGCCCCACGATCCCGCGACGGCGCATTATGCCCTCGCCTCCCTTCCCTGCCGCGCCGGAGCCCTCCAGTACCCCAGCCAGCTCGCGCGCGAGCCCCTCGTACCAAGCGCGCTCGTCGCGGACCATATCCTGAGTCACCGGGGCATTGCTCATCTGCAGTCCGAGCTGCGCGAGCGACGACCGGATGAAGGTCGCCTCCTCCGGCTCGACGGGCGCGGACGCCGAGGGTGTGGACGACGCGGCCGTGAGCCGTTCGTTGAGGTCTTGCGAGAGCTTGACCATGTCCTTCCACTTGACCATGAGCGCCTCGAGGTCGGCAAGCGAGTCTTCCATATTCGACTGCGACGTTGCGGCGGTGGTCTCGACGGAGCGGAGGATACCATCTAGATTACGAGTGAGTAGAAGGCGAGAGAGGTTGATAAGGTGAACCACGAACTGATCCCTGACCTGCCGAGCGGTCGTGACGAGGAACCGACGGCACTCGAGTCTGCGGCGGCAGAGGTGGACTTCGACTGAAAAAAGAGCGTAAAGAGTTGATGCCAGGCATGCGACACGGGAAACACACCTTCCACGCTTTCCCGAGTATGCTTCTCCGGAGAACGTTGTAGAACGGCTTGTCGCCTCCCTTGCGGAAGCTCAGTCGGATCATGCGCTTCTCCGGCGAGTCATCGTCCCAATCGTCGTCAGAGTCTGGCTGCGGGGTGGCAGATCGCGAGGCTGGAGCGGAGCGAACAGCAGCTGGGAGAATCGGTTGCTCCTGGGGGGCAGGCTTGGGAAGCGCGGTACCACAGATCTCGCACTCTCGTAGCAGAGGGCTGTTGATGAAGGTGCACGCAACGCACGCAATCTCACCAGTCGAACTGGCGACAGCTGGTACCGGAGGCGAAGGCGCTGGAGATGTCGATGTGGAGAGGCTCAGTCGGGCGAGGTTAAAGGAGGACGATGGGAGCGATGTCGAGATCGAGGAGAGTGGAGGGGTCGCCTTGGTGGGGATGTTGATCGGAGTCTTCGACATCTTCGAGCGCGGGACCCCGCACAGTGAACACACTGGCGAGGAGGAAACCCGAGGGGATTGCGATTGCTGCAGACTCCGCACTCCCAAAATTCGACCTCCCGATTAGGCGTCGAAGGCTTTGGCGGTGGTTGACTGAGACTTGTAGATGACGATGGAGGTTGTGCTTGAGGCTGTGCTGGTGTTGGAGGCGAGTTGAGGTATAACGTGGCTTTGGCGGAGCTGGTGAAGAGGCCGGCGTAGTACTCCGTCCTGCCAACATGCTCCAGATCGAGTAAGAAGGATCGCGAGAAAGGATGAGCGCCGTCGACGTAGAACAGTCGATGTGTGGTCGCGTAAACGGTACCGGATTGGTGATGTGGTGCTTTCTGCGGGCTGCGGTAATAGCTTCAGCAGTGGCATCAGTATTGAAATGATGAAGACATACCCATCATATATGCCCACACCTTCCTGAGATGTGAGAAGGGTCTCGTCGTCGAACAACAGTGCCTGTACAGGGATTGTCCCATCCACGCTAGAAGTGAACCGTTTCAGCGCCATGGCTGGCGGCACGCGACCTAAGATCCGACTCGTTAGAATCGAAGATAGACCACTCAATGCCTGATGCATACAACAAGAGGAAACGCGGTCTTGTGACTATAGCTGTATCTGTATCCGATTGTGAACGAGAAGCAGAGAGAAGCGATGCAGAGTCAGGTGTTCTGGCGCGAGATGACCGGGTCGCCTGTCTACAGAGGTTCAACGCTCAGTACGCATGTACTAGGGCACATTGATGGAACGAAAGTTTACCTGGCGGCGCACGGGCCTCGTACAAGTGCCGATGAGTGTTGGGCTAGAGGAGGAGTACGATCTCAATCCGAGAGTCCGACTGGCGCTTGTTCCAGGCCGCGAGACACGACATCGCTTATGTAACAGATAGACGCCTACCTCGTTGCTATTCACCGCCAGTGACATCATCATCCTTCTCTCGTCTCTGACAAACACGCTACTCACCCGTTTCCCAGTCTACCAGCAAGATGCGTATTACCAGCTGCGTATGAGTTGTTCTCCTCAAAATGGGTTGCTTATGGTTTGCTTGTGTCGCAGGCCGTACATTTTATCACTAATCACACGCTAGCCTCTCTAAGTCCACTGCTAGCATGACTCACATGCACTGGTTCTGGCGTATTATTCTAGCGTGGAGACTGATATTTCCAACACAGTACCTGCCAAGGAAGAAGCTCATGTCTATCACCTCAGCTGCTTCGTGTCCGGCCTCTCACGGTAGACATTTGCGCAGCTTGTCTGTTTCTTTCCCGGAACCTCCTCCAAGCGTTTTTCTGATGATCTTGACATGCATGCTACCCTGAACGTCGCAGGGTAATACTGCCGGTTCCTGCCACGCCCGGACTGTGCGTACAAACATCAAGCACGTTGTGTCATGGTCTCTCGTTGGCGGTGACCGGTCTCAATCATGGGAGCTTGAGACATGACCAGCTGAGCAATCCCACTATACACAAGCTAGAAGTCGCAATCCCTCCGTGTTCTCCCTCGCTCTTCCGACGACTTGTCGAGGAACAAGCACTCCCGTCCTTGGCAAACCCTCACGCGGTCGCTGCCTCAGACGTGCGTTCACATACACCGCTCGCCGACCCGGTGCTGCAATCCTACTGGCCCGTCTCGCCCCGCGCCGCCATAACACCTCTCATGTTTGTGAGCACCGGCCTTCGGCCAAGGATTATCCGTGCGAAGAGTGGACTCGTCCACTCACATAGACTTCACCGTGCATCCGACCAATCGCCTCTCGCCCGCTGACGCGGCTTCTCGCTCCGCCATTCAGCCCTCCATCGCACCGCGCTCTTCGCAGATGATGCTGAATGTATCTGTGCGTCGGGGAGCACGCCCTTCGCACCCCGAGATCTAGACTATGCTCCCCTCTGGGCTGCTCGACGCTCAGTGAATGGCTCCACTGGCGAAGTGCGAATGCCGAGACTGTAGAGGTTCTGGCGCCGCAGTCACACCAGCATCCCGCTGCTCTGTTCGTCCCGAGACTGCATGCAACGGCCCGCCCTCTGAATGCTTCCTTCTTGCGATGCAGTTGGCTAGCTGACTAGGGGGTCAGGCTAAAGTACTTCGCCGCGCCTGGGCCGCGACTTCCCCGGCTTAGCGTGGGCGGAGACTCGGAGGAGCCAACCAAATCGTTCTTTGCGTCATTGGTCGGAGCCGATCCCTAGCGGTGTCGCGGCCATTGTGGCAGGTGTACGTAGATGGATTCAGGGTGGAGGACGGAGGAGCGAGCGCGGGCAGGGTTGGCGATGCTCAGACCCTGTGGCCGTCCGCGCACTCGAGCTGCGCGCAACCCAATTGGAGCTCCTGTGCCTTGCGCACGGAGCTCGCGTGAACCACCACGTACGTATCTGCGCCTCTGCCTATCCACGAAGCTTCCACTTCAATGAACGCAGTGAGAGCCCCCGTGGAGCGCAAACAAGCCTAGGGCCTAGTGCACAACCAGCCCGCTCGACGATGAGGCCTGCGCCGAACATAGAGCCCGAGCACACCGACCCCTTCACCTGCGCAATGTGCTCCCCCTCCCCCGCAATAGAGAGAAGCCCGCGCCCCACACATACGTGTGCGGTCAGCATCCCCACAGCACTTTGTGTGGGGGGCGGGGGCGTGAGTGTGCTTCCCGCGCCAAGCCCGGGGACGACGGGCTTGCCTGAGACGGTGCCCGTGCGCACATGCTGCCTATGTATACCGCGGGGCGAAGTGCTGCTAGACACGGGAGCACGGGGCACGAAACACGAAGCACAGAGCACGGGAGGCAGACGGCAGCAGGCGTGCCTCGTACCTGAGCACAGACAAGACTCGAACACGAGCCCGAGCGTGCGGCGGCGGCAGGCGATCGAGGGCGGCGGGGAAGTCGGACATGCGAACGCGAACGCGGATGCGACACAAGGGGACGCTGGATGCAGGACGGGTCCGGGGCGGCGTACATAACACGTGCGTGCGTGACAATTGGAGATGCGGTGGGTGCGGGCGCGGCTCTAGTAGCAGTACGGTACATCCGTGCGGGTGCGTACGGGGGCAGAGGCGGGATGGGATGGGAGACGGGCGGGACGGCGCGCGAGGACCGCGCACGCGCGCACGCGGACACGACCCTCCCCTCTGGAGAGAAGGGGGGCGCGGCGCCGGCGCGGAGGCGGCCTCGGACGCGCGCGCACCGCGAGTCGGTCGTGTCGTGTCGGCGTGCATGGGTGTACGTGGCGTGGTCGTGGCTCGTGCAGGGGTTCGTCGTCTCGTCTCATCTCATCTCGTCGCGGTCTCTCTTTCTCTCGTGCGTCCGGGGCACAGGCCGCGCGGCCCCGCCCTGTCCGTGTCCGTGGATGATGTCGCGGGTAGTATGCTGGTGGTGTCGGGCAATAGGATGATGCTGCTGTATGTGCGATGCGGTGCGAACGCGGGTCTGCAGCAGCGAGGAGGACGCGTCAGCACGGGATCCTGCACAAGAGCACACGTGGACGAGCGCGAGTGGACGGTGGGAGCGGCGGCGCGAAGGTTCGGCCTGTGCAGCGCCCACCGCGCCCCCCAGTGCGCGAGGAGCGAGGGGGCGGAGACGCCCACGTGAGAGAGCACGCACGGCCAAGGCGGTTCCGGGCGGCGCAGTGGGAAGGCGGTCGCGCACTGGGAACGGGCGTGCTGCGGGGTGGGAAGCCCAGTCCGAGCGAGGGGTAGGTGTCCCCACGCTCGTGCTGGGCTCCCCAGACCCTGCCTCCTCCTCGTCCTCGGGCAGCGCGCGCCCCGCCGCGCACTCGTGCTCCATCGCTGCACACCCAGGGCGGGTTGCGTCACCTGGTGTGCGGGGGTGCCCGGCCCCGGGCGGGGGGCGCGCTGCCACCGCTGCTCACACGAGCGAAGGGCAGGGTGAGAGTGTGGCGAGCGCACCCGGGAGGCGGAGGCGCACTGGCCCGGTCGAAAGGCAAGGAACCCGAACGGGCAGATGACACGATCCGGAGGTCAGGAGACTCACCAATAATGCGATAGTGTACAGTATGAACAAAGGGTCATCACCGGGACCGGGTCGAGCGCGAGGACCGTATTGACACACGGTCCCCCGCGCTGCTCCCGTCTGCGGTCGTCGGTGCGCTCGCGTTCGTCGGCGTCCGCTGCCCGTCGTGGCGCTCGACGGAGAGGCTGAGCGGGCGCGACTCCGAGCCCGTATTCGTATTCGACGCGGCGCTCGAGGCGGTGATGCCCGTTTGGCTCTCGTCGGGTGAGATGGCGATGAGCGACGGTGCCTGCGACGTGAACGACGGTGGGCGGTCCGAGTATCCGCTCCACTGGCTCTGCGCGTCCGAGTCCGAACGCGGACGTGCGCCGGTGTCGTACACGCCGCGCGAGCTCCCATTGGCCTGTCGCGGCACCGGCGACGTGCTGACCGGGTTCGTCGCGACGGGCGAGTACCCCGCGAGGATGGCGGGGATCGGAGAGGAGATGGCGGTGGGGAAGGAAGGGGGTGCGTAGTAGTAGTCGTCCGCGCCGTCCTCTGGAGGCGGCGGCGTGGGCGGCGGGACGTCCGCGTACGACGTGTCTTCACCTGGGCCGGGGAGCCCCGACGTGCCCCAGGGCGGCGACGTGGAGCTCAAGAGGGCGGTCGTCGCGTCGGCGGGCGGAGAGTACGGTGGCGGGGGTGCGGGGACGACCGTGCCGGGGAAGTACCGAGGGACGAAGGGCTGCGGGCCCTGCATCGGCGGGGCGTCCTCAGAGGCGTCGGTGTGGAACGACTCGCCGTCCCAGTCTGGGTCGGAGGCGCGGTGCTGTCTGCGGCGATTCCGACGCTCGCGTCGGCGTGCGCGCATGCGTCTGCGGTAGATGCTGATCGTCACCGAGAGCGCGAGGACGGCGAGGAGGCCGACGCTGCCGCCGACCGCACCGGCGAAGGTGGCGACGCTGTGCGCTTTCGAGGTGCTGGACATCGTCGTAAGTCGTCGTGGAGGAGGGTGGGGGGCGCGGGGGCAGAAGCGGGTGGAAGTGAGGTGGGGGACGAACAACAGGAGCAGACGAGAGGGCGTCCAGGCGGCGAGTACATATTGAGGACGAGGATCAGGAGCCAGCGAGGAGTCGTTTCGGGCAGCGAATGGGATAATTCGGTGCGTGAGTGAATGGGTGATCCCGAAATACTAGCGGGAATTATACGCACAACCTGGCGTTCCCGGGATCCTTTGGCGCCGGAGTTCCAGTGCCTGTCCCCGTCTGTTGGCCCGAAGCGGCGGTCCCACTAGACGAGGGAGGAGTCGACCCATCTCCATCGCTTGCGGCGCCGGCGGTGTACACTATGCTGTCCAGGAGCAAGACCGAGTCCGGTTCGACCTGCATCGTCAGCGAATGCGCCCCTTCCGCCATCCCGGTGTGGCTGAAGATGAGTGTGGTAGGTTGGAACCCGGTGGCATTGGGTGACCCTGCATGCTGGTAAGTCCCAGCGGTGTGCGAGTCCACCAGGAACGTGAGATTCATGAACGTCGGCGTCGAGTTCGTCTGCGCGTTCGCCAGGGGGATTATAGCATAGACGTACACCGCCGAGCCTGGAACCGCATGTCAGCACCGTCCGCCTGAGCCACCCGATTGGTTGCCCAGCCAGGATCCCGTGACCCACAACATAAGCACGCACCGGTGAAGTTGAAGGCGGCGGTCACGAGGGTGTCGACGAAGCCCGCATCATCACTATCGAAGTTCGGCGTGAAGAACGGATTCGACGTCGGGCTGCTGTCTGTGTCGGCTCTACTCGCGACACCCCGCCTTTTCCTCGCCACTCGTCCTCTTCTCCTCTTTCGCGAGTCGCCGTCGTTGTCATCGTCGCCCTTCTTGCCGTCGTCGCCGTCGTCGTCACCTGTCTTCGCAGTCGTCTGGGTCGCTTTCGCCGTCGAGGAAGTGCTCGAGGGCAGATCGTCGCTGTCGACCGTCGGGATGATGTGCGTCCCGTCGTGCCACGTGCCCTGCGACGCCAGCGACGGGTCCGGCGCGAGGCACGTCGAGCACGACACCGTCGAGGAGCGCCAGACGACGCGGGGGTATAGACGATCTGCGACGCGACGTCGTCCACGGTGGTGTTCACCCCGCCGGCGCGGGCGAGCGTGAGAGGCAGCAGAAAGGGCAGAAGCGGCGGCGACAGGAGCAGCACTATCCATGCGGGGCGGGATGTGCGTCGCCTTGGCCTGGGTAGGGGTGTCAGCGTGATGGTTCCGCCGCGCCGTGAAGCCGAGTCCCGAGAGCGCGACTCGCCTCATAGCAGAACGTCAGGAATAAGGATACAGGGGGCTGCGTGCGGCGGCGTCGTCGCAAGCGAGCGTCTTGAGTGCGTCGCGCGCCCTTGGCAGAGATTCGGAAGCCGGGTTGAGAGGATAGGCGGAGAGGAGGACGGAGGGGCGAGCGCGGATGTGGGAGGCAAATTTGGATCGCGCCCGGGGGGTAGGAGCCTTAAAGGGACGACGGGGAGGTAGCGCGAGAAGGGGAGCTCCCATCCGCGCAGGAGCGGGCGGAATTTGCGCGTGGGTGGAGAGGGGCCCCGCCTGTGTATTCGGGGGCTTTAGGAGGCGGTCGATCGCATAAGCGAGGCCGGGGACTACGCACGGAGTGGAGAGCCGGCAAGGCAATGTTTTAGACATCGTGCGGGGCATGGGAATGCGCTCGTCCGGGCAACGCCGTGCGCAGTGTGCGCGGCGGGAAAGAGAGGGATCGCTTGTGCGGCTGGTGCGCGAGGCTTGTTGAGAACGCGCTGTAGGAAGGCTTATCAGAGACTATGCGTGTCGCCGCCGCGCCGGAGAAGGTCGAGAGCCGCGAGAAAAGGCGGAAACCTCCCATCTGCGCAGAAGAGTATTCAGTCCACCCACCTCTTCGTTGAATTGAGCCTGATGACGATGGGTGGATGCGCTCAGACTAGCGCTTCTGCCAAGCCTGGCGATGTTTGTGCGCTGTCGAAGTTTCAGCGCGACATGGGCTCTCGAGCGGACTTGTCCTTGCAGTTTGCGCAGCTGCGGTCTGTCGGGTGCAGACGACGGCGCACAGGAGACGGTTTGTGAGCATCGGAGGGCGGGTGTGGGAGTGGCAGATGGTGGCCAGTGGGAAACCTGATGCGCGCCTCGACGCTTGCACTTGCGCTCCCACCCCTCCTTCGCGAACTGCGTCGAACTCAAGCTGCGCGCAACTCACACAGAACGTGAAATGCGCGTTGGGCGTGCTTCGATGTCGGTGCTCGACGCGCGAGAGCGGGCTCGACGCGCCTGGCGTGAAATGCCAGATTTTGAAGGCTGAGTAATGTCCAGGCTCCTGTCCACCCTCGTCTACAATTCGGGTCTCCGTGAGTTACGGCAACCCTGGCATAGCCCGCTGGTATGCCCTGTCGCTCTTCGCCCCCTTCCCGGTCGAGCGTAAGCGCGTCCCAATCGAACGTGCGAATGGCAGGATGTGCACTGCGGCCCCGTTAGGCTCACGCAGGCGCCGCACGGCGAGTGCGGCAACAAGCAGGCGTCTTCCAAGGGCATGTGGTGTAGTTGGTTATCACACTCGCTTACATAGCATCGGCATGCCGACCTGTGCGAGGGGGGCCTGGTTCAATTCTGGGCATGTCCATCACATCTATGTTTATGCGTTTTGGAAGAAATAGGTCCATGGGTTACATATCGAATGGGTTTAGGTTGCCTCATTTTCACGACACATTGGGGAGAATTTTTGTTCAGCGAAGTTTTGACACGCCGGCATTGAAACACGTATGTCCGGGCTCCATCCACCGTGGGTTGAGCCTGTCATTTCGGGAAGAACGTCGTGGTTTACGGCGGGGCTGAGCATCATCCTTCGAGAATCGAGATGGGTTGGATGATCGTGCTTGCCTCGGAGGTTGATGGTACATACGTGGTACTCGCAAACATCTTCGACTGAACTCGCTCGTTCCATTACGAAGGATTGGTCGATATTTTCAACGACCAGCTGTCCGCCGACTCCACGGTGGCCCCTCGCGCCAGCCTGTGCCCGTCCGCCTCAGCGCCTTGCTGCGCTGTGAAGCCGTCCCAGGAAAGCCTGACCCGGGTCCCAGGCCCCGAACCCAACGGGTCCGCCGCCACAAAACGGAGCCTTCGGTGCACCAGAACCAGACGAAGAAGACCAGACGCGCCTCCACAGGCCTCCAGAGTCGCCTCGAGCAGCGACGACGTCCGGGATGCGTCCGTGCGCTCCCGCCCGTCCTGAACGCTACTGCACGAGGCTTGAGGTCCTGCACGAACGTGCTCGAGCCTGCGCGCGTCGCGAGGATCTCCGTCAGGCTAGGCTCCGTCGCACAGTGCACGCTTGCTGTCTCGTTCTCGCTGTAACCCCGGCTCTCCACGTCCAGCCGCCCGCCCGCCCGCCCCGGCCCGCTCTCGCAAGACCACGGGGACAGACCGAACACACGGGAATGGTGGAGACGGCGGAGACACCGGAGCAGCGGGGAGATGGGGGATGGGGGCAGGAAGAGCTACACTGAATCGAATGCGATTGCGCGGTACACTTGTACATTGTTTCGGTCCCAGCAGTCAGTCGGACCTTCCTCCGCTCGTCTTCACTCCTCCGCCGCGGCTTCGTCGCTCTCCGCCACCGCCGCCTGCGTCGGCTTCGTCCCCGTCCTCCACCAATCCCAGATGGTGGTCCCCTCCAGGTTCACGAGCGCCTTCAGGTAGTCCTCGAAGAGCGCCTTGCGCGCGGCGGGGGTCATCGCGATCGTACTCGTGATCCTGGCCGCGAGCTTGTCGCTGGTGTCGGACAGGTTCTTGGCGTTGAAGTGGATCCCCTTGCCGGTGTCGTCGTTGTCGATGCGGACGATGTCCTCGAGCACGCCGGCTGCGGTGCGGCGGGCCACTCCTGTGCGCGACGTCAGATCGCGACCTCTACGGCGCGTTCAGCGGAAACACGCACCGACGATCTGTCCTTTGTAGGGACCCACTTTGCTGTGTGACCGAGAGGGTCAGCGAATGTACTCCGAGGGGGGCTAGCGCGAGACGGACCTGGGATAGGGTGCGAGCTTGGAACGGTCGACCTTCGTGCTTCCTTTCTCCACCCACGCGCAAGCGGCCTTGGCGGCGGCTTGGTAGTCGGGATAGTCTCTGACGGTTTCGGGCATGGCGAGTAGATGGTCGTTGAGAGTTCGAAAGCGTCGGTTGTGGAAGATGGGGAGTCTGGGGGAGTGAGCAGTGAGCACCCAGTATTTATACAGCTGGCCGGACGCAGCGACTTTGACCACGCACCCCAAAATTCACCCCCTCGTTTGTGGCTTCCATGTGCTATGCCAGTCACTGTCGGCACGCCGAGTGCCATATTCCGTGCGGAATAGAGACGACATCCCACGGCGATCGCCTCTAACGACGCTTTGCTCCCTCAAAAACGCCCCGGCGGGGCAAGTGACTGACGTACAATATATTCCAGGACACCATCACGAGGTGCGGTGCGGCATCGGCACGGCCACTCCATCCATGCGTCGTCTTGGAAGGTGGCGAGTGTTCGGATGCGCTACGGGAACCATGCAACTCAGTTACTGGATGAGGAGCCCACTTACATACATGACGAGAGCGTTAGGCACGAGAGTGTAAAATCTATAGGTGAAGGCGCACCTGAGCACATCACGAGGCACCGCTGTCACCACTGGGTTGGGTTCGTCGCGTTCGAGGCCACAGTGCGGTGCCGACGAAGAGGATTGGAGGACGGGAAGAGGAGGTCGCAGGCGAAAACGGGGCCTCCGGGATCACGGTATGTGCGGGTCGGCAAACGACGTCGAGTCGTCGACGGCGTGCTGCGCGACGAGGGCGGCCGCTGAGCGAATCGATGGAGCGACTTTGAGCTCGAACTCGGGTGCGAGGGGAACGGGCACCGGAGGAGTTAGCTTTGCGGTGGGGACTTGGCACATGAGCTCGGCCTGGGGGTTGATCGAACATCCCTGGCCCATCGTCACACCGGCACCCCGGCAGGGGTGTTCGATTCACCTGTCGAGGACACGAGATGCAGTGCCGAGTGATTCTCGTTCCGCCCCATCCAAGTCGTCCGCCTCCTCCCGGTCGCTGCCGTCAAAGTCGAGCGGCATCCCGACCCCAGCCATCCAGGCGGCGTTGTCCTCAAGAGCGGGAGGGACAGTGTCGGCGCTTCGGACGGGCGCAGGTTGAGGATGAAGCGGTAGACGACCAGGGACTGCTGACCTGGCGCGGGTGGGGGGAGGAAGTTGGTCAGCATCGAACGAGTCGGAGACGGGGGAGGTACCCGCCGGGTGGGCGCTCGCAAGGGAGACGCCGTGCGCGAGCTTGAGGTAGACGACGAGGATGACAAGAAGGGCGGAGCCATGTGTGGAGAGCGAACATTCATGCCACGGAGGTTCTTTTCGGTGTGGGGCTTGCACGAAAGTGACCGAGCCTATGATGTATCAGCGGTATCAGTGGTGTCGCGGTGGCCGACGCGATCCTCGCACCGGAGCGTCTGGTACGCCGTGGGTCAGGTCGTGGGAGGCGACCATAGACTCGTCGAAAGTATGCTCCTGGTCGAAGCCGAGGAGCGCGGCGAGCAAGGTGATGCAAACTGTTCGAGCGTGGCCCGTTGGTTCGGTGTCGTGGACTCGTGGTGGCATCCCTTGAGATCGGTGACCGCTGGGACCGATGCGGATGGGACGGTGGTTCTCCACTGCGCGGGCGTGCCAGTCGCGGGCAGCTTGAAGGCCTGGTTGACGACGGCCTCATCGATCTTGAGTCTTGACTGGCGTCGAGAGGATAGGCGGTGATGTTGGAAAAGATTCTAGAGGACATCTCGAACATCACTTGGTCTTGTTTTGGGAAATGCTCAGCATCACCAACCTCCTCCTGAGGAAACAGGGCGACGAAGATATTCCGGGGCACGCGCGAACTGCATCGCGGACGACTCGACTGAGCGGGTGTGGGGAACATGACACGCAAGTCATGGCACAGTTCAGAGAGCACACTGGGCGCTTCTGCAGGCTCGCAGCTCCCACGCAACTCTGACCATGGTGCGGCGCGGCAGCTTGCTCGCACAGTAAAAGAACTATATATTGGCTACGACTCAGGATCGCGAACGCCCTTGTCTCATATCCCGCCGCGGGATTCCACCTCCGCCGCTGTCCGCCCATGGGGGCCGTGGTGGTGTCCGTGGTGGTGTCCGTGGTGGCGCCCGTGGTGGCGCCCGTGGTGGCGCCCGCGGCGGAGGAGGCACTGCGCTGCTGGCCTCCCCCACACCTCCTCCTCCTCCCGCACTTCTGTACTGTCCCCCGTGCCATCCTCCAACCCACGCCCCTGCCTTTCTAAATGTCTGTTGCGCCAGTGATGTTCCCATGCGAGCTGGTTCCCAAGCACGCGGCGGGCTTGCGCCTCCGCCTCCACCGCCCGGCGCTCCGCCTCACATTGTTCCACCACCCACCGCTCCGCCTCGCGCCGCAGTGCCTCGAGTGCCGCGCGGTCCTCCATCGCCTCGCGCTCCGCCTCGCGCCGCGCCGCCTGGGCCTCCGCCAACCATCGATCCGCGTCTTGGGCGCGCGAGTTCGCGAGCGCAAGCTGTTGCTCGAGCACACGGAGGGTAGTAGCCTCGGCCGCTGCTGCCCTCTGCGCGTGCGCGCGAGCCTCGGCGACCGCCTGGAGCCGGTCTTTTTCGGCTTCGTTCGCTCGCTGCTCTTGCGCGCGAGATTCGGCGACCGCCCGGATACGGCCTTCTTCGGCTGTGGCCGCTCTCCGCGCGTGCGCGCAAGCCTCGGCGACCGCCTGGAGATGGTCTTCTCCAGCTTCGTGCGCTATCTGCTCTTGCGCGTGAGACTCGGCGACCGCCTGGCGACGACCCTCTTCGGCCACGCGGAGAGCGTCGTTGAGACGCTCTACCTCGGCCTCGGGGGTGGTTGAGGTTCGGGTTCGAGAGGGACAGAAGACCCGGTCGAAGGGTGTCCCTGACATGCATAGGTGATCAGCCACCGTCTCGCCAGGAGGGAGAAAGGATGGGGTACTCACGTGAGGGGGAAGGACCATCCCTAGTCTCCGCAGCGTTGTCCTTGATGGAAGGAGATGCACAGAGCGTCGAATGCTCCTGGGAAAGAGAAGAGACGGTGTCGGCTGACGGGGAACCGTCGCTGCCGTCGAGGAGGGCGTGCGGCAGCGAAATCTCGTCAGCCTCGCCTTTCTCGGGCTCGGCGTCGGCGCGTGTTCGGCAGTGGGCCATTCTGTCTGGAGACTGGGAAGGCTGGCTGGTTGGATGGGTGGAGGAGAGAGAAAGCCACTGCAGTCGGAAGTGTACGGTGGTACGGTGCAGAAGTCTCCTAGCCCCTAGACAAGCTGCCACTCCAGCCCCTCGCTGCGTGCGTTCCATATGTAGCGCTGCGTAGTGGCGCAGACGCGGCCCACTTTGGCGCGCCACCCGCTATGTCGTTCGTGCACCAAAACTGCGCGTGCTGTGTCTCCCGGTGGTGCTGGCGAAGGGCGACTTCGGTGCCGCGCACGAAGAGGAGAAGTTCACTGAGGCGGAGGCGCGCCCAGTCTAGTAACCTAGCCGTGCGGGCTCTTGGTCGCACGGCTCGTCGAGGTGCAAGGTGGTCGGGGAGCGCAAGCGTTGGCAAGCAAGGGCTGTGATGAACTTCGTCCTCGACGCGCCGCTCCTCCTTCCGAGCGTGAACAGACCGCTCGGTCGTGCATCAGCAGCGCGATCGGTCCCAAGCGCTCGGCCCGCGATCCAGTGAAGGGCGACGGTGCGAAGCCTGGAGAACGCGGACGGCTGCGCCAACGCGCGGTGCTCGTCTTCGAACCAGCTCCATTCTAGTATGTCGAGTATCTGCTTCGGAACAAGACTGAAGTCAACACTGGAAGAGGTCCGTGCGAGATGGAGAGGAAACGGCACCTTGTCCGCATATGTCGTGGAGATTTGCGCTCTTGTTTTGTTCTTGGGTGCGTCAGAGCCCCGGATGGACGTGTCGAGCTCTCTCCAGACGCTGGTTCCGTCATTGCACGCGAGACGAACGCCGCGCTCAGGCTTCAGAGGCGTTGGTGTCGAAACCATCAAAACGCGCGGAGGATGCGAGAAGCAGCATTGAAAGCCTGCAAGACGTCGAAACATTCTCAGGCAAGCCTCCATATCACTGCTAGTTGCAAACGCGCACATACCCGTTTTCGATGCCGATGCATGAGGTGACGAAGGCTATCTTCAATGATGTCATGGGTTAGCCGACACAGAGAGCGATGAGAGAGCCATTAATGATATATGTAGTAGTAGTTGAACAGTTGGACGCGGGCCGTAAGCCCTTCTCTCTCGAAATCGCACCGGGCCACTGCGCCGACATCAACATGTGAGTGGACGCCTCTCTCGCAATAGTCCGCCTGCTTCCTCGGCATCCATTTGAACGGAACGGCTCCGACTCGCGACGACGCGTGGTCTTCCGTCGTCATCGTCGTCGAACGAGTCCGACCTCCGCACCTTCTGGTAAACACCGGAGGTCGCGTCGAGATCACCATCTGCGGTGGGTTCGGAGGCCCATTCTCTCCCGTGCTCATCCACGTCTTCGTCCGGAAGGTCCGCGTCTTCCTCTCCCACACTGAGCGGCGCGCTGATGTTGTCCAGTAACTGTCGAACCTCGAGGGTCTCGCGGCGAACTGGATCGACTCCGCGTGACGGGCGGAGATCGTGGTGAGGAGGGCGAGGGAGCTTCGGCCAGGCGAAGGTGGAGAATGCACGGGAGAAGAAGATGGAGCTAGTTCTGGCATCCACGGCTGGCGTCAGCAGCGCGGAGTCGATCGCGAGGGCGTCACGTACGCGAAGGATATCGGCGTTACTATTGCTCCAAGGACGACCTCGAAGTAAACGAGGATGCTGGTGACGATAATTATAGCACTTAAAGGAGGCTTGTGTAAGTGATTGAATGGACATGGAGCATCTTGTCCCCCCACATACATGAAGTAAACACTGCCTGCGCCCTTGAGTCAGAAGTGTTGCACCTCGAAGCCGGTATTCATAGTACGCACCGTCGCGGAGCAAAAGATAGGCGAATGTAGGTTGCATATGGGACCCTCTGGAAGCACGAACAGCTTCGTACGTGCGATACCATGTGATCAGCGTGACGATGACAGGTTTTAAAAACAAAAAGATTGTGAAGGCGATGTACACTAGTTGAAAAGTCAGTGCAATTCTAACAGGACATGGCCGGAGATTACCAACGTCTATAGAAGGTTGTTAGTGTGTTTCCCACAGCAACAAGACGACAAAGGAACCCACTTCGTCCATAAAGCGTCATCCCCGAGGTTGGAAACCCTCGCCTTGTTGCCGCAGCCCATGATAGGCTCCGGCATTGGCAGATTCTCATTCCGAATCATCAGAATCTGAGGCAAACAGTTAGTCAACGATTTCAAAGGTCAGAAAACCTTTACGTACAATGTTTAGAGGAACTGTTGTGAGTCCGAGCATTATTATGACAGTCGTCCAGAACCGGTTGCGCGCGTTAATGACATGTATCCTGAGAGCCACAAAGACTAAAAATTCAATTTTACATAAAATATGCCAACACATTACAGGATAGATGCTGCGTACCAAGGTCTCCTAGTCCGACGCCAAAGACTGCAATAAACTGCATGACGCCCGAAAAATCGCACCTTGTGCATGCCAGGTCGTTTTAGTTGGTGTAATTCGGGTAGCCAAATATTGACATACCCCTGAGGAGGTGGAGCATAGTCAGCGAGATTGGTGAGAAGACATAAAACGGAGGATCGTGCAGCGTGCTCTGTCCTTACCTGATTGCTCTCTTCGCCCCAATGCACGTAACCCCATAAGAGCAAGCCTAGAATGTATACGAGGGCTCCATAGCGGTTGAGTATGAACAGGCATGTCGGGATGGAAAGCTTGCGCCTCCAAATCACACGATATTCATCGGCGAAAGTGAGAGCATGTTCGTAGAGAAGCAGTGCTGAAAGGTTGGCAAGTCAGCAGCGCGACTTCATCCATCCTTACATGATCGCACTGACCGACACACGCGGCAAAGATGTATGGAATGGAGGGAATTCTTGACGTAAAGTCAGCGCAATACTTGTACTGGATACAGATAGGTGGAAACTGACCCAAAGTGATAGAGTATTGCAACCAATTCTTTCTGGTCTTCAACTAGATCTTCCGATTCCACATCCATCATGAAGCAAAGAGCGACAATGCGCGTGGCCAATTCCCGTGGATCCTTATAACACATTAATATGACGCCCAGAGGACGAATGGCCACGGCCAATTTGTCGAGATGGCGACATAACTGTGATGCATGCAACCACATGTCAGCCGCACAAGCTCTGTCCCCGGAGCCGTGCGACCAGAAGTGGAGCAACATCTTTGAATTTACAACCAATGAGGGAGTACACAGGCCGCAGCGAACGTCCGACACCGTGACACTGGATTCCGGCCTGGAGAAACACTGCAAGAGAGAGACCATGACGAACCTGTAACCTTTGACCAATTCGATTTCCAAACACTTCAACCCTCACGCCTCCCCGTCGCGCTTCTTCCTAAGCTCCTCGAGCAACGCCTTGACCGCATTCACGTCACCCACCGCCGCGCGCCCCGCATTCCAGTCCACGACGATCGGCCACTTGAGCGGTGCTCGACGACCTCGAGGTCGAAGTCGAGCGGGCGCGCGGGAGGGTTCGCGCCTGGGGGGTACGGGGACGAGAGGGCAGCCTTGAGGAGCTTGAGTGCAGATTGCGAGGCGGGCGATGCGGAGTTGTGGCTGGGACGATGTGTGTGAGGGACAGAGATGTGAGAGCAAGAGGGTGTATGCACTCACAATATCGAGATTTGTGGCTGAAACGACACGTGAGCTTAGAACGCGACGTCGCAACTACAGTGGTGATTCGCCAGGTGCATCCATTGCGATAGCCTATCGGCAGGTGCGGATGCATCTGGTGCCGGCCGGCCCGGTTGCGCTCCACACCGCCTTCCCCGAGCGCGCACGGATCCCGAGCGGACACCGGCGCCTCAGGCCCTGCCACCTGAGCTCGCCGTCTCCGACGGTAAGCTCGCCTCCCTCTTTGATTCACACCACATCTTGCATATGATTAGTGATCGAAATATATTTATTAGTAAACTACTACATAGGTGGGCTAGTAAGTAAGCCACGCCCCACGACAACGCGGAGGCAGAGGCGGAGGAGGGTGATGGGGAGCGGGGCAGCACAGAGAAGGACGAGGCGGAGAGCCAGGAGGAGGCGGAGGGACTAGGAGGAGGCGGAGGGCGATGTAGAGGAGAAGGCGGAGGAGGGCGACGTGAATGCGGGAGACGCGGACGCGGGCGACGCAAAGGCGAGCGAGGCGGAGGAGAGCGAGGCGGAGGGCTCGCGGGGGACGCGGAGGGCCGGGACGAGGCGGAGAAGGTGGTGGGCGACGCGGGCGGGGGCGCGCGATGCGAAGGGGGAGGCGCAGAGCAAAGAGGGCGGGCGACGCGGGCGGAGGAGGCGACGCAGGCGTCGGAGGTGATTGGGCCGGGACGACGCGGAGGAGGGCGGCGCGGGCAGGAGGTGCGGGGAGGAGGCAAGTGACGAGGGTGGAGGAGCGCGACGCGGAGGAGCGCGGCGACGCGGGAGGAGGAGGGTGATGCGGAGGAGGCGGGTGACACGGGCAGAGGAGGGCGGCGCGAAGGAGGCGGCAGGCAGGGGCGGCGCAGGGCGAGAAGGGCGACGCAGAGGCGGATGGCGCAGGTGGGCGACGCGGACGGAGGAGAGCGGGTGGAGGAGAGCGGCTCGGAGGAGGAGGACATCAGGGTGGACGTCCTCGGTCTGTCGTAGGCAGGGGACATGGGTGGGCATCGGGAGTGCAGAAGGACTGAGCGGAGGACTCACCAACGAGCGCCGCGGTGCATCGCCGCGGCCCCCTATTCCAATCTCCATGCTGTGGATGTCCGTATGGGCGTCCTCGTGTGGTGTGTTTGTTTTGAGTGCGGTCGGGAAGGTGGGTATAGGGTGGGATCGAGGTCGAGGGAGGTCGGAGAAGGGAAGGTCGGTGTCACCTGGTGACACCGGGGTCCAATAGCAGACGACAGTCGACCGTATGGTCGCTATCGTCTGCCTGGGCAGAGCGGGGAGGCTGGGGGTAGCGAGGGTGGTGGTGGAGGAGAGCAAGGACGGTGAAGGGGAGGGACGCGATGCGCGCCACGCGTCCTTGCCGCCCACCGAGGCGCGTCTCCACGGGCGCGCATCACGGATCGCCAGATCCGTCCAGATGCATCCGTAGCTGTCGATAGGCTATCGCAACGGATGCACCAGGGAAATCACCTGTGCTCGTCGCAAGGTGCTGACTCACGATGGTCTTCATGAATCCCTTAAACACGGTGTTTGAAAGCCAATGGGCCGAGATAAGGTGGAAGAACACGGGGGGAAGAGGAGGGAAGGGTAACGTAGCACATTGTTCAGCGGACGAATTGGCGGCATCCAGTGTGCGACGCAGTGGCGGTATAATCTATGCGCCCAGTCGGAGGGCTCTATCTAATCAGCTTGATGTATCGCCGCACGTTTTTAGCACTCCGCTTGCACCCTACCAGTTACTAACTTACTAGTTACCACTACTGGCAGAACGAACGCCCTCAAGGTTGCATCTGTGCATCGTAGACCTTTTGTCACAGGCGTTTTTCCCTCTCAGGTGAGCCATCGGCCTCTACCCCAATGGCGCTGGATCCGCTCAGGGCTCCGCCAGTTCTAATCTGTCAACAGGTCACGGTGCAGCGATTCAATAAGCTGCCATGCACCTGCTTTAAGCCCGTTTTCACTAGGCCTCATGGCCTCAAGGGGCGTGTGCGCCGTCGCTGCGGCCACGACGCCCGTCTCCCCTCACAGCGACCCACCACCTCCACGGCTCCGCCTACACTCCCTCTCAGGTGCGTTCAGGACGTTCATCATCTGCCCGTGTCCGATACAATTGGGAAGCACTGCAGGACTACATGTCTCGGTCCCCCTCGCAACCGGCGTAGTATGTACGTGGAACTTGGGAAGTACTACTCCGTCGTTTCGCATTCGCTCGCCGCTTTGTGCTACCCTTCGTTGTCGTCTGAGCTCTCCCCGGCGCATAAGCGCCTCGCGCGCGGCGCGAGGTGTCAGTGTCCACGGCTTTCCTGTGTGCACCCGCCTGCCGATCACGTTCGTGGGCCTCTGCAAGCATGACGTTCATTCGAGCCATGAACGCACTGAGACAGCTAGCAAACAACTCTGGCATTCTGCAGTTGTCGCAGATTCGCGTCAGCACGGGTATCATACGCATGCAACCCTGAAAACGACGTACTCCACCTCGAAGCATTCAATATTCAGGGCCCTGCGGAACGTCTGGTGGCGGGTGCCCTACGGGCACTGGCTCTTTATCAAAGGACCAATACGCTCGCGGCTCGTGGGGCACACCGCGCCCGTTAAGTGGCTGCTTGTGAAGTCACGCCTTTGCTGCGTCCGCAGTCAATTGTAAGAGATCGTGGACAATGTGAATATCACACATCGCACGCCCGCACGACATAATTGCGAATTGGACTGTCGCCACATCAGCGCGAGACCAACGCAGGGGAACTAGTGAGCTTACTGAGCCGGAGATCTGAAACGTTTATACCGTGTAGGCGGGACAGACGTAGTGCGTGGTCGGTGAAGAATTTGTTGGATGCGTGTGGTGGTATGCCAGACCGGATATCTCGGCCGATGCACCAAAGACCCGGGTCTTTCCCGGGCGAAGGGACGATGTTAATTTCCTCGCTGCCGATAATAAGATAATTAAAACGATGGGGTGTTGAGCAGATTTCTGGACAATCCTTACCTTTCGACTGCGTTTTCTGACCAAGTAGAGACCACCCTCCGGATCGAAGACTCGTAATAAGTTCGATGCTCGTCATGCACAGGATAGACTGAGGGCCCGAGCCATAGAAATATGAAACTCGGAGGGCTTCAGGATCCGGATTCCGAAGATATCCTTGATATTACCGAGGCACGTGAAACCGTAGCGCGACCCGCTCGACCGGCGTTGCTCGAGCACACGGAGGGCGGTAGCCTCGACCGTTGTTGCTCTCTATTCTTGCGCGCAACACTCGGCAACCACCTGGAGACGACTTTCTTCGGCCGTGCTCGCTCTCTGCGCGTGCGCGCGAGCCTCGGAGACGGCCTGGAGACGGCCTTCTTCGGTTGCGTGGAGAGCGTCATTGAGACGCTGTATTTCGGCCCCGGGGGTACTGAGGGTTCGAACGCGACAAAAACCCCGGTCGAGGGCTCTCTCTGACATTCAAAGGCGATCAGCCATCGTCGCGCGAGGGGGAAAGGACGTGGCACTCACGCGAGGGGGAAGGATCAACCCCTGCTGGTGCCGCGGTCGTGGAAGGGGTACAGCAGCGGAATCTCGCCAGCCTCGTCTTTCTCGAGCTCGACGGCAGCAGCGGCTGGTGTTCGGCAGTGGGCCGTTTGGATGAGGACTAGAGTCTGGAGAGTCTGGAGGCTAGGAAGACTGACTAGATAGGAGGGAGGAGAGAGCGAGTCAGGAGGCGTGCGCAGAGGAGAGAAAGATACAAGCCATTTACGCTATGAAATACAGAGCAGGGCTGCGTAACTGCGCAGACGCAGATCTACTTTCGCGCGCCACGCGCCACCCCGTTCGTGCACCAAAGCTGCGCGTGGTTCCGGACACGGCGCTCCTCGCGGATCTCCATGGCGTTGACAGTGTGCACCGAAGAAGACGCGAGGAATCAGGCGATCCAGGTCTCCCCGGGGCTGACGGGGAGAAGGTGGAGGCCCGGGAGGAAGCAGCATTGAGAGCCTGCAAGACATTGGGAACATTTTAGGTAAGCCTCCACATCACTACTAGTTGCACATACCCGTTTCTCAGTACTGATGCATGCTTGACGATCCCGGAGGTGACGGAGGCTATTTTCAATGATGTCAGCTCGGGACAGTGTGTCGGCATAGAAAGCGATAAGAGAGCCATTAATGATATATGTAGTAGTAGTTGAACAGTTGAACGCGGGCCGTAAGCAACACCGGCATCCCTTCTCCCTCGAGTCGCACCGAGCCAATGCGCCGACATCAACACGTGGGTGAACGCCTCTCTCGCAATAGTCCGCCTGCTTCCTCGACATCCATTTGAACGGAACGGCTCCGAGTCGCGACAACGCGCGGTCTCCCGTCATCGTCGTCGTCGAACGAGTCCGACCTCCGCACCTTCTGGTAAGCACCAGAGGTCGCGTCGAGATCGCCGTCTGCAGTGTGTTCGGAAGCCCATCCTCTCCCGTGCTTGTCCGCGTCTTCGTCCGGAAGGTCCGCGTCTTCCTCTCCCACACTGAGCGGCGCGCCGATGTTGTCCAGTAAGCTGTCGAACCTCGAGGGTCTCGCGGCGAACTGGATCGACTCCGCGTGACGGGCGGAGATCGTGGTGAGGGAGGGCGAGGGAGCTTCGGCCAGGCGAAGGTGGAGAATGCAACGGGAGAAGAAGATGGAGCTAGTTCTGGCATCCACGGCTGGCATCAGCAGCGCGGAGTCGATCGCGAGGGCGTCACGTACGCGAAGGATATCGGCGTCACGATTGCTTCAAAGACGACCTCGAGGTAAACGAGGATGCCGGTGACGATAATTGTAGCACTTGAAGGAGGCTTGTGTAAGTGATTGAATGGACATGTAGCACCTTGTCCCCCCACATACATGAAGTAAACACTGCCTGCGCCCTTGAGTCAGAAGTGTTGCACCTCGAAGCCGGTATTCATAGTACGCACCGTCGCGGAGCAAAAGATAGGCGAATGTAGGTTGCATATGGGACCCTCTGGAAGCACGGACAGCTTCGTAGGTGTGATACCAGGTGATCAGTGTGGCGATGACGGGTTTCACAAACGAAAGGACTGTGAAGATGATGTACACTGGTCAAAAGGTCAGCGTAATGCTAACAGATCATGGCCGTAGATGACCAACGTCTGTGGAAGGTTGTCAGGATGTTTTTCACAGCGTGAGGACGAAAAAGGATTCACTTCGTCCATAGAGCGTCATCTCCGAGGTTAGAAACCCTCGTCTTGTTGCCGCAGCCCATAAAGGGCTCCGGCATTGGCAAATCCTCATTCCGAATCACCAGGATCTAAGGCAAATGGTTCGTCATAAATTTGAAAGACGCCAGAAAACCTTCACTTACAATGTTGAGAGGGACTGTTGTGAGTCCGAGCACTATTATGACGGTCGTCCAGAACCGGTTGCGCGCGTTGATGACATGTATCCTGAGGACCATAAAGACTAAAACTTCAATTGTACATCGACTATCCCAATGCAACACAGGACGGATACTGCGTACCAAGGTCTACTAGTCCGACGGCGAAGGCTGCAATAAACTGCAAGGCACCCGATAACCCGCACCTTGTGCATGACAGGTCGTTTTAGTTGGAGTCCTCCGGGTAGCCAAAATACCGACATACCCCTGAGAAAATGAAGTATTGTCAGCGAGATTGGTGAGAAGAGATTAAACGGAGGGATCGTGCTCTGTCCTTACCTGATTCCCTTCGCCCCAATTCACGTAACCCCATAAGAGCAAGCCTAGAATGTATACAAGGGCTCCATAGCGGTTGAGTATGAACAAGCATGTCGGTATGGAAAACTTGCGCTTCCAAATTACACGATATTCATCGGCGAAAGTGAGAGTGTGTTCGTAGAGAAGCAGTGCTGGAAAGTTGTTACATAGTCAGTCAGCAGCGCGACTTCATCCATCCTTACACCATCACACGGACCAATGCAAGCAGCATAGATGTATGGAATGGAGGGAATTCTTGACGCAAAGTCAGCTCAATGCTCGTGCTGGATACAGCTGGGGTGGAAACTGACCCGAAGTAATAAAGTATTGCAACCAATTCTTTCTGGGCTTCGACTAGATCTTCCGACTCCACATCCATCTTGAAGCAAAGCCTGGCGACAATGCCTAGACAATACGGCGCGTGGCCAATTCCTATGGATCCTTATAGCGTGTCAGTATGACGCCCAGAGAACGAACAGCCACGGCCAATCCATCAGCACATGTCGAGACGGTGGCATGACTGCGGTATATGCCAACCACATGTCAACCGCACAAGCTGTCTCCGGCCGGCGCCAGGGCTGCAGTACATAACACCATGACGAATTGCAAGCCGTGCGCATCGGCCGAATATGCGCTGAAGAGAGAGCCAATAGCGCGACCACAAGTGGAGCAACAACTTCAAATTTACTACTGATGTTACGAACGTCCGACACAGCGCACTGGATTCCGGCCTGGAGAAACACCGCAAGAGAGAGACCATGACGAACCTGCAACCTTTGACCAATTCGATTTCCAAACATGTCAACCCTCACGCCTCCCCGTCGCGCTTCTTCCTAAGCTCCTCGAGCAACGCCTTGACCGCATCCACGTCGCCCACCGCCGCGCGCCCCGCATGCCAGTCCACGACGATCGGCCACTTGAGCGCGTTCGGGTTCCGCTCCGCGAGCTCCGACACGCCCTGCTCCGTCGCCGGGGTCGAGTCCACCGTCGGGTGCGCAGAGAGGAGCGCGGAGAGGCCAGGCGCGGCGGGGAGGTAAGAGAGGATCGTCCGGAGCTGGTCGGGGGTGGGCGGCTGGTGCTCGACGACCTCGAGGTCGAAGTTGAGGGGCGCGCGGGAGGGTTCGCGCCTGGGGGGTACGGGGACGAGAGGGCAGCCTTGAGGAGCTTGAGTGCGGATTGCGAGGCGGGCGATGCGGAGTTGTGGCTGGGGAGATGGGTGTGAGGGACAGAGATGTGAGAGCAGGAGGGCGTATGCACTCACAATATCGAGATTTGTGGCTGAAACGATACATGAGCTTAGGAATGCCATCGCAAAGCTACTGACTCACGATAGTCTTCATGAATCCCTTAAACATGATGTTTGAAAGCCAATGGGCCGAGATAAGATGGAAGAACACGGGGGAAGAGGAGGGAAGGGTAACGTAGCACATTGTTCAGCGGACGAATTGGCGGTATCTGTGCGACGCAGTGGCGGTCTAATCTACGCGCCCAGTTGGAGCGCTCTATCTAATCAGCTTGTATCGCCGCTCCTTTTTGCGCTCCGCTTGCACTCCTACCACCAGGCCCACTACTGGCCACTGCGCCAAAAAACTACTCAAGAGCTTTGTATCTGGTTGTGCATCACATGGCATCCCTATTGGTCACAGGGCCGGTTTTCCCCCTCAGGTGAGCCATCGGCCTCTACCCCAATGGCGCTCCGTTCAGGGCTCCCGCCGGTTCTAATCTGTCAACAGGTCACGGTGCAGCGATTCAATAAGCTGCCATGCACCTGCTTTAAGCCCGTTTTCACTAGGCCTCATGGCCTCAAGGGGCGCGTGCGCCGTCGCTGGGGCCACGACACCCGTCTCCCCTCACAGCGACTCACCACCTCCGCGGCTCCGCCTACATCCTCCTTCACCCTCCCTCTCGGGTGCGTTCAGGACGTTCATCATCTGCCCCGACCTCGGAGACTGCTCATTCTTGGGCCGCGCCGCCTCTTAGTCCGCTCCCCACGTTGCGCTCCCCCTCCCTCTCCACTTATTCTTCTCCATCTGGAGAGTTTCGTTTTGCTCAATTCTCTTCAGTCCGTAACGGACGCTCTCGTCAAGAAACATCTCCTACGATGGGCGCTTGCTCCCCAGCGCGCCGGTCTCAACCCGTGTAGAGAAGCAGGTGAGCCGTTCATCCTTTCTCCCTTCTCCTGCGGCCGGTGGATGGTGGGCGGTGGGCGGTGGCGGTGGAGGCCAATGTCGCCCGGTGATGGTTACAGGGAGGGATGGTGGGTTTGCAGGGCTGGGTCGACGGGAGATGGCTGGGCGACCGGTGCATACATTGGCTCCCCCATCGCCGTCTTCATCGTCTCCAGCGTAGCAGAGCGGGGTCTTCGATCTTGAATGCGGAACACTGACCATGCTCCCCGCGCACGCCCACAGGAAGGATTCAACATCGAGACGGCGCACCCCGCCCTCGCGCGGCCGTGGTACAAGGCCCGCAAGTGGCTGCTGGTCTTCCTCGTCGCCGGCATCGTTGTCGCACCAAGAGCCACAGCAACGCCGTGACGTCATCGACGGCGGCGAACCCGGGGGGCGGCCAGTCGGCGACGACGCCCGCCTCGTCGGCCACGACGAACGAGGGTGGGGGCATAGGTCCGCCCATGGCGTTGGACACATCAGGCACATTGGCCCCGACGCAAGCTTCCCGAAGCGTGGTGAGGCTGCCGCCATTCGGGTTGGAGACGAGCTCGCCAGATCCGGGTGGCCTGGTAGACCCACTGGTGCTCTGAATCGTGAGGCTTCCATTTTCTGCGCTCCGGTCTTTCGGCATGCTCACGGTGGTGTGGCAGATGTTCATGTTTTGCTTTCCGTCATGCTCGTCCGTTCACTGTCGCTGTATGCTAGGTTTGGCTCGGTTCACCCCATCCCTGCACAACGCCTCCTCTTTCGGTGCGACGCTCGTCTCAAACGACGCCCTCGCCGACGTGGCGCACCTCGCCCTGCGCCCCAACGGGCTGACTGGGGATTCATCTCCCCACCCTCCCACCGCGCACCTTCGACCCCCGGCACCGACCTCGCGCACCTGCCGCGACTTTCCCGTCCACTGCATCGCACGCTCGTGGGCCGCGACGGTCTGGAGCCTGCACAGCGCGGCGCTGGACGGGCGAGGGCGTGCCCGGCGTCATGTCCGGCGCGGCGGCATGCTCCGAGAAAGCGATCGCCCAGCTCTGGCACTCTCCGCGCGCGCAGTGGCCCGCGTTCTGCACTACGTGAACGACGGGATGTCTGAAAATAATAATAATAATAATAAAGTGGCCGCGTTCGCCGAGCGCGGACCGAGGCCGAAGCGGAGGTGGAGTGCAAGAGCGGGGACGGGACCGCGATATGAGATATTGGACACCCGCGTCCGATACAATTGGGAAGCACTGCAGGATTACATGTCTGGTCCCCTCGCAACCGGCGTAGTATGTGCGTGGAATCTGGGAAGTACTACTCCGTCGTTTCGCATTCGCTCGCCGCTTTGTGGTACCCTTCGTCATCGTCTCATCGCCGCGCGCGGCGCGGGCTTGTCAGTGTCCACGGCTTTCCTGTGTGCCCCGCCTGCTGATCATGTTCGCGAGCCTCTGCAAGCATGACGTTCATACGACCATAAACGGATTGAGACAGCTGCCAGCCTGCCAAACAACTCCGGCAGTCTGCAGTTGTCGCAGATTCGCATCAGCACGGGTATCACGCCATGCAACCTTGAAAACGACGTACTTCCCCTCGAAGCACTCAGGGCCCTGTGGAACGTCTCCAAAGACCCTCGGGCGAAGGAACGATGGTAAATTCCTCGCTGCCGAGAATGGGATAATTAAAACGATGGGGTGTTAAGTAGATTTCTGGACAATCCTTACCTTTCGACTGCGTTTTCTGACCAAGTAGAGACCACCCTCCGGATCGAAGATCGTAATATGCTCGATGCTCTCATGCACAGGATAGACTGACGAGCCAAGAAATATGAAACTCGGGGGCTTGAGGATCCGGATTCCGAAGATATCTGGTATACTGAGGCACGTGAAACTGTAGCGTGACCGGCTCGACCGTTGTTGCTCTCTGTTCTTGCGCGCGAGCCTCGGAGACCACCAGGAGACGGCCTTCTTCGGCTGCGTGGAGAGCGTCATGAGACGCTGTATTCCGGCCTGGGGTACTGAGGGTTCGAACGCGACAAAAACCCCGGTCGAGGGCTCTCTCTGACATTCAAAGGCGATCAGCCATCGTCGGCGAGGGAAAGGACGTGCACTCACGCGAGGGGGAGGATCAACCCCTGCTGGGCCGCGGTCGTGGAGGGGTATAGCAGCGGAATCTCGCCAGCCTCGTCTTTCTCGAGCTCGACGGCAGCAGCGGCGGGTGTTCGGCAGTGGGCCATTTTGAGGGAGGAGAGAGCGAGTCAGGAGGCGTGCGCAGGGGAGAGAGAGATACAAGCCATTTACGCCATAAAATACAGCGCGGGGAGTGTTGCACCCCCTAGATAAGCTGCCACTCCAGCTCCCGCTTGCCCCGCTCGCTCCATAGCGCTGCGTAGCTGCGCAGACGCAGATCCACTTTCGCGCGCCACGCGCCACCTCGTTCGTGCACCGTGGTTCCGGACCCGGCGCTCCTCGCGGATCTCCATGGCGTTGACAGTGTGCACCGAGGAAGACTCGAGGAATCGGGCGAGCCAGGTCTCCTCGGGGCTGACGGTGAGAAGGTGGAGGCCCGGTCGGAAGCAGCGTTGAGAGCCTGCAAGACATTGGGAACATTTTAGGTAAGCCTCCACATCACTACTAGTTGCAAAGGCGCGCATACCCGTTTCTCATGATGCTGATGCATGCTTGAGGATCCCGGGGGTGACGGAGGCTATTTTCAATGATGTCAGCTCGGGCCCGTGGCTCGACATAGGAGCGATGAGAGAGCCTTTAATGATATATGTAGTAGTAGTTGAACAGTTGGACGCGGGTCGTAAGCAAAACCGGCATCCCTTCTCTTTCGAGGCCGCACCGGGCCACTGCGCCGACATCAATACGTGAGTGAACGCCCCTCTCGCAATAGCCCGCCTGCTTCCTAGGAATCCATTTGGACGGAACGGCTCCGAGTCGTGACGACGCGTGGTCTCCCGTCGTCATCGTCCTCGAACGAGTCCGACCTCCGCACATTCTGGTGAGCACCAGAGGTCGTGTCGAAATCGCCGTCTGTGGCGTGCTCGAAAGCCCATTCTCTCCCGTCTTCGTCCGCGTCTTCGTCCGGAAGGTCCGTAGCTTCTTCCCCCACACTGAGCGGCGCGCCGATGTTGTCCAGTAAACTGTCGAACCTCGAGGGTCTCGCGGCGAACTGGATCGACTCCGCGTGAAGGGCGGAGATCGTGGTGAGAGAATGCGAGGGAGTTTCCGCCAGGCGAAGGTGGAGAATGCAACGCGACAAGAAGATGGAGTTGGTTCTGACATCCACGACTGGCGTCAAAAGTGCGGAGTCGATCGCGAGGGTATCACGTACGCGAAGGATATCGGCGTCACCATTGCTCCAAAGAAGACCTCGAGGTAAACGAGGATGCTGGTGACGATAATTATAGCACTTAAAGGAGGCTTGTGTAAGTGATTGAATGGACATGTAGCATCTTGTCCCCCCACAACATGAAGTAAACACTGCCTGCGCCCTTGAGTCAGAAGTCTTGCACCTCGAAGCTGGTCATTATGGTACGCACCATCACGGAACAAGAGATAGGCGAATGTAGGTCGCATATGGGACCCTCTGGAAGCACGGACAGCTTCGTAGGTGCGATACCAGGTGATCAGCGTGGCGATAACGGGTTTAACGAACAAAAGGACTGTGAAGGTGATGTACACTAGTCAACAAGTCAGTGTAATGTTGACAGGACATGTCCGGAGATTACCAACGTCTATAGAAGGTTGTCAGGGCGTTTCTCGCAGCGTGATGACGAAAAAGAAACTCACTTCGTCCATAGAGCGTCATCTCCGAGGCTAGAGATCCTCGCCTTGCTGCCACAGCCCGTGAGAGGCTCCGGCAGTGACACATTCTCATTCCGAATATCCATAACCTAAGGCAAACAGTTAGTTACCAATCTCGAACACCCCAGGAGACCTTCACGTACAATGTTGAAAGGAACTGTTGTGAGTCCGAGCATCATTATGACAGCCGGCCAGAACCGGTTATGTGCGTTGACGACATATATCCTGAGAGCCATAAAACCTAAAAGTTCAGTTGTACATAGACTATCCGAATATAACACAGATCGAATACTGCGTACCAACGTCTACTAGTTCGACGCCAAAGAGCGTAATGGACTGAAAAACACCCGAAATAGCGCACCTTGTGCATGCCAGATCATTTTAGTTGGTGTACATCAGGTGCCAAATACCGACATACCCCTGAGGAGGTGGAGCATAATCAGCGAGAGGGGTGAGAAGACATAAGCGAAGGGATATTGCTCTGTACTTACCTGATTGCTGTCTTCGCCCCAACGCACGTAACTCCATAATAGCAAGCCTACAATGTAAACGAGGGCTCCATAGCGACTGATTATGAACAGGCATGTCGGGATGGAAAACTTGCGCCTCCAAATCACACGATATTCATCGGCGAAAGTGAGAGCATGTTCGTAGAGAAGCAGTGCTGAAAGGTTGGTTAGTCAGCAGCGCGGCTTTATCCATCCTTACATCATCGCACGAACCGATGCAAGCGGCAAAGATGTATGGAACGGTGCTTGACGCAAAGTCAGCACAGTACTTGTACTCGACACAGGGAACTGACCTTAAGCGCGAGACTATTGCAACCAATTCTTCCTGGTCTACAACTGGATCATCCGACTGCACATCCATCTGGATGCAAAGGACGGCAACGAATAGAGAATGCGGCACATGGCCAATTCCTATGGGTCCTTATAGTACATCAGTATGACGCCCAGAGAACGAACGGCCACGGCCAATCCATCAGCACATGTCGAGACGATGGCATGACTGCGGTATATGTCAACCACATGTCAACCGCACAAGCCTTGTCGCCGACCAGCGCCAGGGTTGCAGTACATAACACCATGACGAATTGCAAGCCGTGCGCATCGGCCGAATATGCGCTGCAAAAAGAGCCAATGGCGCGATCACAAGTGGAGCAAAAACTTCAAATTTACTACTGATGTTACGAACGTCCGACACAGCGCACTGGATTCCGGCCTGGAGAAACACCGCAAGAGAGAGAGCATGACGAACCTGCAACCTTTAACCAATTCGATTTCCAAACATGTCAACCCTCACGCTTCCCCGTCGCGTTCTTCCCAAGTTCCCCGAGCAACGCCTTGACCGCATCCACGTCGCCCACCGCCGCGCGCCCCGCATGCCAGTCCACAACGATCGGCCATTGAGCGCGTTCGGGTTCCGCTCCGCGAGCTCCGACACGCCCTGCTCCGTCGTCGGGGTCGAGTCCACCGTCGGGTGCGCAGAGAGGAGCGCGGAGGGGCCAGGCGCGGCGGGGAGGTAGGAGAGGATCGTCCGGAGCTGGTCGGGGTGGGCGGCTGGTGCTCGACGACCTCGAGGTCGAAGTCGAGTGGGCGCGCGGGAGGGCTCGCGCCTGGGGGGTACGGGGACGAGAGGGCAGCCTTGAGGAGCTTGAGTGCGGATTGCGAGGCGGGCGATGCGGAGTTGTGGCTGGGGAGATGGGTGTGAGAGACAGAGATGTGAGGGCAGGAGGGTGTATGCACTCACAATATCGAGATTTGTGGCTGAAACGACACATGAGCTTAGAACGCGACGTCGCAAAGGTGCAGACTCACGATAGTCTTCATGAATCCCTTAAACATGATGTTTGAAAGCCAATGGGCCGAGATAAGATGGAAAAACGTGGGGGGAAGGAGAGGGAAGGGTAAGGTAGCACATTGTTCAGCGGACGAATTAGCAGTATTTGTATGACGTAATGTGCCAGTACACCGGTCCATTCTACCCGCCTACAGGTTCGATCCACGCGTCGAGGGTTCGATTTTCGCCACATCATCCTTCACACTGCTCAGGATAAAAACGAAGTGGTCGAGGCGCAAGGCAAGACGATAACATTGAGATGATATATGCTACGAGAATGCGCTTGAAATGCAACATCTACGCAAGCCATAACACGATACTAGATAGTTGATAGTGGCAGATGTCCGGAAATATCCTAGTGTTGCATGAATTTATCGTCGTCTGGATGGTCCAGCGACAGCGTTTGCCTGCGCAACTCTTCCAGAGCTCCTTGTAACAGAACTCGAAGACGCAGCGGGTGTGTCTCGCGTAGACGAGGAAGGCGCAACGTCCTCGGGCGGAAGAAGGTACTCGATGTCCTCGAACATGTGGGGGAAGAAAATGGCCAGCATGTCGTCCGTCCTGCGATACTACGTCAATAAGACTGAAAGTAGGTCTACGAAGGCAAATACACTCACTTGTACACGAAATCGCCCTTCAAGACCTTCTTCGTGGGGGCATCAACCTCCTTGTCCGACTCCGCCGCGAAGGGCGTGACGTTGAGCGTTCCTGCCGCGTTATCGCGAGTGTAGAGGGAAAGACCCTGCTTGGCCGCGAGATCAAGGATGTTCCGCTCCACAGTCTCTTCGGCGTAGTAGCAGTAGACTAAGGTGCAGTGTGAGTACGGATAGTGATCACGTTGACAACCAAGAGCGTACCTTCTGTGGGACGAGTCTGACCCATACGATCGATACGAGCAATCGCTGAAGACGAGTCGTCAGTGTTTTGACTTTCGCTGATGATTAGGGTGAATCTCATACCTTGAACCTCGAACGCATGATGGACTACACTCTCAACGAGGAAGACTCGGGAAGCGCAAGTGACATTAAGGCCTGCGTTCTCGCGTTCACTGGCATAAAAGCACCTTAGGACGTTATTACATATCAAAGTATGATAGGTCACTCACCCATGGAGAAGCAGAACGCGGATTTCCGGGTCGGTTCGGAACTTCTTTGCGGCGTTCTGCCTGCCTGTGTTCTGGTCAATCCGCAAACAGGTAATGCCTGTACTGCTCGTCAGAACATAACGAGACGACGTAGAGAGTAGGACGCTCACCATTGGTGCTCAAAGCGTGTTGAATAACTGAAATTCAAAACCCCATATGTCAGGACTTGGCGCGCTCAAAACCGCATCAACCAATCACGCACTCAGCAGCGAGTCCGCCCACGCCGAGAACACGATGCTCTTCGCGCCCGGCTCCGTGATGTTGAGGTACAGCAGATGTTTGACTAGCGTCTCGATCTTGCTCCCGAAGCTGCCGATGAGGTCTTGGCTTTGGATGTCCTCGAGCAGCTGCCGGTCGATGTAGTTGTACTCTATCGCGCGCCGCGACCGCGGCATCATCTCGTTGTTCGCGAGGATCTGCGGAGGCGGCTGAGGCGGCTGGTCCGACTTGTTGTCGATTGAAAAGCGCTGAAGTTGGTCGGAGTTGATGGGGACACGGCAAACAGGGCACGCCTTGCCCTCGGCGCGGGAGACCCAAGTTTTCATGCAATCCTATCCGACAGTCAGATTGGTAAGGGAGTTTGAGGGCAAGGGAACCGTGCATACCTCACAATAGACATGCGCACTGGATAGACACCCCGCCTTCAGTTCATGAGATGGACATACCGGTATGTAGACACGCACCACTGCGTGATGTAACCGCGGACGAAGTCGCACTTGCACAGAATACAACTCTTGTCATCTTCGTCGAGCGTGCCGTCTTCGTGCGACTTGCTCAAGTTGTCCATGTACCGCTGACGCGCACGGGCAGTGTTGATCTTCGTGTCCAGCTCTGCTCGTGCGTGGACATTACCTGGAGGCGTAAACGAGGGGTCCCTCGATCTCTGCTTCGGCGACGGTGTCCGAGATCTCCTGAAGCTGGCGGAAGTAACTGCAAGTGCTGACGTTAGCCAATCATGTAAAGCCGACGTGATGAAGAAACGCACGCGATACGCTCGTTGAATGCCTTCCGGAGATGCGTCAGGTCGGCGTTGAGTCGCTCGATCAGCTTGTCTGAAGCACGGGTGAGCAACGCTGCCGTGAAGAGACGGAATACACCACTTACTTTGGTCAGCGAGCAAAGCTCTCAACTGAGCCGCGGCCTCCTGAATGAGAGTCTTCTCCACTTCCTGCTTCTGAGCCCGCAACGCCGCGTTGGTCAAGTCCACCATGACGCTCTTGATCGCCCGCTCCGGGTTGCCCTGCTCGAGCAACGCCTTGCGCTCGTCCTGGAGCTGCTTCAGCAGCAGCTCGTGCTCCGGCAGGACGTCGTTCTCCTCCAGGCGCTCCAGGCGCTCCTCCGTCTCGAGCGCGTGGAACGACGTCGCGAACGTCTTCGCCTTGCGCGCTGCCTTCGTCTTCCGCACCTTCACCTCCCGCTCGTCGTGCGCCGCGAGCAGGGTCCGCTCCGACGTGAGGGTCTCGCGGCGGTCCGCGAGCAGCGCCGCGTACGCCTGCAGGTACGCCTCCGCCTCGCCCTGCGTCTCCAGGCTGCGGTTGTACTCTTGTCCGTCCGCGCCGTCCTGGCCGTTGGCGCCGAGCGGCTCGGTGAGGAGCGCGATGAGCTTCTGGCGCCAGCCCCAGAGGAGCGCGGATTGCTTGTTGAGGATGTCGTCGATCATCTCGTTGGCTTCATCGACCTGTTCGCTGTGGTCAGCGTGAGCTTAGTGCGACCCAAACATGACTCACCAGGTCATGAGATCGGATCCCTCCCTTACCCAGGAAAGGAACCTTCACGTAGAGATCGGCTTCCTTCAGCTTCTTTACGACGGGGTCGTAGTCGAGGTAGGTCATAGCCTTCCGTGCCGCCTCCTCGGTGCCTGCAAAGCGAACGTCAGTTTCAAGAGTGGTATGCCGATTATATGCGCGGCTTACTCTTCAGCAGGACGCGCCGAAGCTCATCGGCAGCGGCGTAGGCCTCGTTCTCCTGGACCTCGTAGGACTTACCAAGGACGTGATACACGTCTCCCTGCAAGAACTTGACCTTGTGCAGAGCGATGCGGCCCAGACGCAACCGCTGCTGAATGAACGTGCTCTTCCCCTGTGCGCATCGCCGACCGCATTGCGCGGGATGTCGTCGTCGTCGGCCTCGGCGTCGGGGGTGCTGGCCCTAGTCGCAACCTGCTTGCCCTTTCCCTTGTCAGCAGCGTTGTTATATTCTTGACGCTTGACGAGGACCTCGGCCTTGAGGCGTTCGCCCTCCTTGGCATGTGCGGCCGCGGCCTCCTGTGCGTCCTCGATGATCTTGGCAGCGTCCTTCTCGGCAGCGAGCAGCATATCGAGGGCCTCGTCGTTGCGCTTCTTGTTCTTCTTGTCCCGCTGGACGAGCTGCGCCCAGCTCGTCATGTGGTCGATCTTCTCCGTCCGCTCCTCCATGTACGTCCTCCAGTTCTGGTCGCGCATGCTCTGCCCAATCACGTCAGCGTGGCGGGGGAGACGGCAAAGGAGCCACGTACCTGAAGAACTTCGGTCATGGTCTTGAGCACACCGGGTTGATTCAGCTTCCGCGCCGCGCCGTTATTGAGCAGCTGTCCGATCTGAGGGTGGGTGCACCACTCGCGGAGACGGCGAAGCCAGAAGCGGAGCTTGGACACATCGGCCTCCCAGTTCTCCGTCGCTGCGACGCCCCTGGCGTCCAAACCCAGGTCGAGGAGTGCGCCTTCCAGCGTTTGGTCGTACATCTAGAGTGAAATGAGCGCATATAGTGAGGTCGCGATGACAGGGACTTACGTGGCGCTGAACTCGGCCGAACTCGATGGGCACAAGGTACCGCGTTTGTGGTGGGATAGTAAGCTCTTCTTTGACCGCTTGCTTCATCGTCCTCACAGCATAGCGACGGAAGAGCTGCGTGAACTCGCGCACGTATCCGGGTAGCTGGAGACGTAGCCACGCCCGAGGGGCATCTGTCACCGCCCTCACTCGGAGGAACCTGCATAAGAGAACGCGTCAGTTCCCGCGTGTGGGGTTCATCTTCAACTAAATACCTGAGCACATGGATAAGGTCGGCGACTTGATGGCGAGCAGGCGTGCCCGAAACGGCGAAGGAGGACAATCTGGGAATGAGCGAGACCATCTCCCTATACATGAAGATCAGCGAAAACCGATAAAGCCCTGGTAAATGGGATGACGCACTCGGTCTTCCCTCCACCGACCATCTGGACCTCGTCCATAATGACGCGGTACCACTCGCACATGACCAAGGGGCTGCGGGACCGGTGTACGGTGCTGTACTGCACGAACTGGCGTCGGGGACGTTGCGGAGGGGGGCGCGCGACGCCCAAGTCGAGCTGGAGGACGTTGTACGTGGTGATGCACACATCGAATGTGTTCACGTACGCGGCCCAGTCCATGATATCGTCATCCTCGTCGGTGTCGGAGTCGACTTCCATAGGCTCGTCCTTCTTCTTGCCCTTGCCCTTGCCCTTGGGCTTCGCCGGCATGGCCTTCAAGAAGGCTTTGTACGCCCGGCGCCTCTCACGCTCGACTTCAACGTCTCTCTCGGAGATCGGCACAGGGACCTTTTGCCAACCGTCATAAATGAGAACCTTGAGCTCAGGCGCATGAACTGCAAGCTCGTCGGCCCACTGGGGGGCAAGTGACGGTGGAGTGACGATGAGAGTAGTCTATAAAGAACACGGTGGACCTCAGCATTGCCAGGTTGAGAGAGAAAACTCGGGCGTACCTTGATCTCCTTCACGTCGATCTTCGCCTCCGTGTCCCAATGCTTGTTGGCCGGGGAGCGATCCGCGGTGGCGGGGTTCATAATGATCGTCGAAATGCACTCCAGCGTCTTGCCCAGCCCCGGCTCCTCGGCGACAATGCCACCCAGCGCGTCGCCGTCGAGCTCGTCCTCATCTCCGGTGGGCCGGGTCGCGGAAACGAGGCCGCGCAGACGGTTGACGTACCACGTTTCTTCCTCCGAGACATGAGCCTTCTCCCAGAACAGGGGCAGCGGCTGCTCGTCAAGAGGAATGTCGCCGCGGACGACGATCTGCCCGTCCGCCGTGACCACCTTGCCTTCTTGACCCAGCATCCACCCGACGGTGCGGCGTTGGAATGGGAGTAGAGTTGGCCGAAGTGACTCCGGCTGGAGGGCCTCATTTGCCTCGGCAGACGGCAACGCGGGTGCGGGCTGAAGGACGGAGAATAGGAAAGGAATGTCTGCTTGCCCATGGTACGAGGGAAGAGGAGGGGATGACGGGGGGAAAAGGAGGAGCACCAGTCGGCGTTGGGCCTCTTGGAGGTCGACGGCCTGTGCAGACGCGCGGGGTTCAAGGCTTGCTTGTCCGGGACAATAGGCTGGAAGATGGCGGGGCAGAGGAAGGAGCAATTGACTTGCACGCGGATGGTGAAGGGCATTTCCTCAGGGGAGGCGGATTCTGCGATGTCCAGGAAAAGCTGTGTGTCGATGCGAGCTCGCCTATACCGCGCAAGCTCTTGGAATGCCTGGAGGGGGTCGCGCACGGAGTACTTCGAGCGATTGGTTTGGACAAAGCCGTAATCGTCGAGATTGAAGTTTGAAGGTACATTTGGGAATCGTAGTATGTGGGTGCGGTCGGGGAGTGTGACAGAAGTGTTGCCCCACGCCAACGCATCGACGGTAATGGATACAGGGCCTAAGTCTATGGTAGACGCACCGGGATGGTCGGAGACGTAGAAGCCGAGCCACTCCCTCAATGCCTTCTCGTCTTCAAGCCACCCAAGACTGTTGAGTTCGGCTGCCTCCACGTAGTCCCGTTCGTCGCTGTGGGTGGCTGAGGTGGTGTATCGAAGCCGATAGACTCGCCGGTACGCATGGAATGCTCGCTCTTCCTCTGTATCCGATAGGGAAATGGCGTCTTCGTCAGAGACTTTAGCCCGTTTCCGGGGACGACGGTTGTCTCTTGATTCGGTGTGGCGCTTCTTGCCAATGGTGACTTCCATCTCGTCTTTGTTTTCAGAAGGGTCGCCTTGTGTCCCATCCCGGAGCAGCCGGATAATTTTACCCACGCACAGACGAGGTTGTGAAAAGGAGCCCTCTAGGGGTAGTGATATTGGAGGGAGTCGTAGGCTGTGGAGATGGTCACTCTCCTCGGAGAGCATGGTGGAGGACAGGTGAAGGGGAGGTAGTGGCGGTTGATGGGAAGGCGCGTCGCAACCTCTTTATGACGCGTCAAAGTCACATGACCGAGCGGCACCGGCGCTGAGTTGCGTCGTGCTCTTTGAGATCAGATCAGACTCCGACTCGCTTCCTTACGACATATATATACGCGACACTCCTTTGGAAGTCTTTTGGAATCTTTTAAGCAGAGACGACTTGGGGCCTCTTGGGGCAGGCTCCCACCCAGCTAGGGTCTCTCTAATCTGATTCCAGAGAGGGGGGGTCGAGGAGGGGTTCCAGGCCGGTCAGACCAACGGGGAACCTGACACCGCGACGGTAAGCAGATCTGGGGACATCGTGCCCGGCGTGGTATGCTCCGATAAGACGATGGCGCAGTTCTAGCACTCTCCGCGCGCGCAGTGGCCCGCGCTCTGAGAGGGCGCGTTCGTCAAGCGCGGGCCGGGCCGAAGCGAAGGTGGAGCGCAAGAGTGGGGACGGGAACGTGTCGGACGCGACCGCGATGTGAGATATTGGGCGCCCGTGCCCGATACTTACCATTGGGAAACACTGCAGGACTACATGTCTCGGCCCCCCTCGCGACCGGCGTGGTCTGTGCGTAGATTCTGGGAAGTATTACTCCGTCGTGTCGCATTCGCTCGCCGCTGTGTGGTGCCCCGCATCGTCATCGTTGTCTGAGCTCTCCCCGGCGCATGAGCGCCCCGCGCGCGGATCACGCTCGAGAGCCTCCACGATCATTGCCTTCATGTGAGCCAAAAACGGACTGTGCAGCTGCCGGCGTTCTGCAGTTGTCGTATCAGCATGGGTATCACACGCATGCAACCCTGAAAATGACATACCTCACCGAAAGCATTGTCCAAGGCCCGGGGAATTTTTTGGCAACGGGTGCCCTACGGGCACTGGCTCTTCATCAAAGCTTGCGATTCAACTGGCCCTTAAGAGATTCAACCTGGCCCTTGAGCGATTCAACCTGGCGCCCGAGAGATTCAACTTGGCCTTGAAGTGATTCACCCTGCAGGCCTTGAAGCGATTCACCCCGGCGCTCAAGTTGCACCAAGATCGCGGTCTGCGTAGAATATAAGGCGTTCTATCAGCATATTGCCGGGTCCGACCAGACCAAGCGTACGTCAAACGAGTGCCAAGCACCTTCCAGCTTCTGGAGGCATTCCTGCGCCTTCCCCTGAAGGTGTTTCCGTCGAAGACGATTGGTGCGCCCCATCTCCAGCTCTTGCTTGACTGTGTTTTGCACCTTGTTCAGAGCGCTGCATCCGTTAGGGCGACCAACTTCCGCTCCACGAGCACGATGGAGGCACCCACCTTTCTAGCTCCTGCAGGATCCTCTCCATGTCCGTGCTGACCATCCCACCGTTCCGGTCCAGTGTCTCCTTCCGAACGTGATCGATGAGGGCGGTCGCGCGCTCAGCGACAGAGTCGAACGCGTCTGTGTTCGCTCCCGACTGCTGTCGCGCGAGATCAGGATGAGGGAGACGCAGCCGGGCGAACGTCCTGAGGGATGCGCACCTCGACGGCCTTTGCGATTCCGAGTGCGCGTGGCGACGATGCCGCCGAAGAATGGGACGGCCCCAAGGCGCGAGTCGCAAGGCCTCGAGGGCAGTGATCCAGTTGGCGAGCACGTCGCGCGCGACGCCTCCCTGCCACGAGTGGGGGATCCCGACCATGTGAGAGCTGTGAGGGAGAGAGAAACACAGTAGGTCATCAGCGCACGCGTCCTCGGCGTACTTATAGCGGTGTCTTCATTGTCAGATACCTGTGCGCGAGAATTCGAGGCTCGAGGCACGGCGTGCCTTCCGTGCCGACTTCAAGCGCCTAGGACGGTCGTCAGCGGAGTCTCCCGGACGTGCTCCGCTGCGCTGCGAGTTGGCCAAGCGAGTGTGCGCATGCATAGTAGTGCACATGTCCGCCGCGTGAAAGGTACGTTTCCGGACTGCAGAGCGAGCATAGAAGCGAGGACCGCCGTCTGTCCGGATGTCCAGTCGCGGATTAGGCACATCTGTGTGGTGGGGAGCACGGCGGAAGCCACATTTCGGTGCAATCAGCCCGGTGGGCAGGTACTGCACATATGCCACTGGCGTCAAGCCGGCGTCAACAGAATGCCTACCACCGCGCGGAGACCTTAAAGTACATAGCCAGACTCCATGGAGGTCTGTTGAGGCCTGGTCGTCGATTTTCCAGCGCCAATAATGGTCCACATCACTACCTCCCGTCCGGAACAGGCCTTCAGGAGGCCTCTACAGCTTTTCGCGAGGCTTGTTTGCTCTGGAAAGGGCCTGCCGACCCCTCCAGACCCCGGGCGCTTGTTATTCCAGCAGTCACAGTGAGATCCTCGGGCATCCCTTTCTCGTCGGCATCTCGGCGGAACTGCCCTTTCGAGCGGTCTAGAGGGAACGTCATGCAATCACACCGAAGATAAAAATCACTGCGAGAGCTCTAAATTGCGGGGACATCCTAGATACTGAACGGCGTAGCTCTACAACAGCCTGGTGAAATACACATGGGCGGGCCCATAGTCGATCGTGACAATTAACCGGCCTGCGCGCGGTCGAAGGAGTGTGATACACGTAAGGGGCGAAGAGGGTATGGGTGCTAACAATACATGGTGGCGGCGAGAGGAGGGGTTGCCCGAATGGACGACAGTGTTCTTCAGCGCGAGCAGGGGAGACGAGATCATGGGTGGCACGAGGGAGACCAAAAACCGAGAAGTAGACCGCGCCGCGCTATGCGTGGCGGGCGTAACGGCAGCGGGGGGGACCGAGATAGATAGAGATAGAGATCTTCAGCGTCCGGGAGTTCTTCAGACCATGTCGTCCGTGTGCGAGCGCAGCGACACGAACGAGTGCGGGCGCACCGACCGCGGCACGTCCGCCACCTCGCGCTCCGCCATCTCGGGCTGGGCCGCGGGGGGCGGCGGCGACGGCGCGCGGTCGCGCACGCGCGCGCGGCGGGGCGGCTGCGGGAAGTCGATCTTCGGGATCGCGTCGAGCGCGGGGAGGTACGGCATGCCCGCGGCGTCGGCGAGCTTGAGGAGCTCCTTCTCGCGCTCGACCTCGTCGATCGTGGTCGGCGAGCCGACGTGCGTGCTCGAGCCCGCGGAGGTCGTCGCCGTGGGCGAGTACATGCTTGCGCCCTTCTCCTTCTCGTCGATGTCGCCGATCGAGATCTGCGTCGAGAGGCGGTCCGAGATCGAGAGCGAGTCGAGCGAGCCGCGGCGCGTGCGCCGCTGGACGAACGTCGGGATCGTGACCCGGCCCTGCGACTTGGAGCCCGTGGAAGAGAAGCCGGTCGAGCGGTCGAGGGTGCTGATGCCGACGCGACGTGCGACAGACGAGATCGCGGTCTTGTAGTGCTTGCGCGCCTCCTCGGCGAGGCCGAAGAAGGCGAAAAGAGGAGCGCACAACCGATCGGGGCCCACGCGCGGAAGGTCATGGCCTTCACGAGCTCCGGGTTCTGGCGCCACGAGATTGCAGCGATGCGGTTGACGCGGGAGAAGCCCCAGTGAAGGTCGGCCATGCCCTGGAAGACGTAGATCGGCGAGATGCGGAGGTTCTGGACGATGTTGTAGATCGTGAGCGGGAGGGTGAAGAGGATCTCGACCACGGCGAGGCCCATGAGCGGAAGTAGCGGTTGAAGGTCAAGTTCGCGTTCGATGCCATGAGCTCGTTGAACTGCCGCCTCCGCTTGAAGAACGCACGAGAGTGAGCGTGCAGTACGTCGCGGAGACGAGACCGATCGGGATCGGCCAGGCGGTGAAGAGGAAGTAGGACATGATTGTGTTCGGGTACTCCTCGATGCAACCGACGCCTTCCAGAATGTCGAAGCGATGTCCCTGGTAGACGAAATCTGCAAAAAGTGATGAGACGGGAATCTAGGAGGTGCGTGGAAGACAGATAGCTTACAGAGAATCATCGAGATGATAGGAATGCCCACGCCAATAGCAAGGTCGGTGATCATGTTACGACGCTTGTCTGCCCGGGTGATCGACACCGCGGAGATGTTGGCAATGTGGTAAAGGCGACGGTTGATGACCAGGGAGGCACAGACCACGCCGATAGACGACCCGATCGTGAAGTGGGTGGCTGCGAGAGACGCGCTCAGCCTTGGGGATGGTAATGCAAGAGGAATGGAAACTCACTGATATCACAGTACACCGGCGCCACGTTGATCGCGTTGTCCCTCCAGACCACCTTGTCGATGAACTGGATTAAGTTCTGGGTTCCCATCCAGAAGATGTACAGGACACAGCCGACGTTCCATGCTGTGGGGGACTGAATGAGTGACGAACGAGAGTGAAGGAAAGTATGTGGCTTACCTTCCAAGTGCCAGTAGAGCGGGATACAGATCAAGATGAAAGCGAGCAGCGAGAATGCCGCTTCGATGTTGACTTGCGTCTCGAAGGGGATCACCATCTTGGCTTATGCGCGCTACGATGTGTACAGGGGTACAGAGAGCAGGAGGAGTTGGACCGCGAGGCGGCTGGGGAAGGGAGGCCCGTGGGTGTGCAGTGAAGGAGCGACTGCTGGTGAGTATCCTTCGCGACGGCAGACTTTAATGCGTCACCACAAGGTCCCGACGTCGCTGCTGCATTCGCCATTCTGGGTTTTTGCTTGTACTCGGCTACGCCCCCGCTCATCGAGAAGAAGAGGTCGTCACCTCTTCTGGCCGCCCCCTTGCCCCTTCCAAATCGGGACGAGCCTTTGTCTCTGCGCCAAAATGGGAGGCGCGCTTGATGGGAACACATGGGCGAGGGACATCAGAGGGCATCGGGCAATCGCCAGCTGACTTGATGCTTCTGCGCAGAAAGATTAGCGGTGAGTTCCCAGGCCTACGCCGGATGGGGAGTGAAAGGGGTGCCTCTGAATGGCAGGACGACGCTGGCAAACGCTGACCCCAGAAGGGCCTCCCTTTCGCTCATTAATAACGAGCGCCTGCGTGCCGAGCATACGATAGCTAGATGTTGTCCAATGACCTGTTGAGATGTTGAGTGGGACTCTTGGACGGAGATAGGACACCGTGAAGTAAAACGTACGCTTACCGCCGCCATGGCCCATAATCAGCCGTAAGGAGTAAGTGTTCAACGTTCAGCTCCCGAGCGAGCATATGTTAGAAGAGTGCGGCATTGTTCGCAATGTGAGGGTCAAAGAACTAGCCAGCATAGGGAACAACACCAAGGGGCAGGGGGTTTCGCGACTCCGTCGTCAATGTCGCACTCCGGTCCCTGGTATCATACGGCTTGCGGTTGAGCGGAACGCGAAAACGGAATTTCGGGGGACGGAAGAAAGGACGCGAGCGGATGGGATTCACTGTAGTGGAGAGAGGGTATGGAGGAGAAGTGGTTGGCACAGCGGAGGGGTATATGAGGGACACGTACCCTATTGTCCTGCACGGGAGAGGGCGCGAAGCGCCAACGCGTGTTCCTGCCTGCAGATCTCAGATGTGCTCCGTCGCGTCTGAGTCTGTCTATGCAATGCAAATGCAATGAGGCATTGGAGGCTTCCTCTCGCCGTTAAGTCCGGACTGGTCGATAATGGCGCACGTTCTTTGTATGACGTCCATGTTTGGGGAGTTTTGGTTTTGGCGACTACTCCGCATAGATACCGTTAACCGATCAGTGCCGCGTTGTCCTCCCGTCAGACAAGGGATAATTATGCAACAACCGCGCTTACGTTGGTATCGGTCCACGCCTGGGGAGTCCGTGATTGTTGCTGTTGCATGATCGCAGATCAACAGCACCGTTTATCGACGAGCCTGAAGTTGAAGCATCGTCTCTGTACAACCGGAAGACGATTATCAATGAGAGTGGCTAGATTCGTCTGGTCAGATCAACAGTCGAAGCTTTTGGTGGAATCGGCTGATGAAGGGGCCGAGCCATTGTCGAGAGCAAGAGGGACAACTGCCGTAAGGGTCACCACGGCCATTGCTGGAAAAAAGACGCGACGCGAGGCAATCACGTGCTGCACATTTGTCACTGCCGCCTGGCATACTGCAAACTTTGACCTTTTACCACCACCGCTAGCGAAAGGACTCAATAGCGACCATATGGCCTTCGACGATCTTTAAGCCACGGGATAAATCCTCAAGTCCTTAAAAGTGTCTCCAGTAAGCACATCTGTCCGCTAGTACTTACTACCAAATAACCGTTCGTCTGGTTCAAGAGAGGCGCCTCGAGCAACTTCTTGCTTGTCATATGCTCGTACTGCGTGGATGAGCGTCGCATGCATAACCAATCCAGATGTGGAAATATTCGCTCGTAGTGCACAGAATCGATTGATGTTACGCACTATGTGTCATGTCATTTGCAAGACTCGGAGGTACCGGATTCCGGAACGCAATACGAAAGTATGTACTCAGCGTCTGACACTCGAGACTCACGAATCGCCTTTATAGACCGGCCCGGATCCTGCCACGGCTGACAGTGGTGGTGCCTATCAGCATGGCTACGTCTACTACCTATTGGGAGCGCTGATTGACACCCAAAACGTCCATCCTGGCGGTTAGGTCAATGTGAGACCACGAAGTTCAACACAGCGGCAATTGGATTCCTCTAGTGACCGCATTAGATGAAGTGCCATATGGTCAGTATACATTGCGTTCTGTCACAGCTCATGCACATGTTTGATCCAGATTTTAACAGCCCTTCGCGGATCATGCCAACACAATCCGTGCCATTGGGCCAGCCATCCCGCTCCTTCGGCTCGCCAACGGCCATGTTCTTCACTCGTGATCTTCAGTAAGCGACCAATCCGCACTTCCCGGCCTAGTACTCCCAAGTGCCCGCAGCGCATTCCAGCCCTCCCCGGCCGGCAGACAACGACCGACCATGTCGGCCACGCTCCAGCCCCGCCCCTACACGCTCGGACCCGGTGAGCTGAAGATTCGACACATGCGATCTAGGCTCGCCCGCACCGTGTGGGCGAGTCCGGTGCTGTGCTAGAGCGCGTGCGAGAAGCCGATCCTCCGGAGGCAGCTCAGCGCCTCCGCCCCAATTCCGTGCCGGCGTAGGCAGCGGGCTGACGGAAAGAGGCACCGATGCAGGACGTTTCACTCTCCCGAGTCCCAGATCCATGCATCGTCCGACCCCTCGCCGGACCCACTCCCGCGTGCCAGTCGCAGTGGCGCGGCCCCCTTGTTGCCGGCTGCTCGTCGGCGGCGTCTTAGGTCATATACCCGCATGCTCCGCGACACGGCAGGTAATCCCTCAGTTTTTTCTCGCGCGCAGCGGTACTGACATTCATCCACGCATACCACATCCGCCGTCATGCACGGACCGTCAGATTTCTTAAATCCACTTGGCCGCACAAGTCCACACCAGTATCTCCTGTGACATCCACCCCCTCGTCCACAGTGGCTCGCACCACTTCGCACTCATCAAATCCCCGACCGCTCCAACTCGCCCTCTCGCCCTCCGCCCCCTCACCCAAGTGTCCCGCAATGGCTCTGGTGTCCCCTTTGAGGAAGCCTGCAAACTACGGATCCATCTCCGCGAAAGACTACCGCCCTAGCCTCAAAGCTGACATCGAGGCCCCGACGAAGGGCTCTGACGACTCCTGCGAACGCGGATTGTCGGCATGGCTAACAGTATTTGGAGCTTTTCTGGCCCTCTTCTGCTCCTTCGGTCAGATGAACGCCTTTGGCACCTTCCAGTCGTGGTACACGACACACCAGCTCAGTGATCGCCATCCATCCACTGTTGCATGGATAGGATCAGTGCAGCTTTGGGTGTTTTTTGTCTCCGTGAGTACACAGCACCTCGTGTTTCAGCGTCTGGCCTGCGTGCTAAAAGGGCGTGGTTTCTTACAGGGTGGTTTCATAGGCCGCGTGTTTGATGTATACGGCCCACGCATCATCATGGCACTTGGCACCGTCATCTACGTCGCCAGCATACTCCTCACCAGCGTGGCTCAAAGCTACCAAGAGTATCTCTTGGCGCAAGGCGTTCTATCGGGCCTCGGTGTCGGCATGCTGTGAGTGTCAAACGGCCAAAATTTCATTGTGGTCGCCGTTCTTCCGCTCTGTCGCTGATGCAGAGCTCCTTCCATTCAGTTTCTACCCACCACTAGCGGCCATCTCGACCCATTTCTGCAAATACCGCGCAACAGCGCTCGGAATCGCTATGGCGGGCTCCGGTATAGGTCGGTTTCCCTCGGTTTTTTCACACCAGGTGTCTCGTGCTGACTGCGCCCGCCGAACTCAACAGGTGGAACGGTCTATCCGATCCTTCTGCAGTACCTCTTCATCAACGTCGGCTTCACATGGGGAACCCGGATATCCGCCGCCGTATGTTTCGTTCTCTGCGTCGTCGCGACTGCAACCGTCACGAGCCGCATCTCCCCCGCCGCCGAATCCAAGCCCACCGAGCGCCGACCGTGGCTCGACCTCCATGCGCTCCGCGATCCCAGATTCTCCTCCTCGTGATCGGAAGTTGCTTCATGTCCCTCGGTGAGCATCCCCGTCCCACCCCACCCCGGGCCTCCGTCGTGGGCCCGCTCCGCCGCCCGCGGGGCCGCCCACTCCGATCACCAGCACCGCACAGGCACTGACCGCGACGTCACCGCCCCCCTCAGGCCTGTTCACGCCCTTCTGCTACCTGCCCTCGTACGCGACCGACCAGGGCATCTCCGGGACACCGCCTTCTCCGTCTCGCCGTGCTCAACGCGGCGTCCGTGCTCGGCCGGATCGCGCCCGCGCACGTCGCGGACGCCTTCGGGCGGTTCGCGCTCCTCGTCCCGTGCGCCGCGCTCGCCGGGCTCTCCACGCTCCTCCTCTGGCCCGCCGCGCACTCGCTCGCCGGGCTCGCGGCGTACGCGGCGCTCTACGGCCTCTTCAGCGGCGCGTTCAACGCGCTCATCGTGCCGTGCATCGCCCAGATCTCCGACATCCGCGAGATCGGCGTCCGCATCGGGCTCTTGTACAGCATTATCTCTTTCCCGTGCGTGCCGCTTTCTCCCTTCTGCTCGCTTCTTGCGGCGCGTGCTGACCTTTGAGTTTTGGCGTCGCAGGTCGCTCATTGGAAACCCGGCCGCGGGGCGCTCCTCCGACTGACGGGCGGCTCGTACACCGGGCTGATCGTGCTGAGCGGGACGAGCGTCGTCATCGGCTCGTTTTTCATGCTGCTTGCGAAGCTCAGGATCGATCCGAACATTTTTGCGCGCGTGTAGCGCCCCTGTGTATTTGTGACCGGACGGACGCGCGGACAACGGCTGGGCCCCCGGGACTCGAGGTCACCTGCAGCCTTCATCTGTATTTCTACCATCCTCTGCTTTGGAAACGACCGGGATTTGTAGCACATCGTAACATATTCATATTTGCTTTGTACGCTATGATTAGCTTCCGAAGGCGAGCGGAGTTGAGCTTGAGCGGTGTATGAGAATTCGCAAGGCACTGCGATCACAGCATGCACGCGCTAATGGACAACGCAAACATGGGCGCGAAAAAGACTTGAAACGCATACGAGGGACGGAACAAGTCGTGCTATGGATCGAAAGTTTCACGAACACGAACACCCGGTGCAACTCCGACCGTAAGATGAGACCCAAACCTCGACCACCCCACCCAGCACCCTCGTCGCGACTGAAGCCGGCCGTACAACGACATGAGACCCAGGAAACGTCTGTGGCTCGCCTCACGCCTCATCCTCACCCTCGTCCTCCCCGTCGCCAGATCGAGCTTGCGCTTCCTGCCAGGCATCTCCGCGCCGCCGCCAAAGCTGACGCCCGCCTTCTCGCGCAGCTTCTCGACGTCCGCCTCGCCCTCCTCCGCCCACTCGAGCACGAGGTGGCGACCGAGGAAATGCGTGTGCCGGAGCGTTGCGTACGCGCGTTCGGCCTCGTGCCGCGTCGTGAAATCGAGGAACGCGAACCCGCGCGTGCGGTGGTCGAACTTGCGCGGGAGGCGCACGGACTTGAGCTGGGCGTGAGCGCTGTGAGGTGCAGAGGATCGACCACATGAGCACACGAGACGAAACAGAGAAGGCGGACGCACCCAAACAGCTCGCGAATGTCCTTCTTCGTCGCCTCGAACGGCACATTCTTGACGATCATCTTCGTGGTCCTCGCCTTCACCGTCTCCTTGTCCGCCGTGCTCTCCTCCGCGCCGCGCCCGGCGAACTTGACCGCGAGCTTGTGACCGTCGAGCACCGTCCCGTCGAGCGCCTTGAGCCCGCGTTGCGCGCCCGCCGCCGTCTTGAAACCGACGAAGCCGTAGCCCATGCTGAGCCGCACGCCCGGGCGCGCCGGGTCTGCCTTTGTCTGCACCCGCGCGAACGCGAACTCGGGCAGGTGCCGGGCGACCTGCGTGAGCCTCTCCGCCGTCGTGCTGAACGCGAGGTTCTTCACAAACAGCGTCGTGCCCGCGGCCAACCCCTGCTCCCCTTCCGCCGCCGCCGCCGCCGGAACAAGAGCCTCGGGGGCGGTGATGGGGCCACCGCCGACACGTCCGCGGAGGTAATGTCGGCCATCGGCTCGTCGGTGAGGAAAAGCCCTTCGGGGCCCTTCTCGAGGTAGACGATAGAGTTCCCGAGGCGTCGGTACGCGACTGCGCGGAACGCCTTCCGACCCTCGTCCGCGTGCTCGAACTCGACGACGGCAAGTGTGCCGGCGGGCGGGACGAGCACGCGCCGGAGCGCGCCATGCGGCTCGAACAGCGCGCGGACGTCCGCGGCGGAGGTCCCATACGGGATGTTCTTGACGAGCAGGATGTGGTCTGAGCGGGCGGGGCGACGTCCACCGTTCGCCTCGGGTTCGAGTGAGCTGAATTCGACGCCGTGCTGCTCGAGGAACGTTTTCGTTTCCTGGATGACGTGCGTCTCAGCGAGCGCGAGCTTCACTGCCGCATTCTCGGACTCGGGGTTCAGGATGTCCGCCTTGGAGATCTTCATGCGATCTGCAATTGAGGCCACAACAGCATCGCTCTGAGGGCGCGGGAAGTTTGAGATGGGGAGGAAATATATTCGCTACGGACGTACGTACGTTCATGTACAACATGGCCCAGTTGAACTCCTTCCCAGCTGTCGCCTTCCGCTTCGCCTCTCGATCCTGCTTCACCGTACGCTTCTTTCCTTCCCCCTCCACTGTCTAGTTTACCTCGCCTGTCCACGGCGGGTAGTATGTGTAGTAGTCGGCCTTGAAATGAGGTCTTATCCAGCGCTTCAAAGCAGCCAGAGCGCTTTCCTGCTGCGCGAACGAGACATATGCCAGGCCTTTCGGCTGCTTGCTGTTCGAGTCCAGCACCAAGTGCACCTGTTGAAGAGAGTGTGGTCAGCATCTAGACGGAGACGAAATTCCGAATGAAAAAGGGGAAGTATCAGAAAATTTTCTACTATCGGTTTTCCCTGAGGATCAGCAACCTCGCGAGCGAGTCTGATGTCCCTATTCAAGTTTATCATCCTTACACAGCGCATACACACGCTCCCTTCTCCTGAAATGCGACGTGGAAAGAGATGCTCACCTGAGATACCTCGCCGTAAGCTTGGAACAGATCTCGAAGCTCATCCTCTGTACATGTGAAGGCGAGATTTCGTAGAAAGAGCCGCGAAGTTTGACGAAATGCTTCTGTCATGGTGTCAACGGGCGTTTCTTGCTATGATATCGGTCAGTCGAAGCAGATACCCCAGACGATAGGCGATACACACCTGGCTCAACCCCTCATCAGGCTCCTCTTCGTCCGACTGCTCGAAAGTCTTCTCGGCGTCGATGTCTATTGCCGGCTTCGTATGCCTCTTGAGCCAATCCAGATCTGACGATGGCTCCGCTTCGTTTTCGGGCGCACGTCGGCTAGGCTCTCTGGCTCATCCTTCGCCTTCTTCCTTTGCTTCTTGGGCAAAACAGACGAGGCGTCTGGTGATACGGCGCCGACGACGGGGTCATCATCCTTCCATGACGGACCTTTCTTTGTGCGAGGTTGCATCACTTGCATAAACTCGTCGAGCTGAGCACCGGAGGACTGCTTGCCCTTCTTGGTGGCTGCTGGCTTGCTCGTCGCGTCCGCTACAGCCCCCGCTTCAGACGGTGATGGCCCAAGTCGTGGCCGTTTGTTCGGTCTAGGAGTTGGAGCATCCTTCACGCCCTGACAGGAACAACGCTGATCAGCCCATATCCTCGCGCTGGGGTGAGTATGGTCGCATAGCGGACCTCCCGGTGCTGGCCTCATCCACCACGAAGTGATGATTGAGAGCCCCGTCACGTGCGATAGTCATCGCAGGAAGAACACCACGAAAGGGGAGGGGCAAGAATGGCAGGCGACGTCTAGTGCAGCGCACGCGAGACATACGCGAAAGCAGCGGTGGGTGGGAGGCAGCAAAGAACGTTACGCACATCGACGATGTCGACCGTGATCCTTGACGAGTCAATATATGCCCGGTTAAACCACTTGCGAACACGCTCGGCCTCAGCAGGGGACTTGTACCCTACGAAACCAAATCGGCGCGAGGTGCCGTCAGGCTTGAGAACAAGCTTGACGTCGGTGAGTGTCCCACCCGGACCGTCGGAGGCTTCGAAACGCTTGCGAAGGCCATCTTGCGTGAGATACGCAGGCAGGTTCTTGACTATGAGGCGTGACATGGCATTGGGCGGGGATGTGGGGAGGAGGTGGAAGGATATGGAAGAGATGAAAATGCGCGGCAAAAAATCTGTTCACATACGTACGCGTTAAAGCGCCGACGGAACTTATGGGCGTCTATCTCGTCCTCGCGAGTCGCGACCAGGTCGCGCGCACCGCGCTTGCCTTCGGGAGAGCGAGCTTCTCTCCACGCTATCCGTCTTTTGTCTCTCTCGCGCACACTCAAAATGTCGACCGCGGTCGCCGAAAAGCAAGAGCGCAACCCCAGAGGCATTCCCAAAGCGCCATTCATCGTCCGTGCCCCTGCGATCCGCCCTACACAACTCGCATTGATCATGGGCCGTCCTGCAGGCGGATGTCGCGCAATTCCTTGGGAAGGATAGGACTGCCGAGGCTGCATTGAAGGAGTTCCAGGCGGCTCTTGCGTAAGTCGCGCAGCGTACTTTCAGCCTTGTGTGCTGATCTCATGTGTCTTCCCGCAGGAAGTACCGCTACATGGAACAAAATCTGGCCCAAAGACGGGGAAGTCTGGAGGACAAGATTCCAGACATCAAGAAGACGCTGGCGATGGTCGAGTTTTTGCAGGAGCGCAGGGTAAGTTGTTTCTCGGGTACTACTCTGAAGACCCTGTATAACCGCGGGGTACGGTGTAGGAGGGCAAGGGTGCTGCAAGTGAAGACGATCTAGATGACGATCTGGGAGACGACGAAAGCGCCTCGAAGCCTCTCATCACAACATACGAGCTGAACGACACGCTATATGCGGAGGCACAGCTAGAAGACACGGACACCGTCTACCTATGGCTAGGAGTATGTGATTCTATCGTGCCAGAGTGCTTGCTAAGAACTATCCATCAGGCGAATGTCATGCTAGCGTATAAATTACCTGCAGCGGTTTCTCTACTGCGATCGAAGCTCGAGGCGGCGAGGAACAGTCTCGAGTCCGTGATCGAGGACCTCGAGTTTCTTCGAGAGCAGATCACGGTTATGGAGGTCAACACCGCGCGTGTGTACAACTGGGATGTGAAACGACGAAGAGATCTTCGTGCGTTAGAGGCTACCAATCAGAAAGCAGAAGAGAAAGCAAGCTAGAAGTCTTTAGTTCTCTTGCTCGCACTCGACTTGTACTACTGTGTATTCACTATTCCTGTATCATAACCTTTTGGGTCTACACATTGTGCTATCCCATCCAAAGTGAGATAGTTGCTGCTCTTACGCAACTATGGGCAGAAGACTTGTTTCAAACCGCGATTCCAGACGCTGAGGTATATCATTACCGTAAATGTTACAGTACGGTACCAAGCACGAGTGAGGAGCAGGGGAGACGATGATGCTACAGAACCAGCTAACAGATACACGGAAACACGGAGGGGTGGGCAGAGTGAATACTCGGACAGCTAAGACGAAAACGAACAACAATTGGGGGATGATGATGGGTACGAGACCAAATCGGAACATGCAGCAGGACGGGATAAATAGAGTCCGAAGAACGACTCACGACGACGAAGGCAGCAAAGATGAACCGGGACTTCATTCATCTCGGGGAACGATGTTCTTCACGGGAGGCAAGACGGCAATGAGAACACGCACACTCGCCCAGTACGGCCACAACATGACCTCTTGCGCGTATCCCAGTGCCGTGGCGGACGCTCCTTCCACAGGGCCGTCGAGCTTGAGCGATGGAGGGCTCGCGCGGCCTTCCTTGTCCGAGACGAACGTGCCGTCCGAGTCGGAGTCTTCAGCCTCGGGGATGGTAGCGAGGCGGGGGACGAGGTGCGCGAGGTGCTTCTCGCGGTCAGGACTACGGATGCGCGAGTGGTGAATCGGGTTACCGTTGAGATGGGCGCCCCCGTGGCCGTTCATGCTCCCTTGTCCATGTCCATTTCGTTCGTACGGCTGTCGAGCGGGTCGTCGAGCCCAAGTGCGAGGAGCGCGCGGGGGAGGTAGAGCACGCGGTCGATGGCGGCGACGACCGCGCATTGCACTTGGCGGAGGAAGGACTTGCCGTCAGGGATGCGAATCCCGGCAGCCTCGAAGGCAGCGAGGTCGCGCTTCCGGCGATCCTCGACTTGCACAAGGCTGTTCTCGAGCGAGGTGATACGGACGTTCTGCGCAGCGCGGTTGGCGTCGTGCTTGCGCTCGCTACGCTTCGCAGCGCGCTCGAGTTCTTCGATGGCTTCGTTGAGGTTGTCGCAGACGTCACGGAGTGCTCGGCGCGCTTCAGGCCTTCTTGGAGCCTCCCACTTCGCGTTCCAGTATGTCGATGCGCTTGAGGGCACATGCAGGCGTGTTCTGTCTTCTCGAACATGTGGACGATTGAATCTTCGTCCGGGTAGTGCAAGCTGTGTGTAGCTCCGGGTCCGATCCCGCAGGCGGTTCACGAGGTGGCTCCATGGACGAATGCCGGTGGCGAGGACGAACAGAGTGGTGGAGAACCAAGATAGGCGTCGTTGTCGCCGAGCGCGTTGAGGACACTGCGAAGGAAACCAGCACCGACAAGAGGCGAAAGGACGGTGAGACCGAGGTAGAGCCATTCATGGCGAACAGTTCCCCTTGTGCGAGGGACGCGAGCTCGAAACTCGCTCGTCGTCGTCGTCGGTGTGGCGGCCACGCGTCGTGCCGACTTCCGGGGACGTGCAGAGAGGTAAAGCTGCCAAGGAACTGCGCATATAGTCAGTCACGAGCGCATACACGAGGTAAAGGTGCAGCACGACGTACTCTCAATGATTTGGTGCAAGTAAAATATCAACAGCACAATGAGGAAGACATTCTTGACGTGATCTCCCCCCGTCAGCCAGTTGGCGATGGGTGAGACGAGCGCAACGACAATGGAGAGGTCGAGGTCCGCCCACGAGGTGCTCTTCCGCGCAGACACAGGGCTCGCCGCACGCGGCGTCCCGGGATGGGCGACACCGCGGGACTCTTTCCTTTGGCGTTGGGGAGGGCATCATGGAACTCATCATCCGTCGAGCCCGACTCGAACTCGCCTCCCGACCCAGCTGTGCCGCTTTCTTCATCGCTCCCCGGGGGCGTCCCGTTCATCCGGCGGCGACCCTTCCCATCTATGAAGGCCGTGTTGAGCCCTTTGGGGCGTGCGTTTGGGGGTCCGGGGCGTCGTGAAGGACCTGCCTCCGCTACACGAGATGCCATTCCGGGGGTGGAGCCGTCGAGGTGGGTTGTGCGAGCAGAGGGAGCAGCTCGGTGGGCAACGTGAGAGGCGTGAGGCCAGGTGGGAATAGAGCGCGGCGGAGGCGCAGCGAGATTGCTGTCCTAAAAGGTGGTGGTCATGAACGTGGACGGAGAAAGAGTTGCGGAGGGCAAAAACAAGCTCGACGTCAACGTTCGCTTGGTCACCAACGGATCGCTACAAACATGACATCATGCCCTTTTCAGGGATAAATGCAAGGTTAATGGATTGTTTATCCGTGTACAAACGTGCTGTATTAAAAGCTATGCCGCCAAGTTCCAACTATAAACGCGGCGTTATTAGGCCCACTACTAGGTTGCACCACGAAATACATTCTCGTTCGACGATGTAGAGATGCTACAGGGGGGATAGATATGCTACACAGTGGGAAGGATACAAGAAAGAGCGAACGGGACGGCGAAGTAGCGCGCTCTGGTTCTGGGACGGAGTCCAGGAAATAACAAAGCGATTGAACCGATGAAGAGTTTGAACATGAACAAATCACATAAGATGCATGAATGCATAGGCGACCGTAAGCCTCAAGCCTCGATCTCCTTCTTCTCATACCGTCTCGGTCTCCTTCACAACCGTCATGTAAATGCCTCCCGCGAAGCTCCCCGACGCGTTCTTCACCCGACGCGACGCCGTCCTTGCCAGCAGCGCGTCCCGCTCCGCTTCCGCTCCAGGTGCTTCGGCACCGCCAGCCCTGGTCCAGAGCGAGGGCGCCCGGCAACGATGCTGTCCGCGTCCGCGTCCGCATGGTCCTGGAATGGCGCGGCGTGCACGTCGTCATAGTACGCGCCCATGCTGATCGTCGACGACGCGAGGCTTGTCGTAATCGACGATACGCTCGGCGGCGCGACGACATGGGCGCTGTTTCCGGGGACAGCGACGGCGATGGTGGGATGATGGTAATGGGAGCGGCAGAGGGCGTTGGAGCGCGCGGGGACACGAGAAGTTCGGAGATGGGTACGTGGAGAGACAGGGACTGTCGCGGGCGGTGCGGGCCACCGCGCGTTGATGATAGAGATCGGGCGCGGAGCCTTGACTGATGGAGACCTAGTGGGGGCAGGGACTGCTGGGGGACTGCGAACCGAAGTAGCACGACTCCGCGGCTGGGCGAACTTGAGACCGAGCGCGCGAGAGACGAGGACGATGAGGGTAGGGTCGGCGACCGCATATGTGAAGGTGGAGACGCGACGCGCATAGATGGCGACACCGTGCGCTTCGGCGGAGAGGCATCACGGCGCACCAAAGAACGGGGAGGTGGGGGGAAGGGTGACACCAGGGGCATGGTTACGACACCCAGCCCCAGAGCTTCACGGCCAGTGGGAGACTCGAGGTACGCCTGTGTGGACTGCACGAACGGGTCGTCCGAGAGTCCATACGTAGATGGCACCCTCGCGCCTTGCGATGACTGTGTCTGGGGGATCTCCGGAATCGCGAGCCGCGCGAGCTTGATCTTCGCCTTCACGGGTACCACGGGCTCCTGCCCGGCGAGCGCAAACGAGAGCGGCATCGGCTTGTATGGCGCGTCGCGGTCGCCGATGAGCGTCGGGGACGGGGACGACGGCGCGCTACTGAAGGTCTCCCCAAGAGAGCGGAAGCCCTTCCCACTGCTATTTTCACTCTCGCCTTCGCAGGCCGAGGTAGAGCTCGGGCGTCCGAAGATGGCAGAGTGGAAGTAGTGCGAGAGCACGCGGGAGCCCTGCGAAGAGCGCTGCGAGGACGCGCGGCAGACCATCCCGAGCACGGTCATCGCGACGAGCACGATGGTGCAAGCGGGGGTGAGCCACCACTCCGCCTCGATTGCCCCCGGAGGAAGGTCGCGGTCGAGGGAACGATGAAGGGGATCGTCATCTGTGCGTGCACCGCCATCCAGGTATCCGTGACATTGGGCTTGATCCCACCGACGTCGGAGACGTGTCCGTATAACGACAGGGCGGTCGTGACGAGGGAAGCAACGGCGATGAAGACCGATGTGAGAAGGGGCCGGGCGAAGGCGAGGATGTCGATAGCAAGGCGAGGAGAGTCATGCATATGGGAGAAGAAGACGAGGCCACTGTCCAGGCGGCCGCGGATGGCGAGGAAGGCATAGACGAAGGTAGCGATACAGATGATGAGAGGGGGAAGCCAGATTAGAATTACGGCGAGGGACGAAGTATGGATAGAGACCGAGCAACCAAAGTCTTGAACGATGTCGAAACGATGTGGCTGGACAATGACGTCTAGTATTTGAGGTAAAATGTGAGACCAGAGTTCGCGGGGCAATAGTATGACTTACGAAGGACGACGTAAAAGACGGGAATGATTAGGCAGAATGTAAGGTCTTGCATGAGAGTGTAGGCTTTCTGTGCGATCTCTTGTCCGATGGCGCAGCGTCGTAGATTGCGTGCGAATGCAAGCGCGCATCCGGGAAGCGCTATCTGGGAGGCCAGAAACACTCTTGAAACTGGACAATCCATTGTCAACGCCGATGATTGGGACGAGAGAAAAGAGGACTCACCTATGTCGCACCATGGAGCAATGCGCACGTCAAAATTCCCTGCCCACAGTATCGAATCGATCCCGTGGATGAGGTTCGTGGTTAGAAGCCAAATTGCGAGAGAGATGACCGCAACATTGCGTGAGTGGAGGAACACAGGCGACAGGAGCAGCAGAAGCCCCAGGCAGACGAACGAGACCACTGGCAACTCAAAACGCATCATGAGTGGCATGGCTACTGGTGTTCACGTTGTATGTTCTACGAGGGCCTGCCGTGGTGTCGCAAGGAGGCTGATCGTAGGCTGGGGAGGGGAAAGGAGAGGCGGGGGCGAGGCGCGGTCGGACTCCAGGCGTCGAGCGAGAGAGCTTGGGTATAATCGTGGGCAAAAGGGCGAGGCTCAACGGAGAATTTCAGTGGCCATTATCACCGTGCCCGAGGCGCTTCGACGAAGGCGAGGACAACAAGGATGGACAACCCGAGGACAACACAAGCGGGCTCGCTCGCCTGCAATGGGGGTGGCAGGCGTCCAACGGTCTTCTAGTCCGCTCGCGTGGAAAGGTGACGCCCTCATGCGTGTCAGATGTGTGGCGGGGCCGACAAGTGAGCGTCCCAAAGCGGGTTCCTGCTTGAGCCGCCGGGAAAGGCAATGTCTAGGCAGAGGACCAAAAAGGCAGGTTGTAAGAAACTTGTTTCGGAGCGCTGTCTGCCAACTTACTGGAATTGAATGCATGTTAAACAGGTGTTACATGATGGTAGATGCGGTATACCACAAAAATTATAGTGCTGGAGACCTTGAGCACAGTGCTGGTGGTCACTTGACGCGCAAGGAGATTTCCCACCGAGGTCATGGTCTCAGTGCAGTTGATCCCCGACGAGCGAATGCGAAGAGAAGTACCACGCTGCACATAGTCTGGGTATCTGAATGACCGGCATGAAAAAAGCCGGAGATTAAACCCCCGAGACTTCTTCGGCGAGTGGACTTCAAGTCGCCGCCCTGTTCCTCGAGCTTTAACATCTCTTGCTGATAATCCACTAGTTTTTTCATTCATGTTCGTGGTTTAAACCGCGCATCCATAAGCCCAGATATTCTTTCAGCGATTTTGATGGCTTAGAGGGACGGACTCACCTCGCGGCCGATATTGATCGCGCCGGCAAGCGCATTTGCATGCGTGATTGCCAGAAAAAAGAAGCGTAGATATAAGCGGTAAACCGGAGATACAATGAACCAAACGTGACGTGAAGTGGTGCGAAGGGGTCCGGGATGTTCGCTGGCAGAGGTTGGTGGACAAGGCGTAAGGCGCTCACCGAGTCAAACTTGCCAACGGATGATGCAAGCCGTAGACGCCTATTATCCTAAATGGGTTACTTGTATTGAACGTCGATGAAGTCGGCCCACTAGTCCGGCATTTGCCAGCTTCATCAATGCACATGTCCACTATATAGTGGAAGGTTGTCCGAGACGTTCAAATTGAGATTAAAAACATGGGAACAAATGGCATTCGACGGATGATATAACATAGTGGCTCGTAACGGATGGGTTTCAAGGCAATATTAATCTCGGATCCATCCTTTGATGAGTAACAAAGAGTCCGGTGTCAACAGTTTCAGGGGATTTTCCACCTACAAATGAACAGTCTGATCGCCGTGATGTTATGCTGACGTACACCGGGTGGCAGGTGCTGAAGGTGAATGGTCCTGTAGATGGGCACGGCTACGCTAAAAGTCGTAGTAATGCTGGGGCCGGTGCAGAGCAAGATCGCCGTCACCCTTGTCAGTGAAGAGCAGGTGAGCGGGTTTGTTCTCGGCCGAGGTGGCGACCTTTGAATACATTACAGTCAGCATCCTTTCATGAAGGGTTACACCGAGCATCAAAACAGCACAGATGATCTGACCACTGCGCATGCCGCTCATCTGGCAAGGCTGACAACCAATGACACGAGTGATAGTTTGGTCAGACACCCGTGACGAGACCGCAGAAGTTGTACAAGGGGAAGTGCGAGCCAACCTCCAGGTCGAGGGGGCCTCCGGCGTCGCTTGAAACACCCAAGACAGATCGCACGCGAGCGGCCGGTCGTCGGACCTTTCCATCAGCAAAAAAGCAAAATCATGCGATACATTGGAAAAGCTTCAAATGACCCACGGAAATTCGAAGCCTTTCAAATTTATCGTAGATCTTTGCAAGTCATTCCAATGTATTGCATATCTTTGCAAGTCATTACAACGAAACCCGGTAGGTCGACGAAACGGGAGTGGTGTTAGTATGTCATGCTCATGAGCATACATCGCTTGTAAGGCTATAGACTCACAGAACAATAGGTGAAAGCGACGTGAGCAGGGGCCGGATAGTTCTCGGAAGTATGCGCGCCGGGCGCCCTGAGTTGAAACCCGCGAGCGCGGCAACCACGTGATCAGGCGGCTATGGCAAACTTCGCAAGTCCGACCGGGCTGTCCTCGCCTCTTCCTCTCTTCCTCCCTCCTCCGTTGTCTTACCGCCCTCGCCATTTCTCTTTCTCTGAGACTTCAACCTTTTATGCCCTGCTCTTTCCGCGCTTGTGTTTTTTCTACAACCGGACAGCAAGTCCGATGCAGGTCTGAGGCGGCAAGTACGTTCACGGCCTCACACTGATGGTATACACTTCTCACCCTCCACATCCCAGATGATAGCATCCCCACTTCCAGTATATCGAATCTTCGTCACCTTCTCACCGCGTTCTGCACGCATATATTCACTTGCACACTGCGCAACGCTCTGCTATCAGCGAGATTGGGTGCGTGCGGGCCTAGTGCGAGCCCGGGTCTCTGACGCTTGATATTGAGGACAAGGGGAAAGATCGGGGAAGATTTAGACGGGATTATAGGCCATGATACGGTGAGAATCTGGTCCATCTTTGTGTACGTGTTTCCTAATGGAATCCTGCTGACGATCCTCCGCATACACCTCGTGTTTGCTCACCTCTCCTGTGTGGTCACTGGTGAGCAATTCGTCGACCGTCTAGAGCTCGTGTTCAAGTAAACCGGCCCTCCCTCGGTTTGAAGGTGGCTCAGTCAAAGATCGGCCTGGTGGACAACTTGTTTAGTGAGTTCCCACTCCGTCCTTGCATTGAATTCTCCCAAGACCCCACGGATCTTCACGGAGATCCTTGCCGCTGCACGCGCCCACCATGTCGTGTTTACGTTCACGGACCGGTGCGCCCCTCTCCGCTCTTTCACCTCGTGCTCACCATTGAGACAGTTACCTCGCGCCTCTCCAATCCGCCTGCGCGTGGCGCGTCCCCACGCTTGCGCGGGATCCCCGCCGTCGTCCGGCTCGAGCATGTCGCGTGGACGGTCCGATGGATGTCCTGCGATGAGTGTGCGAGGGAGGCGCTCCTCGCGGACTTCCCCGGGCGTGGATGTGTCGGGAGCGTCGCGCTCTTCAGGCGACTGGGCGGCGCCTCCGCGGCTCGAGCGAGCGCGTCTCGCCGTTCCTACGCGCGTGCACGAGCCGCCGCCGCGGTAGGCAGCGTGGGCGTTGACGCTTACGAGGACGGGTGAGTGCGCCGACTGTGCGGTGCCATCGAAGTTATGCATGGTGCCACGCAGCTGCCTCCATTCCTGCACATTCTCAGGCCGACTCCCAGGTGTAGCATGTCGCACAACGAGGTCTCGATCGCCAGGATCACAGATCTCCGCAGAGCGGCCTTGTGTGATTATCCTACGCTCCATGTATACATGTCTGTATGTAATAGTCCCTTTGACCAATACAAATTTTCTTCCTGTTGTATTTGATGTGTGAACGAAGGTCGGACGGCCGACGCCGGACAGTGCCAGGAAACCTCGGAGCACTGGACATTGGAATGGCTTCCAATGACTCCGAAGACATTGCAATGACTTGCAACCATCCAACACAGCTATCTATTGAAAGTACGAAGATTTTGTAACATTCCAGACATTTTATTCACTTCCAAGCCATTCCAATTAAAACGCTTTTTTGCTGATGTCAGGCCCAGCCGTGGACACTGGAGCGCCTTGGGTAGGCGTGGGAAGCTATGTGTCAGCCAACCAGTGCTTGGCAACACCTCGAGGCTCGCATCCTCCGAGTCCTGGTGTTGGACGTTAACCATCCCTTCTCATCCTTCGCCAAGCTGAAGAGAGAAAGGCTGTGCGGAAGATCTTCCAAGACTGAGCTTGCCTTCAGTGCTTACCGCGAGTCTGTCAGTCACCCAGCTTCTGGTTGCTTCTGATACTAGCTGCATGGGCATTCTGTGAGTGAGTCATTTAGCCGCAATGAGTCCTCTTTCTAATCGGCTATGTGTAGACAAGAATGAGCAGAAGGGATGCCGGATTTCCTCAATAAAGTGCGCAATGGCCTCTCAATAGCAACCACGTCATTGCCGAAAAGATCCGGGCACCTGGTTGGCACGCCCACGTGACACAAGAACGCGTCAACAAACGCGTCGCTTGAACTCCACTACGCGTCGCCACAGATCCTATTGTCCCCTTCAGAAAGACGCTGGTACAATGGCGGGGTTCTCGATGCGCCCACCTGGTGCGCTCCCACTAGCAGCGAGTCACCACACCTCGGCAAAGACGTTGTTCACTTTCGACGTCGCTCATAAACCCCTGTTCACCATCGCTCGCCCTCTCATCCCATTCCCGCCTCTACCGCTTCCCTGAGCACGCTTCCATCCATTTTACCCACTGCACCCGCTTCAACCGATCATCCCCGTTGACCGCCCGACGGATGCGTGGGCATGGTCCATTCTCAGCTGGCCCAAGCCCTCGACCACTCTCGGCCCACACAAAAGCGACCAGTCTGCGGGGGCTCCTGCGCAGCAGTCGAACACGCCTCTTTGCTGTGATCGCTTGTTTGAGGGTACTCTGCAGGTCTAGGGTGCGTTTTGCCTTGCTTTGTGACCACCTCCCCCTTGCGACCACCTTCCGCTTGCGGCCCGTATCCGACACCCGGCGCCCCGGATCGTAGTAGATCGCCTCACCTGCCGGTGACCAGTCAGTCAGTTTCCAGGAATTTACAGTTCCCTTCTATTGTGGTGACCCGCCGGCAGCCAGCGTCCGCCGATGACCAGCCACACCGACCACTCTTTCCAAACAGCGTCCAGCCAGCCGCGTGAAGAGCCGTCCGCGGGTCATCCCTAAGCCCGCGATTGGATCTCTTGAGTGCCACGGTCTACGGAGCCCCGGCCACTCCGCCGGGTATCAACGCACGCCCTCAACCACCTCGCCCCCTATTGTCCCTTGAGACTTGCAATTTGGAGCCTGCAATTGGCCTGCAATCCCCTGGCGTGCCCACATGCTACCCGTGCGTCGCTGCGTGCGGCGGCACGAGGACGCTCGACCACACGCGACCGCCAGAGGTGAGCTCTCCGTTCTTCACCATCAATCCGCCAATCCGCCGGCAGAGGACTCCCCAGCACGCTGCCTCATGTTGGAAGGAGTGCGCGACTGCGGACGACTCCTCCGAAGGACGAGTATATGCAGAGGCAGGGGTGTTCCTAGACGGACGGCCGCCCAGAGACGCATCCGTTCCGCATGGCGTGAGGGGACCGGGTTGCGAACGCCCCACCTAACGTTACCACTCAGGTCGCACCGGGGACCCTCTTCTCACATCCGGCGCGCCCTCGAGGTCCTCGCCAACGTCGACCGCCAATCTCTGGAGCGCGGCGCGGCCGTTGATAGTCTGATGTAAATAGTCGCTGAAGTCTCGTGCGCGCGCACCAAGCAAAAGAGGAACATAACGGGCAAATTCATTAGGTACGACGTCAACTCGAGCAGCGGAAGCGGTACAGCTATCGATACAGGACTTGGAGACCTTCTATCGAAGGCGCCAGCCTTCACTACAAGTACAAGCTCCACGCAGAGCATACATATACCAATAATAAACGGGGGCGAGGGAACGGACGCGGGCGGGGCCAGCCGATAATGGATTAACGAGAGTAGGCCAGGGGAAAGGGCAGGGGCAGTCGATGAAGTCGAAGGGAGGAGATGATACATTGGGGCGCGCTCGACTAGAAGAGGGCGGTGCGTCAGTTCGGTGCGTTCCTAGTTGACGATGGGCGGGGACGGCTCACGTTTACAGGTGCTCGGGTCGGCCAATATACGGAGAGCGCGTGCGCGTCGACCCTCAGGCGATAACACAGTAGGCCGCGAAGCCAGTAGACTGATGGTCGAAGTCCATCGGGACGCCATCCATGCCATTGGTCTGAGAGGCGTTGGGGACGACAGGTACAACCGCGAAGGTGGTGTGGGCGTTGGACGAATTCAGGTCCACCAAAGAGGACGTCGAGGCCTCGTCGGCCGAAAGGATGAAGTCGAAATTGTCCATGGTGAGATGAGGGGTCTGTGTGATGGGGAAAATGCGCGAGGTATGGGGCGGATCCTCGAATGACGAGGGGAGTGTGGTGGCGCGAGGGCTAGAGCTCCTGTTGGTAGTGACGATACGGGTGCTGAAGCCATGCTGGCCTCCTTCGAACCTTTATACTGTTTTGACTGCCTTTGTGGCCCAGGTACAAGCCCTACGACGGGCCATCGCTTCAGGTCACAATAGGCGGTCGCGGCTCGTGAGGTCGACTGCCCATTGTCCTCAAGGACCGTGAGACCGTCTGAACCGATGCGGCGGCGCAGACGCCGCGTGGCCGATAATGACATAAACCCATATTTGTATGACATTGTTTGGCTACCTCGAAGCGCCTGAAACCATCAATTCCTGAGGCGCCCGAGCGAACGTTCGCCGACCGCTGAGCGCTGAGCTTCACTCTCTGAGCCGCTGTGGGCATGGATTATCTGGGGTAGCAGCGGCGCTGGTATGTGGCTATCCAAGTATCTCGAAGACAGCTGTCTTCTCTTGCAGTTGATCACGAACGCGAGTGGCGATCAAGTGGTGGCTCAAACCAAACTCTACTACAATTCGGACTACATTGAAGTTTCTATCATACGTACAGCGAGGTATATGCTATGCCAGTCTTTATCGTAACGATGGAAAATAACGAGAGGGAGGAGAACGGAACGAAGGCTTGACTTGGTTGGAGATGAGTGGGAAAGCTGTGACGACTGTGTTCAGCGTTACCGTTCAGACATCCACACGCTCATGCATTACTCACACAGCACAAACACGCTTCGCCATGTCAGGTGGGGGAGCTTCTTCGACGTAGAATCTAGGCGGAAGTAAAGACGTTAGCCAAGGGATGATGGGATGCGTGGACGGAACATACTCTTTGCTCATACACAAGCCCGGCTCGCGCAGCAGTGACGTTCGCAATATCACTAATAATAATAAGGATACTTAAGGATGATCGCATCAGCTCTATACACGGATATTCCATCTGATCGCCTCACCGAAGAGCTACATCCTGAACTGGCAACGCTCACATTTCACGCAATAACGCAATAGAACTTGGGCCCAGAAACATTGGCATGCTCGAAGTCGGTGGGGATGTCGAGTGCGAGGTCACCTTCACCAGTAGGCGGGGCCGGCTCAGGCAAGGAAGGAGCGATGATGAAGGTGTCGAAGTTGTCCATGATGGTCGGTGGTGTGACAGTGAGTGAGGGTGACGGTAAGTGGGGCGCGAGCGGCAGGCGCAGCTATTATACATATGAGTGTGTGGCAAAGTGGCCGATGCGCCGGCCATTGTTGTCCGTAAACAAATATGAGGACTCGAAGCGAACCTGAGGGGCCCGGGCTTCCGATCACCTTCGAGTCCGCGACCAAATAATAACAGCGTGATGTGACGCGTTACCTAAACCGTGTCACAATGCTCTCCCCAGAGGCGCCGGAGGAGGCGCTTGATACACGGTTCGCTGCCTCCTCATTGTCCTCCAAAGAGCATTGTTCGAAGACTGCCCTCGCCACTCGCTCAAAAGATGCGGCCTCTGAGACTTGGCTCCTTCCCATTCTGCAGTGCCTCCCCCTATCCCCCTGCTCGCCGCGATGATCTCCACTGACCCCACATGGCCCGCTTTCCCGATCGTCTCCTTCATTGGTTTCGTAATTGTCCTCATCCCCATGCCGTGGCACCTTCAAGCCTGGAACTCCGGAACTTGTTATTATATGGCATGGACCGCCCTGGGATGCCTCAATGCGTTCGTCAACTCCATCGTCTGGGCCGACAACGCAATCAACGTAGCACCTATATGGTGTGACATTTGTGAGTTCGATCCCCGACCTCTTACTTTCTGTCCGATTAAAGATGGTATCAGCTACACGGATCACCATTGGGCAGTCTGTTGGCATTCCGTTGGCGTCTCTGTGCATCACTCGACGACTTTACAACATTTCGCGGGTTTCAAACGTGCTCACGACGCGCGCCGAGGTACGAGCCATCATTATTCCGCTCTTGCAGACGGTGACAATGGTCCTCCTGCTGCACAGAAATGGCGCGTCATCATTGTGGACACCATTCTTTGTGTTCTGCTGCCTATGATTTGCATGGTATTTGGTGAGTTATGCTCCTCCCTGTCGGTTTCACCTACCCATGCGAATCTTCACAGCATACATCGTTCAAGGCCATCGCTTTAACGTCTTCGAGAACCTGGGCTGCTACCCTGCGATATACAACACGCTTCCAGCGTATTTCCTCGTGTATATGTGGCCAGTCGTTATCGGGCTAGTGTCGTCAGTATATTGTGGTGCGTGTCCGGTTTTCTCTTTGCTAGACAGGAAGTCTTACCCCGCTGTTCGGTTCTCAGTTCTGTCTCTCATCTCTCTCTTCAAGCGGCACAAACAGTTCCGCGAATTCGTTCAGTCCGGGAGCGCCCTCACCGTCAACCGATACTATCGCCTGATGGCCCTCGCCTGCATCGAGATCCTATTCACTACCCCACTTGGAATTTATGAGCTCTATTCTAACGGAGCTTCCGGCGCGCTTCAACCGTGGCTCGGATGGGACGACACTCATTTCAACTTCTCCCTCGTTCTTGAAGTACCAGCCATCATCTGGCGCAGCAACAAGTCCCTCCTCATTCCCCTCGAACTCGGCCGTTGGGTGCTCCCTCTCTGCGCCTTCACGTTCTTCGCGTTCTTCGGCTTTGCGGAAGAGGCACGCCGTCATTACAGGATGGTACTTCGGTTCTTCTCGGCGCGGTTCGCAAGCCTCCGTCTTTTCGTCTTCAAAGCGCGCTTCCCTGTCGCTCGTTCGGCGATTACGAAACAGTATGTCTTATATTTCTCCCTCCATTATTATTTTACGCTAATTCTTATTCTCAGTGATCTTCCCGTTCACCGTCTTCCGAGCGAAGATGTTTTACCACCATACGTTGCATACCCGAAGCCGCCTCTTCCCACACACTCGTACGACATCCTCAATAAGCCATCGAAACTGGCATTCACGGATTTTCCTCACGATAAATCTGCCTTTGCTCTCACCCTTTCCAGTACTCCTGGAACACCGCTTTCCCCTTGTAGTTCCTGCACGTTAGTAACGGCTTTCTCGGATCGAGCATCTTTCACCACGCTCCCTTCAGCTCCAAACTCCCCCTATTCTCCTTAGTAATATTTCGCTCCGCATTTATCCTGCGTATTATGACCTGCCCCATAACGGTTTTATGACCCACTGTATCGTTAGCTCGTTTAGATATTTGACTTCACGTATTCGGCTTGCTGCTCTTGCGCTGCTCCATCTCCATCTGCTTCCATGACGAGTGATAGTATGGCGTACAGCATGTGAACCTTGAGACGCTTGTTTGCAGTGAAGGTCATTGATCATCGGCTGTCCCGAGGCTCAAGTCTTAATCCTGCATCATTGCGTCGAGTAAGGTATTCCGATGACTTAGGGTGCGAGGGTCCTACAAATCTTATATCGTGCATGCCGAATGCCTTGGAGCGTTGAAATTCAGACTAGTACCACTGCTTGCAAGCCGTTGACGATTGAAGGTCGCAAGATCGATCGATACGTTTGCTGCCTCCACAGCCATAAACCTCTAGCTACGCTTTCACGATCTGTATCTGTATCACTATCCATATGCCTGTAGCTACACATCTGTGATGCGACGTCCCTTCAACGAGTCCGCGTTCGATGTGTCGACGTTTGATCCACCAAACTTCTCATATTTGTTATGGTAACCGATTCATCTATTGCGCTGACATGTGCCGTAGTATCGTATCAGGCTCTCCACTTATCTCAACTTCTAGTCCTGCTTCGACGCTCTTCCGATGAGAGGTATTTGGTGACCCGCACCCAAGTGCGTTAAGTGCACCGCCGCCGCATGCTGCCCGGCTTCACCGTCGAACGCGCCGTCTTCTGTTAGACGTGTCATCGGTTGATGTTCCAATGCGGTCAACGCGTTTCTTGCGAACGGGTGTTCTAAGGGTACAGGGACATTGAGAACGTAACGAAGGTCCGGATACAGGTAGCGTGAGAAAATACGTAAAGAAATAAGTCATGGAAGAGCATGCAGACTTGAGCAAGCTTGGAAAAAGCGCGAGTACTGGACAATTTAATCTGGGCGGATGCGCGGTCTGTCGAAGTAACGACGGTATGTGGGGGCGTCGCAACAGGGATCGTGGATGAAGGGGGTTGGCTGCTCGTACAACGGTACGGGGAGAAGGATCGAAAGGCGGAGTGGAAGACAGAAGAACAAATGTTTTTCCTTCTCGTCGAGCTGGTGGAGCCAAGGTGCAGAAAGCGTGGGAGACCATGGCGAAGGATGTAACGTCCCTGGTATGCTACAGATGTATGAATCGGGATCGTGTGACGCGTAACTGGGGAGATGGAAAAGGACGGGGCTGCGAAGAAGTGAGTAGGTTGCCAAACACCATACGCGAAAGACACGCACCTCATTAGGACGAAGGGGAGAGGATCTTTCGCCGGCTGCTTGTGGATTCGGGAAACTTTATCGGGAAAGAACCCGACCCAGTAGACGGCAAACTCGCTCAGAGGTATGCCCTCGCAGGAACGATCCATCAAAGGAAATATATTTTGCGAAGCATGTCTGGAGGAGCGAGGACGATGGAGAATTTGCTCACGTGAAGCCAATCCCAATGCAGATGCCAGATAACGCGCGAAGGTTGCGTCACTTGAAAAGTGGTAGAAGGCGAGACCTGCGAGATTCAACAGGCGTTGGGTGTGTCTAAGGACGATATTGCCAAAAAATGGAGAAAGAGGAATGGTCCATATCAAGGAGACATTGGGAATGGAAACATAAGAGTCATCGGAAGCGTTCGACGATATCAAAGGCGGCCGATAACCCTGCACCATGTAGTCTACGTCACCAAAGCTTAATGAGTAACAAGGGTTCCTCAGCACAGGCCGAATGTGTACGCAGTGGCATTTATGAAACACGAAACCCCACGCACATGGCAACGTCCCCAGCCCGCGTTCACGATCTCCGTGGGCATCGCTCAGTGCTCACGTTCCGATTTGCGGCATTGCCTTCTAGTCGCAAGGCAAGACAAAAGCATGCCGCAGGAATCGTCATGTTCACGCAGATCATCGACTTCGAGTCTGAAATTCAAAGTGGAGCGCGAATGGGGGAGGAGGTGGACATGTTCGAGGACTCAGAAAACTCACAGATTCGCACTATATGTTCAGCTTGTCGGTGACGTTGCCTCCACGTGCAAGATTGGGCCGGGCGATGAGAGAGCGTGCACAATGCGAGCACGTCATACAGAAAGACCGGACTGGAGGAGCGCAGAGCGAAGCTGAGCATGTACCAGCAGCTGCAGGTCGCGTGTTGATGGGAGTGCACATCAGGCCCTGGCAGTGGGCAGTGGGTGGAATCACGTGTCAGTGAAGGGTGTCCAAATAAATGCACACATTGTCGCCCTAGCGCCGGGGCGGCCACACGCTACGCCGAGTAAATACTTACCATAGGTCCGTCTCATTGTCCAACAATGTGGCCCCACGGTCCTGGGCACCCGATTGTTCCTCATGTCTGGCTCGTCAATACGCCACCCCTTTTCGTCTGCCGGAGATATATGAGGCAAGGTCTGGATCTCGCGCACCCTCCACTGCCCTTCCACACGCACTCCTTCACCCCCACTGAGGCACCTGCATCCTCTCATTCCCCGGAACCCAACCCCACATCCTACCCACGTCTACTTTCCCATGGACGATTTCTCACTCTGCATCTCACCCGTTGTCGGTGATCTCTCCGATCACGGTGAAGGCGCGACCTCCTGTGGCAGCTTCGATTGTCCGGTCGACTCCGAGCAATACAACTCCGGCCAAACGTCGTACTACTGCGTCATCGCCTGAGCCTCCCAGTATGTCCAAAAATGCTTCAACGATCCGGTCCCGGCTGACCAGTCTTCCAGATACTCTCGACTCTCCTCCTGACTGAACGGTCTATACATGCTACGCTACTTCGGTTCGGCTCCCCATGGTATGCATGATGCTCACATCCACCTCGACCCAAGCTGACGTTGGTCCCCCACTCCAGTGGTCCATGTATAGTTATTCGTATCTAATGCTGCGGACGGTTGGGCTCGTTCTGCTTTTTTCACGGTCGTTTCGCTCCATTAGTGTATCGTGTATAGACTGTATAAGATGTCCGTTCTCTCGGTCTACAAGTAATTGAAGCGAATTTTTGTACGTTATCTTTCGTGCGAGACCGTTGGACGACAAGTTCGTCGCACACCGTAAAATTAGTGCATTACCCTGTGCTTGTGGAGTGACCTGAACGACACGCGCTTGACTTCGTACACTGCCGTGTACTGTAGCCTCCCAATCAGGAATGCTGAGGATCGAGGTAACCTCTGTATCGTGCCGTTGCAAAATGCGTTCTGAAAAGTTTTACAAACGCTACAGAAGAATATACTATATTGAACGGGTACGAACTTGAGACCACAAGTGGCGCACCTCGACGTGCGAAGGACACAAGGACTGCGCGCAGCACGGGAACTACGAATACGGGGAGTGTACGCCACGGCGTCCCAAAAGAGTAGGAGCGATGGATGAGATCGAAAATAAAGCGGCGAGTTGAAACGCTACGTGGACTCCATCTATTACTCCGCGCCGTAGTCGTCTGCGCGCTCACGCCGGCCTCGCTGCCCTTCACGCACTGAAGCCCGTGGGGTCGCGTGAGAGCATGGAGTCTCAACGCAACCTCCCTACTCCCGTCACCTGCGACGCGATGAAGCGCGGCCGGACACTAGTGAGGACACCAGGTGGACACTCGCGAGGTTTCGACTGATGATGGACTCGCGTTGATGGAGATAGCTTCGGATATTCCAGTTACTGAGGCACCAGTTCTGCGCAGCGCAGGACAAAAGGTGGCCGTCAGTGCGTGTGGTCCGCATTGTGCTCAAGTTGGAGCCTCGGCCTGGCGGCCCGGCCCGCTCGGGATTCCCACGGGTACGTTTTCTCTTTGTCTGAGCCAGTATAAGTGAAGGCTACGACGTTCATATTCTGCAGCCATCTTTGCCCCACAATATCTGCTCGTGCATTGCCGTTTCGCCCCGCGATACCCGCACCACCTCTCAACACCACTCTCATTGCCGTCTTCGCTGTGTCACCCTACGCCATGGACACCTTCTACACCACAGTCAGCATGGACTCTCCGGAGTCCCTCGAGATCCCTCACGCCGTCGATGCCTCTCCCTTTTCAACCGGCTTGACCATTTCGTCCGCGCAACACGTCAAGCTTTGCGTCGAGAAGATGTCATCGTCTGCGCCTGTCAATAGCGACAGCCAGACCAACGACTACCAAGCCTACTGCGTTATTGCTTAGTCTATACGACAGGTATGCAGCGAGCTACGCTCACCTGTTTTGTGCCGTGGACTGAAAAAGTACCGTCTTCCGTGCAGATGGGCGCACTTCGCGCCACGATGACCCCAGCGCCTCTCGGTCCTACAGCACACGGGTCGTTCCGACTCGTTATTCGTTCCTCTCCATCGCGACCACGTGTCGCTGACCACTCTCCTTTTTCGTCCTCCCGTCCCGTTTTCCTACCATCCCCCCATCTGCCTGCGGTCGTTATCGTGGCTCGCCTCATTCGTGTCATGGTATCATTATCACTGAGTTATTGTAGCTATTACTATTAGCGTCTAGAGGCGTTCGCATCTGTACGTCGTTGTCATCTGTACGTGTTATGTACTTGTGTCGCGGTCTCCGTTATGTATTCCTCGCGTTCTGCGAGCTGGATCGTTCACGAGCTGCGTGTGGCATTGCTTTTTTGAACTCGACGACGCGGACCTGACAGTGGTCGAATTTTGCTGCGCGGACGATGATCACTCGCCGAGTCCCATTGTCTAGACCGCACCATCTTGTGGTCAAAAGGGACAAGTCACACGAGTGCATACATCCACAAGCTAATCTCTCACTAACTTCGCTCGCGAGTATGTCGAAGTGAACCACGAGCAGGCTGCTGTGAGCCAACGGCACAACAGGATGGAAGAGATTGAAGCTCGCACCGACGGTTCGTCAACTGGCGGAAGTCGCGCATGTGAAGATGTCTCAATAGAGATGACATTACGGATGAGAAGGCAAGCTACGACGGTACAGAGACCCCGAGCTCGATAGACGCGTTGAGCTGATATGCTACAGTAAACAAGTACGAAGAGACCACAAGTGGCGCACGTCGACGTGCGAATAAGGATACAAAGCGTGCGCGCGGCGCCGGCGGGGGCACGACAAATAGGACGAGTGTAAGCTACGGTGTCCTAGAGGGGCAAGTACGATGTAGGGGGATGAGGGAGAACGAGAAAGCGTCGAGAGGCGTCAAGAGCGTGGAGAGGCATCGGAAACGTGTAGATGTGGGCGAGGGCCACAGTGCGCGCGCGCGTCCTAGAACGTGCGCGACTCGGTGTGGACCATGATCGTGATGGAGCTCGCCGAGCCTTTTCGATGGGGCACGCTCTCGCGCGACTCCGTCGAACGGCAGTGCGCGACGGGCGGCGAGAACGGGCGATGGTATGACGGCGGCGAGAGCGCGCGGAAGGGTACCGGCGACGGCGGCGTGGGTAGTGGTGGATGGGCGGCGTCGGAGACGAAGATGCGCGCGGTCGACTCCGCGTACTGCGAGTCGGTGTCGTGGGCGGGGTCGTAGGGCTCGTACTGCGTCTCGAACGGCCCGGGGGAGAGCTCGATGTCGGTGGAGTCGTCGAACATGCTGTTCGTGGGCGAGACGATGTGCTGGAGGATGAGCTGGGGCGGGTTGGTGCCCTTCTCGATGTCGGAGTTCGCAAAGGAAGTACAGGAGTCGGTCGTCTTCGACCGTGGCGCGTACGGGGGTAGGGACTCGCCGCGAGAGGGAGATTCGGGCATGCGGAACGTTTTCTGGAATCTGAACGGGCGAAGTCAGCAGGAGCATTTCGTCCCGAGTAGACACAAGACGTACCCAGCAGCCTTTCCGGTCTTCTGCGCCTTGGGTTGGATGCCGAAGACCTTAGCGACGCGCCAGAACGCAGTGCTATAGCAACGGCGGGCCTCCTCGGCGAAGCCAAAGAGCATGAAGAACATGATGGCTGAGCAAGGGTAGATCCAGCGGCCCATTTCGATAGCGATGTGTGATGCGAGCTTGGCGTGCCACACGAAGGTGGGGAAGAGCTCGACGAAGGAGAAGTTGTAGTGGGTGTTCTCCCACGAGATCCACGGCTGGATTTGAAGGCCAGCCGTGTTGATGTAGATGCTGAACCCGGAGAGTGGGGCGACGAGGGCCATCTCGGTGCAGCAGAGCATGATGAGCCGCAGGTAGCGACTGACAGTGAGGGAGGAGTTGGACGCGACGACTTGGTTGAAGCGGATACGATGGATGTAGAAGGTGCGGAGAGTGAGAGCTGCAGAGCGCAACGCATGAGGTCCCCGCCAAGCCCCAGATCGCATTCGAGCTTACCTGCATAAACGAAGGTGATGCATCCCAGCAACACAGGCCACATGAAGACCAAAGGATATGCCGGGACAGTGTTGTAAATGTCGGGTGTGCAGCCAATGTTCTCAATGATGTTGTAACGATGGCCTTGCACGATGTAGTCTGAAGAGACGACGTGAGCATCCGCTTGTCTACAGCTTCATTCACCTCGACTTACGGAGGCACATGACAATAATGGGGATGCCAATGGCGATAGCGATGTCAACGTAGACGGCTTTAAGTTTCTGAAGGGAAACAAAGGGAAGTTAGCATGGTGGACATCAAGGCTATGCCGATTCGCTCACCTCCTTGCGAGTGACCGAGACGGAGCTCACGGAGGTGATCTTGTACAAACGACGGACGATGCAGAGAGATGACGCAGGGATTCCAACGCCCGCACCGATCAAGAACTTGGTGGCTGAAGCACGCGACTTTAGGACGCGATCTTGCGCACGAGTAAAAGAGATACTCACAGATATCACACCAGACGGGGGCCACGTCCTTCAAGGAGCCGTACCACACGACCGAGTCCACAAACTCGACGAGTGACGCGAGGCCAGCCCAGAGCATGTATATGCACGTGCCGGCGTTCCAGGCTTGGAGGTGCCATGAGAGGGGGATGAGTGCGAGGACGAAGCCGAGGAAGGAGAAGACGGGAAAGAGCGGGTAGGTCGGGTCAGGTTGCGGGGCAAACAGGATGAGCGGCATGACGGAGTAGTACCAGCAGGGGAGCCAACGGCAGGTTGAGCGCGAACACAGGCATGGCCGACATCGTATATGAGAGAGCTTTTCGCTTGCAGACAATGGTGTTCGATGCGCAACCGGAGCACAATGGCTCTTTGCCCGACATTGACAAGCGCCAAGTGACGCGCCCGGGAGTGACTGCCTCACAATACGCGTTACTCCTATTGTTCCCCAGAGTCACGCTTGTAAGCGCCTCTGGTATAGGCGCTCGTAATTCTCGACCCCCCAAGCGTCTACCACGACAAGCCATCTCACGAAGAGTCTTCTTGAATGATACCGCGAGGGTAAAACTTAAATAGCCGGGTCTAGGGACAAAGCAGCCTTCCTGTAGGTGGGCAAGCGTAGGTAAGCATTTACTCAGCAGGATCTACTGAACCCGTTAGCATCAACACGTGTTGTCCAGCTGCAGTCCGCGTCGTCGTCGGTCGACATGAGTATGGCGCAAAGTGCTCATACTTACGTTCCCCTTTTTTATTATTAATGTACAATGTGACCTGTCCAGGGCACAGATGGCGCAACCGCGAGGCGACGGTCTCCGGCAGCAGCGGAGATGGAGCAGTGATAAGTATGGCGCAGTCGGCTACCAAGCTGCCGACGTTAAGCTTGCGAGAATCAAGTCTCGCGAGCGAGCTCCTCAATCTGATGCCTCGCCGGCCTCAAGCCATGCCGTTTGACATCAACATTTCCGACTTACGCGTTGGCAAATGACGAGCTCAGCATTTGCGAAAGTGCGACGAATTGAATCCCAAATGCGTCCTGCACGGACGACCTCACTTCCGGGCCCTCTGCGAAGTGGAGAAAGGCCCTGGAACATAATTAATGGATTCGCCAAAGTCATCTCTACCGTAATCGTACAACCTGTGACAGAGTTCTACCGAACTATCCACCGCTAAGTATCGGCGTCGAGGCGACCATTTGGGCTATTGCTACAATACAGTACATCGAGACTGATCGCGAATAGACATTGAGAGGCATGATTCTGGGCGATGGGGAGTGGTTCTAAGGGAACGAGGGAATCGCGTGAGGAATGAGGGGCAAGGAGTGACGGCGCTGCCGGCGTGATGAGAACGAGAAACGGCCTGGCGCGAATAAGCTAGATGGGCATGGCGGCTAGCCGACGCATTCGGACCCGTAGTGGCCCGTCGGCGACGGGTGGTAGAGATGTCGCGGTGGATCGGGGGGTAGTAATGCGCGCGAGCCTATAAGCAGAGGGGGCGTGAGCGGCAGAGCATCAGGAATAGTCGCAGACGATGCGTACGCGACAAAATGACAAGTCAAGCAATAGTGCACCACGAGTGCGAGTAGCTGTTGTTGACGACCTCGTGGTCGACCGGAACGGCCGACTCCGCGGTGTCGGAGGATCGAGAGGGCAGCGGCTCCGCGAACCCAAACTGGGGCTCGGAGTCGGCGAGGTTGGTGAAAGTGGTGAATGCGTCCATGGAGGCGAAGCGATAATTTAGGCCCGGGATGGAGATGAGCGAGAGTTCACGGGTAGTTGAGGGGTGCGAGAGTAATGCCGGAGAGTGGGTTCCGAGGCATTATAAGGCGGCGGAGAACAATGGACCTGGGAGCGAGACGAGATCGTGCTTGGTCGGCGCAGCGATCTCCGGGGCCACTTTCAGGGCCCCGAGGCTGGGCACCGCTCGGAGTTCCTCGTGGACAGATCCAGAATAGGGTTGCCAAGTGCCGCACACGCAGGGCCACGCAGGCTGTAGGCCTGATTCACCTGAGGCAAGAAGAGATCTGCTGAGAGGGACAAAAGGAAAGCGCTGCCGTCCGAGCGATGAGACTGTGTAAGGAAATTACCAAGGGTCTAGGCCTGGAGGCTCGAGCTATTCTCATGCACCTTCTCGTTGCTTTGTGGTTCTGTTTAGGGGCCGACGGGCCTTGAAGTGATGTGCTGTCGCCACACCACAACGACGACTGGAGACCGTGGTGTACAAATATTTGGTTTCCGATAAGCGCCGGAGCTTGCGGTCTCTTGCAATTGTTCCCTGTCGAGGTTTGTGGACGCAAAGTAATCGATGCGACACATATCGGAAACAGACGGTTCGGGCTTGATGCAGTGGTGGTCCCAAAGCGCAGCTCGCCTGTGCAACAAGGCCCATGCCACGAGCGAGGGCGGAGTGCCAGGTCTCGCATACCCGCAGCGCTAGCATTTGTTCCTGCCGGCGCCATCGGAGCCTCGGTTCTCTTCAAGCGGAAGTTGGCCGCTATAAAGTGAGACCTCTGTGGTCGTCTGGCCTCCTCTGTGCCCTCCTCTGCTTTCCCCCGAACAGCTGAAACCTGGTGAGTGTACGTTTGGCCGCCCCGGTTCTGTAACATTCCACATTGGGCAACCAATAGAGCCAACTCGCACGATGACGGACGGCCCTATTCTTCCCCCTGCTGAGCGTTTGTCTTGTACAAATATTTGGACGCAGGAGACGCCGTCCTGCGTCTGCGAGGGAGCGGTCGTCAGGGAGCCAGTCGACTAGCCAGCGCGGGAGGGACAATGGGTTCCTCGTCCTCTCAAATACTGCTGTGGGCCCGCGGACGACGCGCAGTCTCTCACCGTAGAACTCTTCCCTTCGCGCTTCTCGACGTTCTCCGCGAACCGTCGCTCACCGTTGTCGCCTCCCCAGCACACTCTGCACCTTCATCCCGCACATCATCAGCGAACGCCTCCAGCCATGGACAGCTTCGAAGACATCTTCACCTCCACAACCCTCTCCCCCTCCACCTTTGAGGACGATGCGCCTCATCAGGACAAGCTCGGTATCGACATCCCTGTGAACGAGGACGACCCCTCGCGTGCAGGAGTGTACTGTATCATCGCATAAACACTGGGTGAGTAGCTCTTTGATTGGCCGAGGCATATGGCTTACCAAAGGCACGTCTAGGCATCGCCTAACTTATGTGAATATGTATTCACCTGCGGACACTCGGCCAATGGACCCTGATCATAGAAGTAAGCCATCGGTCTTGCTGCTATTGTCAGAATACTGACCTGCCGAGTGGCGTCTCTTCAGTGTCGCTCACCCCAATGTACCACCTCACTTCGTTCCTCAACTGTTCAAATTGGTTTCTAGCCCGGTATAAGTTTCCGCCATCGAGCCACGACCATATCGCTTGTCGTGAGTTCTCATATGTTCTGCCTGTTGGATCAGCACTGACCACCCGCACATAGACATTACCTGTATCGATATATCTATGCACCTCCCGTTTTTATTCCGTTGTATCTGTAGTCACCGTCCCGCGCTCCCCATCGTTGACACTAGCAGCTTTGTCGAATACCTGTACCACGGGTCTACCCTTCTCGTCGCCCTGCCTTGACGGCTGCGATCACCTTCACGTCCACACTCGTTAGTCTTGCCGATAACACTCGCACTCTTTACTTATTCATGCACGCACTACGTTATACTACATCCCACACTCCTTCTCTTGTATCATCAGGCCTCTGCAGCGCATGGGATATACCGTCGCTACGCAGTTGAAGCGCCACGAGTACCAGTTATTGTCCTTCACCCACAACATCACCCCCGTGCGATGGATGCCACAACGTAGAAGGTGGTCAGTCGCTTGCAAGCGCGGGAATGGCACAGACGTGCTCGTCGTCATCAAGACACGCCTCTTGAGATCGATATGTACTAGAACGACGTGAGGTGTACGTTCTGGGAGCGAGAAAGCAAAAAACTCTGGTCCGAGTTCGCAGAAATTTCGGTGCTTTGCGAGATTGCCTGCTGTATGTAGAGTACACTCATCGAAGACTACGGCTACACAGAAATAGTGGACGTTTGGACTTTTGAGCTGTGTGATGCGCGTTAGGCCGTGGTAAGGAGTGTTGAAGGGACAATAAGTAGCTTACTTGCCTGTTTATAAAGATCTTGAATCGGTTAAGAGTAGAGGGGAAGAGGGTACTCTTTGAAGCGCAACGATCACGCGAGCAGACCAGAGGATCTAGAGGAAAGCGACTTACCAAGTTTTCACCACGACTAATCACCCAATAAGGTCGTCCAAGAAGTCTTGCATCTCTTCCTTTTCGCTCTTCTTGGGCTCGGGATGATCTGACGGAAGCGGTGGTGCTTCCGCGAGACCTCGCTCTGCCATGATGCTTCATACCCCAATCCGAAGGCTCAGCTCGCACAGAGATGACGCACCTGGTTTCGCCCGGCCTGATAATACCGCACCCCGGGTCGGAGGACGCGCGCGCTGCCTCGCGGTTTGTGCTTTGAAACGCGCTTTGAGATCTATGTATCGTGCTTGAGCAACACTAGTCTGAGAGGATGGAAACCGACGACGCACCTCGAGCCGCCTCTGCCGCCGCCTTCTCCTGACTCATCTCCTCAAGTTCCGCATCCCATTCTATCTGCTGCACGCGACCTTTCTTGGTGCCAGAGGCAGGCTTTCCTATGCCGAGGATTCGCGCCGCGTTTTCGTCTATGTCGTCCTCGTCTTCTTCTGGACGAGGTTCTACAGTCGGCGCGGAATCCGAGAGTTTCTGTCGTTCAAGGAGCGCAGACAGGTCGACTTCGGGCTCGACGATGGCTTCACCTGCAAGACAATGTGTCAGGACGGCAATCTATCTGGGCGCGCAAGATCTACTCGCCGTCAGAGTCTAGCTCGGGCTCGGGTTCAGCATAGCGGTCCACGTTAGTGCCAAGCTGCCGCCGTCCATACTTTTGTGCCATCTCCCGCGCCGTCTCCTGTTGCTCTTCCTCATTTAGCTCGACCTCCTCCTCGCCTTCGAGGACGAGGCGCTTCTGAAACTCTGCAGGCCGCCCGCGTCCTCGTCCACGACCCCGCGCACGCAGGTACTTGCCGAGTCCACCGCGCGACTTGCCTCGACCGCGCCCGCGCCCACGTCCCGGCGCGCCAGATTCCGGTGGAGCGCTTGCTGAATCGGCCATGTTTCTCGGCGTTGCCAGAAACAGGTGTATGAATATGGAGGGATGTCGGAAAGGGGAGCGGATGCTGGTCGGAGCGAAGGGGCTTTCGCGCTCGCCACTGGAGAGGGTGCGCGGGCCGGGCGAAGGACCGAGATTAGGGTTATCAGCCACGACGGCCTCTTGAGGGCCAACTTCGCAACCACCGTCTGTGCCGACGTCCAGCACCCCTCCAACGACGACGACGGCCCCCCGGTCGTGCCTGCGCCAGCCATGATGCAAACCGCCGCCTTCTACCAGCACCCCCCCCAGGCCCGCAGCCCGTCGCCGCGAAGCCCACCGGGGCGGCGCAGCTCGGCGCGGACGCGACTCGCGCGTCCGTCGCCCACCTGCTCGCCGGAGCATTCGCGACGCCGTGCTCGACGGCGGCGCACACCTTCGTGCAAATCGTTCCGCCGCTGTCCCGCTTCCAGCTTGCGCTCGACGTACTTATGCCAATGCTCGACGCCCCCGCCGAGGTGAGTGTCTCGCCCCCTTCCCCTTCCCCCACCCCCGCTCCTGTGTCCCTGCCCCGCATCGGACGCTAATCTCCAATGACTACCTGCTGACCACCCGTCAAACCTTGCAGCTGACGCAACGTATATTGGTGTCCTACATCCTCTTCTCACTCTATGCCCCGCACCCAATTGCGATTAATCCGTTCAAGTCCGTACTCTATGCAACGTTTATCAAGGAGCGCGACGCCGCTGTGCGGGTCGCCGAGGCCGGGGGAGTTCACGAGAACGAGCAGTTTGTGTGGGTGCTCTGGAAGATCCTCAAGGGTGATGGGAAGGACGTGAGTGTTCCGCCTCTGATCTGTGATTGGCATTAAGCCTGCGCCCACCAGATCGGCCCGTTCTCACCAAACACGTTGGCGAAGTCGCCCCTGCCGCCCAAGCTGCGGGCGAGCAATCTCGCCCTCGAAGAAGAGGCTCCCCTCTGGTCGCTGGAGAATGGGTTGCGGAACGGGTCCAATGGGTCATCCGAGGCCGCCGTGTCCGCCGAACGCGACCATGAGAACGAGGCATATTCGCGGGCAGCGTCGCTGCTTCTCGCCGCACGCGAACGCGTGCTCTCGCTCTCCGAGTACCGCGTAAGTCCCGTACACTCTCTGTGATTCTCCCCCATTCAAGCCACGCACCCCTAGGCCCTGCTGCCCATGATCCCGAAGATCACATCGCCGTCGTTCGTCACGTCGAGCGATCTGCCGTCCATTCTGGCCATCAACCCCACCCTCGGTCACCCGCTCGTTATCACCCTGCTCACCATGGACTCTGACGTCGGCTCGGAACCTTATCTGGACGTCCTTAGGACGCTCCCGCCGACGCTGCCTTCGTTCGACCTCGTCGGCAAGCTCTTGCGCGACACGATGACTATCAACGACCATTCTACCGGCGGACGGACGACCATCGCGGACGTCGTGCGGACAGAAGTGCTCGGCTGGTTCATCAACTCTTGCGTCTCTTGGTTGGATCGTGCGGAGCAGGACGAGCGGGAGGGCAACATCAGCGACGACCGGTTCACGAAAGGTGTCCAGAACGTGCGTTCCTCCTTTTTTTCGCGCCCCTCTCTTTGCTGAAACTACCCCCTCTTTCCGTCCATCCCCTTTCCTGGACGTGCACCCTTTCTTCTGCCGCACCTCCAGCTCTGCCGCTTCTTCAACTCGCTCATCAAGCTCAACATCGTCGACCCCGCCTCGGACGCGACTCGGCCGAGATGGCGCATTTCACGCTCCGCAACTCGAGCTCGAGGAGGCGAACACGCTCTATCGTGTTCTCGCTATGCACAAGTTCTGACGAAGAAGTCCAAGCCCGGTTTTATGTCCGTCCATTCGTTCTTGAATCCACCCGGACCTTGTGCTCGCGGATACCTTCGCTCCTCGCCTCGTCTTGCCTCGCCGTGCCCACCCAACTTTAAGCTTCAGCCGTCCACTGAATGTAACGTCTTCCCATGTATATGTGCGCGCTCGCTCGCGCCAGCCTGTATCACCTGCCCCCCCCGCGAAGACCTCCCCTGTAGATGTGTAGATGTTGTATGTACGACTCCCCCCGAAGCTGATCACCCGCCTCGCCGCTCGCGCTTACATATGATGCGTTCGTTCTCCCTCGCCTCCGCCCCGTCGTCCCCCGTGTTTTGCGTTCTTGCCTTGCCCCTTGTTGTGTACCCGGTCCCCTCCTCGTCGTCTTTGGACTCGCGCACTATATCCTCGTGACTGACCCAAGTAGCGTTATTAACAACTTATTGATACCTGTATTTTCCTTGTACCACCTCGGCTGCCTTCTCGACTGCGATTGTGCAGCAGAAGTTTCTTCGTTCACGGCTGTCTCTCAATGCGCAGCAACGCAACATTCACACCACTACGGGCACTAAAGTTTCCGTGGACGTGGTGGCGTATCATGAGTATGAGGTATAACGTCACACGAGGCGTACGGCGGCGTTCCATTGGCACGTTTATCATACACTGTACAGAACCTTCCATAATGTGCAACACCGTTGTACCCAGAATGCGCTGACATCCGACCCACAGGAGTGAAAGCAATTGCATCAACCATTCGTAACCGTGAACGATGTGTACCAAGACTCACCGACTACAGTGCAATCCTCCATCAAAGCACCTGTCCGTCCCGGATCATGTAGGTCTTCCACTCCAGGTTGCGGTATCGATCACGGAACGCAACGGCGGATATCTGACGGACAAGAGGGCCGAGGGTCCGTGCGAGGATCTCGACCTGTGGCAGCAGGACCTCCTCCTCAAAGACCTCACCAGCTCATCGTCATCCGGATCCCAGAGCTCCGTCGGAGACCGCGCGTACTGGAAAAAGTCGAAGTACACCCTCAGGTGGCGGAGGCTCGACATCGGCGCAAGTGCGGCGGCGATGCGCGCCTGCACGCACCGGCAGTGAAAGAACGCCGACCACTGGGAGTCAGCGCGGGCCGCGGGACGGGTGGAGGCGGCGCGCACGTACCGTCGGGATGCTCTGCAGCGGCGTGCGCCGGACGGGGAAGTCGCCCTCGTCGTACGGCTCGTCGTACCTCAGCAGCGTGAGGCGCTCCAGGCGCGGGAACGCCCCGCCGGCGACGAAGCGCAGCATCGCGTCCTCGGACGTGCTGTCCGCCCTGTACTCGATCTCCAGGCGCTCGATGTCCGCAGCGGCGCAACGTCGGAGGATGGCGAGCATCGCGCCGGAGCTGTGGTAGAGCGAGGGGACGAGCCCCTCGTGCAGCCACGCGAACTTCCAGTGGCGGAGGGACAGCGCGCGGAGCGTGGGCGGGAGGTGCTCGTACACCTCGTCCTGGGCGTTCGGGCAGGCTATGACGAGCCTCTCGAGCCTCGGCCAAGGGAAGGGGCCGGAGCACCCGGAGGCCAGAGGGGGGCTCGCTCGGTGGCGCGCCCTGGCCAGGAGTTCCATCCGCGGTAGCAGTCGCTGGGCGTTCCTATGCCGTGTGGGGGAAGGGATTTGAGCGCAAGTTTGCGGAGGCGGGGCATGTTGGGGAGGAGCGTCACCGCGTGAGGAAGATCGCCGGTGGGGGGATCTGCGTTTATGATGAGCGTAGTGAGATGCGGCCAATCGAGGTCCCGGAGGGCATCCACGGGCGTCGACGCGCCTAGGAGGTGTAGCGTCTCTAGCGTCCCATGAAGCTTGGACAAGATGGACGAGAGAGATTTTGCCTCTGAAGAGTGCATTTAGAGATGAGAAAAGGGATAAACCTTACGATACTTGAAACCAGATAGGGCGCAATAGGTGGCACGTCGACCTTGTGTTCGGCTTCGGTGAGCATAGGACTGAAATGCAACCGTTCGAGGGTGAAGTGACGGAGACTGGGGACGGCTAGGATGCGAAGGAGTATATCGTATGATAGGCCGTGGCAGTTTTCTGCCTCTGAATTGAGCGTTATGGAAGAGAGATTTATGAAGGAAGACAAGAAGTCTTGGAAAGAATCGTGCAGACAGAGGGAGTCGCAGAGACTTGGCTTCTGGCGAGATTCCGGAGACAATGTGTGACATTGTCGCAAAACTTCGGGGCATTGGTCCACAACACTAAGATGTCTAAACCATACCGACGAGTTGAGAAGGTGGTGGCGCAGCAGCGGATGACGGCGGGCGTACCTGACGTGGATGAACAACGCGGGTTTCTCCTGTCGATATCGCTGGAATACGCGTGCGCTGGGCCACCAAGGTGGATTTGACCATAGGTTCATGCGGTAAGATCGGTATAGAACAGGCAGTGCCAGCTCTCTCAAGCGTTTGCATGTCGCACCGAGATTATACGCCGCCTGGCTTCCCACCAGCAGCTCCAGAACGAGAATTATCACGTCATCATTTAAGCAGTCGAGAGTTCCGCCCAAACTATCACTATCCGGATACATCAGACACATGTCCAAACAATAACCATTGCTACTCACATACGGAGTTGCTTCTCAAGCATCTGAGTTCGAGCAGCGCAGGAGGAGGGGAGTAAGAGGACCGCTTTTCTAAGGGGGGCTCCGCAGCTGATCTCGCGTGGATTAGACGCCCCAACGCTCCGTTGCCCACTCTCTGCGTCTGCACCTGTTCGTTCGATGCGCCAGATATAGAGCATGGACATCAGCAGAAGTTGTCCTGAACCGCCATGTCTTCCCATGCTACAACCTCCAACGAATACTGAACAGCCGTCACTAGCTGACAACTCGCTTCATATGTAGATGCAGTGGGACGTTGACCCAAAACGCCTACACACGCGCGACGAACCCTCCTGAAGAACGCGTTCGGATTCGAGTACACCGTGATATTGCCATTTACATGCATGAGCATACCGTGTACATATGGGATGGGATGGGCGGCAAGGAGGAAGGAAGGAAGGAAGAGGGAGGCGGATGCAGGGAGAGCCCCGCGCGCCGCGCGCGCACCTCGCGGAATATGCGCGCTTTAGCTAGTCGTTCGTCGTAGTGTACAATAACAAGGGTAGGTCCGCGCAGGAGGCGGCGGGGGGCGGGGCAGTCAAGAGCACGAGAGACAGAGGTACTAGAGAAGGAGGAGAAGACCACAAAACTAGGTGGGGCCTCGGACACGGCGCGCGGGATAGATAGATGGTTAAGACATGGGCGGACGTAGGCGTGGGCGTGGGCGTAGGCGTAGTGGGTGGGGGTCGGGAGGTGTGGTATGTCGGGGGAGAGTCAACAGAAACAAAGGGAGAGCGTACGCAACGGTCCGTCTGCGTCGCGACACCAGGCCTCAACCGAGGTGACGGAGAGGATGGCTCGACTCATGATGCCTGCTTGTTGCGGAAGCGGAGCAGGGGCGCGAGGCCGGAGAGCGCGCAGGCCTTCTTCAGGAACTCGTGCTGAGGGGTTCGGAATATGTCAGGACACGTCGAGGTCAGACGTCGGATGGAAGCTCACCTCGAGCAGCTCGTCCGCGGTCGCACGGCTCTTGACGTCAACACACAGGCACACACTCAGGAAGCCCTTGAGTTCGCGTGAGAGCGCGTCGGGCTTCTTGAGCGTGGGCGTGCCGTTCGTCGCGATGAGGTACAGCGCCTTCAAAGGCTCCTCATCAAGGTAGGGCGGCTCGTTCTCGATCATCTCGATGGCCATGATACCAAGCGACCAAATGTCGACCTTTGCGCCGTACTCCTTTTGCTTGACGACTTCGGGGGCCATCCAGTACGGAGTGCCCACCATCGTCGCGCGCTTGCTCTTCTGATCGGTGAGCTTGGCGCAGAAACCGAAGTCGGCTGCGGCGCGGCGTGAGGATAGGAACGCGGTGAAGGTGAAGAGGATACGTACTGATCTTGACGTGACCCTGCGCGTCCAAAAGCACGTTGTCGGACTTGATGTCACGGTGAATAATGGACTGGCTGTGCAGGTGACCGAGACCCTTGCACGTCTGAAGTGCGACTGTGAGGAAGAGGCGAACAAATAGTATAGATCAAACGCACCTCCAAGCAGATGCTCGAAATCTGGTCCTCCTCCAGCGTGTTGTTCTCGATGATGTCAGTGAGCGCACCGCCCTCCATGTACTCCATGACGACCCAAAGCTCGTTGTTCTTGACGAGGTACGAGTCGAGGAAGTTGACGATGTTCGGGTGCTGGGACTCCTTCATGACGAGAATCTCGTTCACGATAAGCTCTTTGCGCGGTTGGTTTGACAGGTCCATCTCCTTGATGGCGATTTTCTTGCCCGTTGCGTGCACCTTCGCGACGTAAACATGTCCCGAAGCACTACAAGCGCCGATTCAGCGAGCAAGCAACAACAGAAGCAATAAGACACACACCCCTGGCCAACTTTGCGGATCTTGCTGTACAGCAACTTCGGGTCGTCGGCGCTGACGACACTCCGAAGCTTCTCCATAATCTGCGCCTCGTTCATCGTGCTGATCCGCTTCTCCTTCTCCACCTTCGGCTTCTCCAACGCAGCGGCCGCAGCTGCGACGCTGCCGTTCCGCTCGTCGTCGCCGCTTCCCGTGATAGTGACCGCGGGCTGGTCCTTGGGACCCATCGGCTTCTTCGCAGGTTGAAGAGGCTTGACAGGTGGGGGGCCGACCGTCGCACCTGTGGGACCCGATGCAGGCTGGGAGCCCTGCATAGTCATTGCGGGAGAGGACTTCGCGGGAGCCATGGGTGGCCGTGGTCCGCCGCCTTGGCGGTCCAGCGACTCTTTGCGCTCCGGCTGCATGAGACCTGGCGGCTTGGTCATCCCCTCCGTGGGCGGGCCCTGGGCCTTTGCCCGCAGACGGAGTTCTGCCGACGAGGGAGAGTGGTCGGGGAGGGGGGGCTTGGCCGGTGCCGATGGCGCGGGCCGGTTCGCTGAGAGCAGGGGACGCTGGGGAGCCGGGCGCGACGCCTGCAGCTGGCCGGGGGCGCCCATCGGAGGGATCGGGTTCCGCATGTTCGCATTTGTCTGCGCGGCGGACACGGTGTTGGCATGGTGCAAATGTGAGCCGTTGACGACCTCCGCGGCGCGGGCAAGAGCAGCTTGGGTGCCGTTGACGGCGTCGCCGTTGAGGTGTGCAGGGGCCGAGTCTTGACGTTTGATCGATGGACGGTCGGACGACGTGGAAGTCTTCGGGATCCCAGCCCCGCCGAAACCGGTACCCGCGTTGAATCGTGGTGCGCTCGAGGTGTCGGAGTACGGGGTGAGGGTGGACGATGATGAGTACGAACCCTGGTTGCGCGCGTATCCCATGCTCTCCTCCATCTCCCGCTTCTGGTGATCCGTGTAGAATTCCAGGACATCGAGGACAGCCTGGGGGTCCTTTGCGTAGTCTTCTCGGGTGATGGCGGACTTTGTGAGTAGCTTGCTCCATGCATCGGGAAGACCCTATGAACCCAAGTTAGTAACCCACGCCACGAGGGATACGAAGGACGCACCGTAAAAGCTCCAGAGTTGGGATCAAACCCAACGTGGACCTTGTGCACGAAGTTGGTCGGGTTGCTCACACCCATGAGAGGACTCCGTGAGTAAATGTCGTCTTGCCATCCGTAGAGCTCCTCGTCGCTCTTTAGTGAGAAAAACATGCGCTTCTCCTTGACTTCGAGGAGGAGGCAATAAGGCTTCAAATCTGTCCGCTCGATGTTTGCGATCTCGGACAGCAGGATCTGGCTTTGATATTGGGGCGAAGACTGCAGGAACGTGTCAGCACGTCCCAGTGCCAACGCGAGCGGGGGGGAAGGCGTATATATGCAGGAAAATACCGACCTCGCTCTTGTGTATCGACAACGTCTGCTCTTTCAGGACCAACCACTTGGGCCGCCAGAGCCAGGACACGAGCCCATCCTCCTTGACAAGAACGGTGCCGCAGCGGACGATGTTGGAGGAGTTGACCATGTCAGAGTTGCGGTTGGGGGAGCCGCCAATGCCTGAGTAGGAGGACGCGTAGGAAGAGCCGGAGGGCGACGACGTGCCGACTGAGAAGGAAGAGCCGTAGCCGGAGCTAGCGAGCGCGGCTTGGACGTCGTTGCCACGGCGGATGGGAGCGGCGGGTGCTGGGCGGGAGGGGGTGAGAGACGCGGTGGTGACCTGATACGCCATGGATATGATCTGTCCGCGGGATTGGGGCCAGATGGCGGCGGATCCTGGATCGCAGGGAGGGGCGCTGAGGGCGGCAGGGGGAGCAGGTGTTCAGCCGACGGCAAAAGCTAGCGCGAGCGCCGCCGAGAGCAGCGATATGGCGAGCGGGGCGGTGGCAAGGGATACGAGGGCCGCGCAGGGGATCGTCGGTGTCGTGGGTCGTGTCGTGGGCGTCGTGGATGGCGTCGAGAAAGCCGGTCGGGGACGGTGCTGGCTTTGTTTGAGCCTGTGGCCCAGCAATCGCTCGTTCCCCCTTCCGGATTGGGTGACCAATCCGGGCTCGGATCTGCCCGACGCCCGTTCCAGATTGTCACGGCAACGAGTCCCAGTCCCTTGCCCTCTTCCTCCGTCCTCAACCTGAGATCCACGCGCATTGGCATAAATACACCCGTGCACATCGACGTCCAGCCAGCCTCTTGTCTGCTGCTCCTCCCCGTATGCCCATGGAGACGTACGGACACACGAAACACCATGCAAGACGCCTCTCTGATGGTCAGGGCATTGCATACATTTTCGTCTGTAAAACATCACCGCGCATCTCGCATGCATGCCCTCGTTGACCGGTAAGTAACACTCGATCACTAGGCGAACCTTTGCCGAAGACGACCGGCCACGCGGACGAGCGTTGTTCTCGCCGAAGCCCGTCTATATCTGTATATGCAGTGCTCTGAGGTGCATATGTATACGGGGATCCCGGTTATACTGCGTGCCGTTACGAGCGGATGCCGGACCTCGACGATTCATGGAAGTCAAACACATCGACTGTATTTTACCAAAGTGCTCCCGTTCGCGGCCATATATCTAAGTATCGTAAACAACGACGCCCAACCAGACATCACGAGGGTTCTAACCTCGAGCGACATTTGTGTCGAGGTGTTAATCCAACGAAGACTGCGCAACCTGACAAGACGCATCGAAGATTGCCCAAGGCAATCCGAATTATTTATTCCAATATCCACATCGCATTTATCGAAGGATTTACGCGTTGATACCACCATTCCTCTCTGTTGTACGGACCCATCGTCATGAACGGGAGCAACATGTACCACAGCCGGTCCGTCGTGTCCAGCGTGTGCGGTATCTGCATCTCGCGACGCATCCCAATCCAGTTCCTCCACCCCACATACTCGAGCCACGGCGGGTAGAACCCAGACAGCTCCCAGTCGATGAGGTACACCCGCCCGTCGTCGCCCAGGATCACGTTGCGCATCGCGATGTCGCAGTGGGTGAGCACCAGCGGCGCCGCGCCGGCGAACGGCTCCCGCGGGATGCCAGTGTGGAACTTGGGGAAGCTGGCCACCGACCGCGCGTGGTGCTTCTCGAACCACACCGCGAGCGCCGCGGCGTCCGGGAACGGGGGCACCGACGTGCCCATGACGCCGGCGAAAGCGACGATCTGCGGCGCTACCGGGAGGCTGCCTGGGGCGACGGGGCCCGGAACGAGGGAGCGCGGGTGGCGGATGGCGCGCAGCTGGCGGAGGTAGCTCCGGAGCATGTATGCGACTCGCAGCTTGCTGAAGAAGGAGAGGGTGGGCCACGCCTCGTCGAGGCGGCGTCCGGGGATACGGTCCATGACGAATGGCATGCCCATAATGAACCGGCCGGTGTCGTCCATCACGCGGAGTGTGCGGCGGACGCGTGGGACCGGGATGGTGGTGTGGTGGAAGACGATATCGAGGGTGAGGGGTTCAGGGGTTGGCTCCTCGTCGTCTCTGCAACTGGCGTATTTGCAGACAGTATCGCGCGTGAATGGCCACACGCGAACATGTGAGGGATTCTCTTCTGCCGGCAGAGGGGGTAGATCGGGGTCCTCTTCTTCGCATGTGCTCGAGTATCGTTCAAGAATTTGGTCTTCTGTCCACTGGTCTACGTCTGATGACTACAGTCCTGTGAGATTCTCCACTCCGCGCGAAACCAGATGAAAGCCGACTTACCCCATAGTCTGTACGAGGGCGAACCGATGGTACTAGGCGCGTGATACGGAGAACGTCGTATGACACGTCGGCAACCAAGCCCAGTACTGTGTATGCGAACACGGTGGCGAGGACTTGCACATTCTCAACAATGCCCGACGGAGGGCGGTGAGAAGGAAGAGAGAGAAGAATATCGGGCATGTGCAAGGAGGTGGTAAGCAGTGGCAGTACTCTCGGCGCGATGGTTTTCTGGATGTCGCCCACATAAAAAGTAGCTTTTTTCGAGGGGCGCCTTCAGCCTCAGGTGCAAGGTCATCGTAGCGACACATATTCTCGTGTCCGATTATAAGCAGGGTTGTGTGACGGCTGGCAGCGTCTTAAGTATAGTATACTGGTAGCAAAACACCAACTCTCTGTCATGGACCATACCGGAAGTAGCAATGGTTCACCTGAGATGTGGTGAACAAATCAGTTGGGTCAACTTCGTTCTGATGGAGCGAATGGATTATGAATGCGTCAAAAAGCTTGACGGAAAGCCAATGGAAAGTTGCTAGAGGTTCGTAATCAGAACTTTACTTGTAGATACTCTCGGAATACCTAGTTTATCTCGCATTCTTCAAGTCCACCCAGTGGAAGTACACATGCTAGGAGCTGAATTAGGTGACGGCGCTGACACTGTGTAGCGAGCAAGTTCGTGCCCATGAAGGTTGGTGCCACAGGTCCAGGTCCAACATATGTCGCTCGAGGTGGGAAGTTGCTCCGTTCTTCCACTGGCAGGCGTATGACGCGCAGAATCACTGAGCACTCACGAAGGTTGACGTCCTGCGCAGGGGGAAGGGAAAGCAATTATGGGATAGCAGTGATGTAAAGCGATACACAGCGCCAGCGCGCGCGAGGAGAGGGATAGTGTAACGTCTACTTGTTCTTCGTGTGCCTGGGGACCGCGACGTGTCGGTGGGAGAGATGACAGGAGGAGGTAGGGGTACGCACTTGTAGCTGAACCTTTTCCGGGTGATCGCAAACTCGCCCAACTTGTGCCCGACCATGTCCTGCGTGACGTTCACCGGGAGGTACTCCTTACCGTTATGCACGAGGAACCGGATCCTGCAAGTTCAGGGAGGTGAGAGACTGAGCGCATATATACGCAGACCCACAGACGCACCCGACGAAGTTGGGCAGAATGGTGCACGCTCTCGCCTGAGTTCTGATGGGGATGTTGTTCTCGAGAGCGTGCTTGAGGTTCGAAAAGGCCACGAAGTACGGGCCTAAGCAGGAAAAAGTCGGAATGAGAGCTGTGGTTGCTGAAAAACAAGGACGCACCTTTCCACGCGGACCTGCCACCCTGCGCAATCGCAGTAACGAACATAGTCAGCAGTCGAGAGTGTCCGAGAGAGGCCTGGCGAAGCGTCCGTGGCAGCACGGACGCGCCGTCACAAAGAGTGACATAATGAGGTCAGCGTGACATGGAGCGGTCCAAGCGGGCGCCTTTCGCAGCTGCGCATGCCTTCCCCGCTTCGCCGCAACACCTCCCTTTGGGGCGGTGGACACCTCGCCTGCTCGACGCACTATCGTCCTTGTCCTCTTACAGTCGACCCCCTCCGTCAACGTCGTACCGCGCGCCTTGCTTCAGCCTGAGGCCCCTTGTCAGTTTGACGCCACAGTCGATCGCTTGGCACAAGTCTTGACTGCGGCAGAAGCAGGCAAGTCAGGAGCATCGTCCAGCGCATCCAACACTCCCTTTTCCTCTTCGATCATGTCCCTTGCGGAACGACTGCACCTCGCCCGTCAAGCAGACTCATCCTCGACCATCACATCAAGCGCCGGCGGCTCGTCGTCCCCCACAACTTCCACTGCGTCCCCCACGACCTCCACCTCTTTCACTCCTTTCTTTCCCTCTCCCCCCAGCCCAGCTCCAGACTCGAGCAATGCGTTGCATCATACCAAGGTGCGTCTCTGTCTCACTCTATTCCTTAACTTTGATCCGCGCTCAATCGACCCATGATCGCGCGCGCTCCGCCGTGTCCCCCACATGCACCTTGGCCAGGTGGCAGTTGAAAGCGCACTCATCGTCGCGGCCGCGACGGTGCTCGTGGCTCTCATTCTCTGGAGGTACGCCCCTTCTTCTCGCTTCCACCCCCTGCCCACGCGGACTCCCATCATCCACGCCCCCGCTTCTGGGCGTCCGCCCCTCACACCCGTCCCCGCACATCCCACGCCCAATCGTGCTCGTTCCTGCTCTATTATGTGTGGTGCTGATCGGCATCCTTCACAGACTCATAGTACTGCGCCGGTCGAAACGCCCCCTGCGCGACTTCTTCTGGGCGAACCCCCAGCCCGACGTCCCCGCACGCCCGCAGACCGTCCCACGCACGACGGGGCTTCCCTCCATATCCGGGCCCCCTGCCTCCGTCATCTACGCGACCCTGCCCATGCCGCCCGCCGCGCTCGCCGACCGCCAGCGGCGGAGACGTCGGACGCGCGGCGGGGACATCGACGGGGGCGGGCGGCGGGGGAGGCTTGCGCACCCCGACGACCCCGACGAGTTCCTCCCGGTGTACGACGACAAGGACGTGCTGCCGAAGTACCAGGACGTGGAGCAGATGAGCGGGGGCGGGAGTCGGATGGGGGCCCTGCGTGGGTTGGTTGGGCTGGGCCACGGCAGCGCCGAGCAGAGGATCCGGAGTAGGACGGGAGACACGATCCCGCTGGTCGAGACCGCGGCGCTGGCTCCCAGCAGCACGACGCTGGACCGGCAACCGGTGTCGTCGGTGGGGTCGCACGAGGCTCTTCACGACATGCAAGAGCTGACCGCGGACGCACCCCCACACCCGCCAGGACAGGCCGCTGTTTGGTGAGTTCCGTATTTACTGTCAGCGCTGCTCGCCTTCATGCCCGCACCCAGATGTCAACTCGTTGCTTATCCCTCTTAATACTCGTTGCTGCTGCTATATACTTTGGACATAGTTAGTACGTCCTGATGTTTGTCTGTATCCCCACTTGCTGTAACCCTAGTAACGAACGGAATGGAAGCGCCTCATGTTTGACGTCACTATGTATCATGCTCGCTGTGCGAGACCACCTAGCGCCGGTCCCGTGCCTCAGCTTTGGAGTACACAAGCCCCAGGACCTTCTCGAGTGTACGATGTTCCGCAATCCTGCCAATGGACATCTGCGCACGCGCGGCAAGTGACGCCATCCGCACCACCAACCCCACGTTGGCCCCAGACTCATCCACTCAGCTGCGCCCACAGCCTATGACGTCATACTATATCACCTCCACTTAGGGGTATAAGACGGGCAGCGTCGATCCCCTCCAGACCTCACAACAGCACATCTCCTCGATCGATCACCCACGAACTACCCACCTAATCTCCTCACTAACCACCACCCACACCACCATGTCGTCCAACAACGAGTCCTCCGGCCCCAAGTACGTCTGTCTCCCTTTCGCCCCGCCAATCCGACTGACACCCCACCCCCCTCCCCCACAGCAAGACCACCGGCCAGTTCCACTCCACGAAGGGCACCGCGGTCGAGACGATCGGCTCCCTCACCGGCTGGGACAACTGGACGCAGGCCGGGAAGGAGGAGCACGCGCGCGGCGAGGGCGAGTACCGCGCCGCGCAGGCGCAGGGCTACGTCGAGGGCGCGGCGGACCGCGTCGGCGGCCGCAAGGACGCGATCGCCGGCGCCGTCAGCGGCGACCGCGAGCGCGAGGCGGAGGGTGAGTGCTGGCTGCTCGGCCCCGCCGTGTGAGGTACACCGTGCTGCGGGTGCGGGGGTTATACGACGATGTGAGGCTGATGGCGTTGGGATTGCAGGGAACATGCGCCGGGATAAGGGGGAGGCGCAGCAGAGCATCAACCGCCCGGAGTGAGGGAACGAGTCGAGTCAGTATTTGCAGCTTTAATAATAATTGTACGAGTGTGATGTTTCTCGAAAGTGCTTTTTGGTGTGTCGCTGTGAAGAAGCTTGAGTGATTTCGTAGGTCCAGAGAGTCCAGATTGGTCTGAAACAGGTTGTCGACAGGCTAGAGACCAAGTGCGTATGTGCTGGGATCGTGCATCATAAATTGCTCAGTACAGAAGGATCATGCGGGGGCGGCCTTAGCGTAGAACTTCTCAAGGAGCCGCGTCGGTTCTCTCCGCACGACCTGCCTCTCGCGGATCGTGTACGTCTGCCAGACCCACTCCTCTCTGACGTTGGGTATCATCCCCGATATCGACACCACGGAAGGGCCGAGCGTCTGAGCGAAGACGTCCACCTGAGGGCGCAACACTTCCCGCTCAAAAATCGTCTGGTCCGCTCCCGCTGAGGGTCGGTTGGGCCCATTATGAGCCATGTACCGATAGTAGTCAAGGTATATCTTCAGGTGCCGGAGGCCGGCGAGGCCGGCGAGCGCGCCGGCGATCCGTCGCTGTATGCGCCGCGCCGTGCCAGGAAAGCGGTTGTCAGCTCGCGCCCGATGACATTGACAGGGAAGGTCAAGCACGGCGCACGCACCGGCAGCTCGACATCGACGGGCGGTCGCTCTGCGTTGAACGCGCGAGGCACCACCCGCGCGTACCGCAGCACTTTGAGCGCGCGGAGACGCGGGAACGCGGTGCCCAGGAGCCCAAGCAGCGCGTCCTCCTCGCGCTGGTCCGCGCCCGCGTCCGCGACATACTCGATCTCGAGCTCCTCGAGCTCCAGCCCCGCGGCCGCGCAGCGCCGCAGGATCCGGAGCGTCTCCGCCGCGGTGTGGTACGCGGTGAGGTCCAGGGTCTCCGCCGTCCGACACTCGTAGAACTAGCTGAGGTGCTTCCAGTAGCGCAGCGAGAGCGCGCGCAGCGTCGGCGGCAGGCGCGCGTGCGCCTCGTCGTCCGCGTTCGGGCAGGAGACGACGAGGCGCTCGAGCGCGGGCCACGGGAAGCGGCCGGTGTGTCCTGGGGGCCAGAGGGGGGGCCGTTCGGTCTCGCGGGGGCTGCGGACGGCGGGGGCGGGGGCGTGTCGGAGGTCCTGCAGGCCGGTCCAGCGCGGCGGGAGGAACTTGAGGGCGAGCGTGCGCAGGTGGGGCATGGTGGACGCGAAGAGGGAGACGGCGTGCCAGGGCTGCGCGGACGCCCAGGGCTCGCCGTAGAGCACCAGCTCGCAGAGACGGGGCCAGTGGAGCGTCGTCAGGAGGTCCGCGGGGGCTGAGAGGCCGGGAAGGTGCAGCGTTTTGAGGGTGGTGTGCAGCTTGCAGAGCACTGCCGAGAGCGCCTGGGTTTCTGGGTGCAGTAACTCCGGTCGATGCGGAAGGGGGTACTTGAAGCGCACTCCGAAAGATGAGAGGGGGACAGGCGTGAAACCGTGCGCATCGCCTGGCTGGAAGTCGAGGGCGACGTGCAGCCGCTGAAGCGCGAATTCGCGGAGGGAGGGGATGGCGAGGATGTGCCGGATCGTGCGCCAGGGTATGAAATGGCTCCGCGGCGCATAGGGAGAGCACTCAAGCGAGATAGACGAGAGCTGGGTGGTGGAGCGTAGTAAGGTCGCCAGGCCTCGCTCGGGGACGAGCACTTTGCACGATGTGACGCGCTCGCCCGGATGTGACTTGACGCTACAGGCTCCGCGGCAACAGTCGCAGAGAGTGAGCGATCTAAGTCATAGCTTCCGGTCAGTTTCGGCTGGCATCTATTGCGTAGTCCACGGGGATACCTGATGTGCGGTGCGATCGCAGGCATCGCGTATGGGTGAGGCCCGGGTTCGAGGCGTCTTGTTCCACCATCTACAGAGAAGTAGCAATCCCTGTAGAAGATCGGGATGCTGAGGTAGCGCAGACGCTTGCATATCGCGGCAAAATTCGTGGCCGCCCTGGTTCCCAGGAGGAGATCTAAGATGAGAAGGAGGACATCGTCGTTGAGTCCGAGAAACGTGAGAGATGTGGCCCCAAGCTGGCTGTAGCCACGGGAAGTCTGTAAGGAGTGGTCCATTGTTCCACGAGGGGCACTGGCTCTCATCGACATCCTCCAGATGAAATGCGGTGTCACCTTCACGCATACGCATACAAGAGGATCGATGAGCACGTGGATGGAGAAGGGGTCTTTGGCGCTTCTTGTGTCGTACGAGGCTTGATATGGAAGCTTTTACATACATGACAGTCATGTGATCCTAGGTATAACCCGGTTGTCCTGTATGTCGTACGCCTGCCACTCCCAGGTCATATCGCGAAGACACACGAGACCAGATATCGAGATAACAGACGGGCTGAGAATCTGCGCAAAAGTATCAACCTGAGGGCGCAGGACATCTCTCTCAAACTCCATCTTTCTATTCCGAGGTACGAAGGAACGAGAGTCCAGGTACATCTTCAGGCGCCGAAGGTTTTCGAGGCGGCTGAGGCAACTCGCGATGCGTCTCTGGACAAGGTACCGAGGCCACAATAAGTGCCCCGCATAAGAACGATACTGAAGAACAACACGCACCGTGGGCAACTCGTCCATCGGTCTACGCGACTCAGGGAGCGACATACGTCCGTACTGCAGCACGGTTAGCTCCCGCAGTCGCGGAAATGCGGCGCCCAGTAGCCTGAGAAGCTCCTCTTCGCGGTCGTCCTCCACGTACTCGACCGTCAGCCGCTCCAGCGCCGGGATCGCACAGCGCCGTAGGATCGTGAGCGTCGAACCCGCGGTGTGATACGCGCGATGATCTGGAGTCTCGGCCCGAGTGCGCTCGTGGGCGAGCCAGAAGAGGTGCTTCCAGTACCGCAGCGAGAGCGAGCGCAGCGTCTGCGGGAGGTGCTCGTACACTTCGTCGTCGACGTTCGGACAGGAGACGACGAGCCGGTCCAGCTCCGGCCAAGGGAAGGGACCGGTGTACCCCGGAGGCCAGAGCGGGGTCCGCTCCGTTTCGCGGCTGTGGTGCAGAACGCCGTTGCGGGAGTCGGCGAGGTTCAGGAGGCCCTTGCCACGCGGAGGGAGGAACTTGAGCGCGAGCGTGCGGAGGTGCGGCATGTTGGAAAAGAGAGTGACGGCGTGCCATGGTTGCGAAGCGTCCCACGGTTCGCTGTAGAGAACGAGCTCCCGAAGACGGGGCCAGTGGGATGTCGTCAGGAGGTCTGCGGGAGCTGAGGGGCCTGGGAGATGCAGCGTTTCTAGTGTATCGTATAGCTTGGACAGGACTGTCGAGAATGCTCGTGTTTCCGACTGTAGTGACTCGGGTCGGCACGGAATAGGATAATTGAATCGTGCTTCGAAAGATCTGAGGGAGACGGGCGCAAAACCTTCGGTGTTCTGAGGTTTGAAGTCGGGTGCGAAGATGAACCGCTGAAGTACGAATTCGCGAAGGGTGGGGACGGAAAGAACGCGCCGTATCGTGCGCCAGGGTATAGAATGGCTCCGCTGAGCATACGGAAAGCGCTCAAGGAAGACGGACGAAAGCTGAGAAGTAGAGCGTAGTAATGTCGCCAGACCTCGCTCGGGGACGAGCAATCGGCACATTGTAAAGCGTTCGCTTGGGATGAAGGTGGCACTCCGGGCGCCGGGGCAGTTATCACAGAGCTTGAGGAACCTGACTCCTCCGATAAGATTCTTCTTTCGATCACTGCGTATGCCAGTAGGACTACATACCTGATATGCGGAGCGATCGCAGGGGACGTATAGGGCTCAGGCCATCTGGACATGTCCAGATGGGAGTAGCATTTCTTGTAGATAACCGAATTGCAGAGCCTGTGTATGCGCTTGGATGTAGCAGCGAATTTCTTCGCCATCATCCTATTGCTGCTTAGGAGGTAATCCAAGATGATGAGGAGGACATCGTCGTCAAGGCTGAGTACGAGAACGCCAAGATATTGGACCTTAGGAGGCGATAGCTCCGAAGAACAAGTACGCACCTTTCTAGAGATATCTTTGACTCCGTTGGAGGATGCATAGCCGCACTTAGTAGCCACCAGGTAGACTGTATACAGTCCAAGGTGAGATGAACGTCATCGATAAGAGAGGCCGACTTGCACACATCTTCCCACGGACTCCGTGAGCGCGCCGCGTCAGAACCGCGGGAACGGTAGTCTCCCCTAGGCCAACCTTCTAACGAAGGTCTGCTTGCAAACGCGCCCACGATACCGCAGCTCTTCATTTTCTGGCGGAGTTTGAACATGTGCGATGGATCGCACACCTTATATAGCAACTATGTCTTTAGACAGCATAGATCGACAACCGAGAGATCTCCGGCAGGCTCCGACGGTCCGATGCGTCGCTCGCGCGCGCCGCGATAGTGCTCGCGCTCGCGCGCGCTCCCTCCCTGAGTTCTACTCTATGGCTTCAAGACGGGACCACTGGAAGGTTGCAACGCCTGAAAGTGGATCCACCTTCAGCTCCTTTCATGCGGTGTTCGACCCCTCGCTGCCCTCTACACCAGTCACGCCTCGGCCGTCTCTGCTTGCGCCCTCGCCCTCACCCTCGCCCTTCGGATCCTTCGCACTCTCGCCCTCACCTCTTGCGTCCACCACCTACCGCTCCCCTCGGACCGCAAGAAAGCGAGCACGCGAAGGTCAGGTGCTTTCTCAGCACCATGCGGCAGAGCCCTCATCGCGGCCACCATGTGAGTATTTATATTGCTCTCTTCTCGCATTTCTGGACCTCAATAGTCCCCGGAACAGCTGCGAAACGGCCCCTCGGAGATGGTGCAGTTTCGCGACAAGCAGAAAAGCGAGCACGCAAGGAGAACGTACCACTCCCCCCTTATTATGCGCCTCCATCCTCGCCCTCCTTCGCGGTCTGCATGGTCCAGCCCGTCCAAGATCTGCCCGGCCTGCCCCACCACCACTACTGCACGACATGCGGGTACCTCCCTCACCCCTCCCCACTCATCAACGAGAAGCCGAAGCCCGTGCGGAAGGATTCAGAGCCTCACGAGAAGTTGGCCATCGTTCTGAATAGCATCCTTGACGATGTACACTGGAGTTTGGGCGGGTTTCTCCACGCTGTATTCTCGATGTTCGGGCGCAATGCACATCGTACCCAGCGTCACGCTCAGGTTGTGTCGAGGTTCCTGAAAGGGAAGGATAAGGATCCAAATGGTACGCCAGAAAGCATCCTCGACCTGTGGATGCGCCATTCGGATGGGCGATCGTCAAGTCCCCGATGGCCCCTCCCACCAAAATCTGAGACTGCGGCGGACCCGGTGCGGGTTGCACTTATGCGGTTCGCCGTACACCTCGTGGAGAAGACACTCGTTAGCGAGGCTGAACAGGCTATTAAGCCTCAAAACGGCTTGCACGCTTCACGGAAGCTGCGGAAGAGTGACAATCCTACGGACGCCTCCGAAGTTCAGTGGGCCGACATAGGTGCAACAACCCTCGCATCTGTATCAGCTATCACAAAGACCCAACAGCCGCTGCTCTGGGAGCTTCTGCTCTCCATTGCGGAGCGTGCACCTGGTGCCAAGAGCGTCACGGACGCAGATGACGCTCGTCGGAATCGTCCCGCAGAGCTGGTAAGTTCTTTCTATTTACAACTCAGCTGAGCTTCCACTCACGAGGCAACCGCAGGTGGTATGCAACGTGATCACGACCCTCGACTTCTCGCGCTCCAATCGTGCCAACCTCGCTCCTCTCTCCTTCGGTTTCCTCGAGTTTGCCTTCTCGACACCGTCAGACATCTACCCCTACCAGTCCCGTCTTGGCATCACCCCGACATACTCAACCATCCGACGTACTCTTGAGAAGATGTCACTGAAAGAAGCGACACGTGTACGGGAACTTGGAGCCGACCCAAACAACCCCATCTGCATTATCACGGACAACGTTCAACATTATCTGAAGCAGCGGGACGCCTGCGTCGGCCGCGCGAACGGGATCAACATCGGCATGGCGGCTACATACGTGGAGCTCTCTCACGTTCCCCCATCCGCTCTTGACTATGACGACAAGCAATCGCGCGTGGCTGCAAATCTCCGCGCATCAGTGACAGTCACTCAGCTTCTCAAATTTGTTGATCAGGAACATTTTGCGAGAGTGGGTGTGCTCACTCTCCTGCGCATTCTCATCAACCGTATCCCTGAGCTCAAAAAGTACAAGACCAACGTCTCAACAGGCTATCGCACTCAGGCAAAGAAGATACTGCTCGATCCGGTCGCGTCACCACTGCACCCGCTTGGAACGAGCGCGAAGAACGAGACTGTCACGCGTGAGCTGAAGGACGCGCTGGAAGATTTCCTAGGTCAAGTTGGTCAAGAGAAGACGAGCCACCACCGCAAGCTGGTTCTATGCGTCGGCGATGGGCTCACCTACGACAAGATCGTGCAGCTGAAGAACTATCTTCGGTTCCACGACAACCCATTCGAGAGCTTCCAGCTCATCAAACCTGTTCTCGCTCCGTGGCACACTGCATGGACCGACCTCAGCCGTATCTTCAGCGCGCACTGGGACAGCCTCGTATCACGTGATCCTTCCAAGCTCGGCTTCGGAGCTGCAAAGCTCCATCGGCGCCCCCCATCGAATCTCAAGAAACCTGACTTCAATCAGGCACTTGAGATTGTGGAAACAGTGCATGATGCACACGTCCTCGACTGCTTCCGGTGAGTTTGTACATGCAACTAGGTGAATAGCAACCTTAACGGAGGATAAACAGGGTCTTTTATCGTACAGACGACATATATTCCTACTTCTCGAGTATGGGCACTGCACCGACTTTTGAGGCATTGATGCAGGATGCCCAACAAGTCTACCATATGTTTGGCACTCAACTGGCTGCAGATAGAGCCCTCGAGCCTCGAAGTGATGACATTACGGCCGTTTCCGAGAGGGTGGGAGACTTGATGACGTCATCGACATCGACAGCAGAACCGCACTCCGCATCAAGCTTGCACACCGTCTCTCCCTCTTCCCCTACACCCTCCTCCAGTATCTTGGCTCCTGAATTTGGGATAACGTCTCCCAATGTGCCCTTAGGTAAGACAAATCACCCCTTCCTTGCGCCAGCAACTAATAGAACTTGGTTTGAAGGTTCCACCATCCATCAGGGCACAGATACACCGGGAAGAGTGGCTTGACATACATTGAGCGCGTTCCGTGGGAGGTAGATGACAAGGCATGACTTCATCTCACGTCCGTCGCGTGCTCTCCCCGCCTGCTGAATCAGCGTCCCCATGTCGACAGGCAGTCCCCGTTCGAACACAACAACGTGGTGTATTCGTGCGACATCAATCCCAACAGAGAGCGTGTCGGTCGCCAGAACCACTGAAAACATGTTGTCGCTCCCGGAACGCAGGTGGTCGAGGGTAGTGTCGTTGTACGAAGGCCAGTTCAGTCCGTTGTGGGACCGGACCTCAACATGGGGAGCCAACTCGTCACCGGTCGCAGCATGGCACTTGAGCTGAAAGTCGAGGTAGGACATGATGTCGTGACATGTTTTGAGTGTGCGACAGAAGATGAGAATATTGCGGCGGGCTGAAAGAACCCATTCCAGTTCGGGGAAGGCCGTGGCATTGACAGTCGACTTCATGAGGCGGATGATAATGCGGAGATCGTGGCGGGCATTGGAGCGTCGGATGAGATGAAACCTGGGTCCTTCATACAGCCCGAGCGAGTCGTAGACAGCCCGGAGAGGTGGACCGGCACGGAGGGTGGCCGTAAGAGCGATAACAACCGGCTGGTTGAAACGCATGCGCGTCGGCCCAATCTTCTCGAACTCTGGTCGGAATGTCTTCCCCCATGTGTTGAGGAGATGTGCCTCGTCGACTCCGAGCGCAACGACGCGCATCTTGTATGCCGAGTTGTTCACCAGACGCTCGAAGCCCTTCTTGTCGAGCTGCTCGGGTGCAACAAGTAGGACGTCGCTGTCGGGGACGTCATCCCAAAGGTTCCGAGGGCGCGCCGTAGTCAATGCATCCTAGGCTTGTTGATGACTATCGGGCGGAGACCGCAAGCCGTGAACTTAGTGGCCTTGCCACGGACGTTCAGGGGTCTGCGTACACATTATTATCGATGTGATGGACTCACCATATCAACCTGCAGCGCAATTGTCGGGCACACGACGACCATAGCGGCCCGATGCTGGAAATGTCTTGGGGGAGGTGAAGGCAGCAACAGCGGCTGCTCCATCACAGCTTGCATCACGACGAGGTACATCGTGAGAAAGCCTGTCTTTCCGGACCCTGTAGGTGTAATCGCGAGGATGTCGAGGCCGTCGAGAGCTCTCGTCACGCCGTCGAGCTGGTAGTCGTGGGGATCGTATCCGAAACACGCCGAGATGATTTGTCGACACAGTGCGCGGCCAGCCGTCGAGTTGAACGCGAAGACCGCTGACGGGGTAGCGCGCGAGTCGATGGGTGTACAGTTCATTAGGTGCGCATACTATAAGCAAGGTGTGTGCGGGTTTGAGGGCGAAGGAGCAAATGAGGGAACGCGCGCTTAGGCCGCGCGACGCGTCGACGCGTTTGTGTATAGATCCGACGCGTCGTCGGAGATCAATTTATGGCTGACTAATCGAACACGGGAGAGCTACGGTCTGACCCCGGCAAATCGATGCAGACTACGGGAACGGCGCGCCCAACTTGGCCTGCGCGTCCTCCGAGTCCACGAGTGCACTCGATCTCCAGCTTTGAAGTCACTGGTGCAGGCGTTCGGGTAGGACACGATGAGACGGCGTTCAAGCTTTTACCACGGGAAGCGGCCACGGTGTGCCCGGGAGGCCAGAGAGGGGACCATTCGGTCTCGCGTGCGTAGTAAGAGGTTGGACTCGGAGAGGCTTCGGTATATTGGCCCTCGTCCTCGAGCTCGATGATCGATGAGCACGTCGGTGAGAAATTGCCGGATTGTCTCGCCCATTCCTCCTCGTATGCACGGCCTCATCTTTCCACGATCAGATAGCAAAGCGGTCTGCGCGAGCTGAGTAAACGTGTCGCTCAGTCCGAAGGACAACCTAAGGGAGCGGAGAACTAGCACCTCGGATTGAGAAGTGCACTTTCGGGAGTCGTTACGATGAAAACGTAAATGAAGCAGCACGAAGGTATCGACGTTACACGGAGAAGTGCGAATCACCTGGTGTAGCTAACTAGAATTTGAAATCGTAAAACCCATCAAGGCCACGCACAGGTACCCTTCGTAGAACCTGCCTGTCTCGTGTCTCGTACGTCTGCCACATCCACTCTGAGCCCAGTCCAATCACCAGGCCAGATATAGAGCCGACTGAGGGGCTGAGCGTTTGAGCTAAGATGTTAATCTGCGGGCGCACGATCTCCCGCTCGAATATGGTCTGCGTATCACCTAATGCAGGGATGCCAAAGCGGCCTCCAATCGAATACGTACTCAGGTAACGGTAGAAGTCGAAGTATATCTTCAAGCGCCGGAGGTTGACGAGGTTGGCCAGGCCGCTTGCAATCCGTCGCTATGTGCGCAATACATTGGAAACAATCAATTGGTCGGCCTACACGAGACATCAGAAATCGTACGCACCGCCGGCAACTCGCCGTTTAATCGCGGGAGAAGGGAAAAATGGGTGTATGGTATCTGCGCATACTGGAGAACGGAGAGGGTGCTGAGACGCGGGAACGCCTGCCCCAGGAACGCGAGCAGCTGGTCTTCGCCCTCGTCCGCAACGTACTCGATTGTTAGCTGGTCCAGATCGGGGATCGCGCAGCGTCGCAGGATCCCGAGGGTCAAGGTTGCGGTGTGGTATGCACGGAGATCCGGCGGTTCGTAGGAGGCGGGCCGGCCCCGGACGAACCACCAGAGGTGCTTCCAATACCGCAACGACAACGAACGAAGCGTTGGAGGGAGGTGATCGTAGACTTCGTCGTCCACGTTCGGACAGGATACGACGAGACGCTCGAGTTCCGGCCACGGGAAGGGTCCGGTGTATCCCGGTGGCCAAAGCGGGGGGCGTTCGGTCTCCCGACTGCTCCGTATGGCACTATCGTCGTCTGCGGGCCTCGCCAAGCCTTTTCCTTGTAGAGGGAAAAACTTGAGCGCGAGGATGCGGAGATGTGGCATGTTGGAGAACAACGACACCGCGTGCCACGGTTTCGCGTCATTCCAAGGCTCGCTGTAGAGCACAAGCTCTCGGAGACGAGGCCAGTGGCATGTCGTCAGGTCCCGGACAGGAGCAAAGGGGCCGGGGAGATGCAGCGTTTCCAGTGTGGCGTGCACCTTAGAAAATACAGTCGAGAGAGCCTGTGTTACTGGCTGCAGCGGCTCGGGTCGGCGTGGGAGAGGATATTTGAAGCGCACTTCGAGAGATGTGAGAGGAGCGGGCGCGAACTTCTCTGCGTCTTCTAGGCGGAAATCAGAGGCAAAGTACAAGCGTTGGAGTG